AAATGTTCAGTAGACTGAAAATCGCAAAAGTTGCCATCCCAAACCAACGTTGATCGTCCAGCGAAACTGGTCACCGAATGAGCAGCGGAGAAGTAGCGATATAAATAAATCAGTGGACAAATGCTCCTTCTTCAAACTTGAGTCGCTTCTAATGTGAATTAGAAGAGACGAACACAGAATAAAACGTAACCGAGTGAACAAAGTTGTCGTCGTAACATAAGTGACAAATGGGGCACGCAAAAGGGGATAAAAAGTGATGATAACAGTTGCAAAAAAGGGACAGATTAGGATCTTATTTTGTCCAAATATCGTCATCAGATTCAATTCAACCCATTTGTCATGATTTTTATGCAACAAAAGCACGTAGATTTTAAAACTGCTTATCAAAACATGGACAAATTTTACGATAACTTTTTGAACCAGATAGAGCAAACTCTTGGGAGAAGAAGATCACAAAAATTTATCCAGTTGGTCGAGTAGGTTTTAATCTTGAGGGGACACAAATGCACTAGAAAATGTAAACATTAAACTAACTAAACTATGGAATCTAAATTTACGAATCTATCTTTTCTTTGTATATACATAGGACGAGTAGTTTTACCCACAATACATAGTTGGAAATCAGTTGGATTTACCATATTTTTAAATCACCAAAAAAATTGTACATACATTCCAATATCCCAAGTTTATCATAAATTGGAGCAAATTTGTCTAAAATTACTGTAGAATCATTTTACTTGTGCTTTTAGTCCCTACAATTGATTATATCAATTACGTTTCAAAATCGGAGAAAAATTCATAAGTTTCAGAATAAAAGTTGATCAAAATGGAATTAAAAACCTAATAATTTTGACTTAAAATTTCTAAAAACTCGTAAAATTTAGAAAAGTTCGTATGCACAGCTATGAGTTATGTCACAAATGACTAAAAATTGCTGTCCAATCCACCATTTCTAGTCCGTTAAGTATTATTTGTAATTCATCCATTATAATTTTACTCCTTCTGCCCAACTTTGCTTAGAGTGCGCGTGGTCTTTGTGGGGATTGACGACACGATCCTCCTCTTGAGCATGACGTATCTATTATTCTAGTCTTTTTTAGTAATCTCTCTCTCCCATTTTTTAGATACTCGGCCCAAGTCTGTCATGGTCACCATCAATCCCACCGAGAGAGGAAGGAGACAAACTTTTCGTCACTATATTTACCAAACCAAACGAACCAAAAAGTGCACACATTTCATCTCGTGAAGAATCCTCGTAAAAAGGGAAACAAACTTCTTCTTTTATCTCCAAAGGAGCTGGGTGGACACAAATTACTCCTTTCTCCAACAAGGAGACATTAATCCAGGCGAAAGTATGTAATCGTCTCATACGTAACGTTAGGGGATGTGCGGAAATGGGGTCGTCGAGGTCACATGGACAGGTCAGGACATTATCAACTCGATGTAAAGACCTGGATTCGTAGTGTTATCGGTTTACGAAATGTGTCCAGGGAAAGATTTCTTGCTCAAAAATCAACCCAAAATTTTGGATTATTTTAAAAATGAAAGTATTCAACTCGGTAGTTCTTCCCTTTCAAAAGTTATACAAGGTTAAAGGTCAAAGCTTGATTGAGATGGTATGTGAAAAAAATGGGATTTGTGAGACTTTCACGTCGAATAACTTTAAATCGACAGAGCTGCCGAGTTAATTTCATTCTTAAAAAAATTCTAAATCTTTAAGCCGATTTTTAGTCAAAAATCTCGACGGACAAATTATGTAATACCACATTTTAAAAGCTTTTAAAAGCTTGTCTACTGCAATTTATGTGTTCGGAAGCATACTAAGGATTACCTGGAAGTCAGGTCAAAAGTGTTATAACACTTTTGACCTAACTTCTACACCTCAAAAAAGTAATCCCAGATACGTTTGACCCCTGACCTGAGGTCAAAACGTGTCACATTCAACGTGCACGGCCTCCTCTCTGGAGTAAGTATATTACATCTCATTACATGTCTTCTCTCTCTCTCGGTGGTGACCTTCTTTTTCATTTCATTTTCATTCCGCCTGCATGCATGGGACTGCAACTCATGAATACGTATTGGCTTACGCTTACGGTTTGGTTTGGAAATTGGAGCAAGTGCATTATGCAATAAGTCCTCGTAAAATCCTCTACTTTCTCGGCTCCAGAGTGCTCACTGGAGCCACCACCACCACCGCAGGCAGACTAATCAAACTCACAAACTAAAACTAAGCAATTCCATGAAAATAATTTAAATCCATGCAGGGTTTCATCCACCACAAATTAGAAGCCATTGAACATAATTATTTATAAATTTTCACCAGAAAATCAAAATTTTCAGAAATCTAACATATTTTCTAAGCTATTTAGGTATCCTCAAATTATTTTAGAATCATTGGGGCAATTCACGCAGCCTTTGGTAACTTTGCAAAATCCGTAAATTCCATAAACTTACAAAATTTTACAAATAAGGAAAATCAAGGCCGTCTTTTTATTTTGTAAAAGTTTGTAAAAATATTTTACAAACTTTGCCAATTTTAAAAAGTTACCAAAGGCTTTAGAATGAATTGCCTCATTATTTACAAAATCGTAAAAGCTCGAACTTACAAAATTATAAGTAAAATTTTTCCCAAAAAAGATTTTTTTTTAAAATCTGGCATATTTTTGGGCACGTACACAATTTGTTTTAAAAAATTTCGCAAAAGTATTTACAAAATCCTCCTTAAAAAAGTCAAAATTCTTACGAAATACACATTTTCTTCCGTATCCTCCCAAAAGTCATCTAATCGTAAGTACAATTTCTTATCAAAAAGCGCTTCCATATTTTATCCTCGATTACGTCCGTACTCGAGATGCTGCTGCCCCATACATACATAAATTACGAATCGTTCTATTACTTTTTGTAATGAAGTCTTTCTCTCTCTTTCTGTTGGCTCCATTTTACTAAATAAATATTTATTTATCACACGAACGAGGAGTCAGTCATTACAGTTAACAACGTACAAAACCACACCACCGGAAAATGGATGCATGGTCAATTACTTGCTTGTGCACACTTGGTCCATTGTTCCATTGAGGGCAGACTTGGATGCATACTTTAATCCTGCCGTATTCCACGGCACGCCAGCCGCCAATTTATAATAAACACAACTTTAATAACTCTCTCGTTGGTTTCGTTCGAGTTTAAAAACACGGGAGGAGAAAAAAGAACACCATGTTTCCCAACCCTCGCCTTGTTTACGCCTTTAATCATGTAAAGTTTGAAGGAACACGAACACGAGGAAAGAGGAATTTAAAGTGAGACTTATTAAACCATCAGGCTTAATGAGAAATGGAGGGACGACACAGGTTGATGGAGCAATTTTTTAAAGGGTCGTCCATCAAGCTTTAGATGCATTTCCGAGTAGAAGTCATGGTGTTGGATTCTGCAGAAATCGACAAAAGCTGGATGCACATTGTATTTTTCTCAATTTTTGATACATAATCCTGCATAAAATTTCTGTGGCTTTTATTCTGCAGAATTGTAAATATGTGCATAATTCTGTGTATTGTTTTCTGCATAAATCGGTGCGCATAAAGTTTCTCTGCAGAAAATTGTGCCAAATTTCTTCACATTTCTACATGAAAACCATTCAATTTTTTACTCGGGATCTGGTAGTAGAAAAATCATGATTTTTTCCCTCATGGATGGACCATCAGGTTAACAAAATCATGAACCTTTCTAACCGAGCTGATTGATTGATATGATCGCCACGCCACAGCAGCCGGTACTTCACTTCCGTACAAAAGGGTCCAAAAATATCGACAGCTTGTCCTTAATTGATACTCGTAAAAAAATATGATCTTATCAGTTTATCGAAGATCTAAATTTTTCAATTTTTCATTTCTTTAAGTTTGTTATCATTTTATTTTACTCTGAAAGGTTTTTGTATTTCATTGTTTTATTCGAAATAACTAAATTATCAAACAATTTTGGTATCAAGGTGAAGGAAAGTGCACTAATTGTGCCCACCTCGTGATCCTGATGACTAAATCGATTACGTATATAGTTACGAACCCATGCGTAAAGAATGGTATGAATTTTTGGTCGATTTTTACCCATGGCACCCTTTACGTCTTATTTATACGTGTTTAATTCCTCTCGTCCTCACACTCACTCACTCTCCTAGAAAATCGGGGGAAGTGGAAAAATTGTTGAAATCGTGGCAATAATATCCATTTCCCCTTTTAATCCATCCCATTATTACGGATGTGTACATAATTGGAGTGCAGCTGGATAAGTGAGCAACTACGTAATAACGATACCAATAAGGAAGGTAACATTTAGATGAATCTACTCTACTCACTACCCGGCCAACAAATTACACCGGTAAACATAATGCCGAATTACTCAGTTTTCTGACTAATTCAACTCTTTTGAGTGGGAGGATGATAAAGGTAATAAAGTTCTCGTTCGGAGGCCATGCGAAATATATGTGGCTCATTTTCAGCTAAGTTTTACTCCTCAAAAATTCCGCCTCACTTTTCCGAACACAAAATTAGGCTAGGATTCATACCAAAAATTATAATCCATCCTAAAATTGGATTTCATAGATATGAACAACACTCCGAAAAAACCGGCATGGCTGATTTTTCCCATCAAAAATTCCTCATCACTTCTCCAGACACAAAATTAGGCCACGAATCGTATTAGATTTCACAAGTATGTATAAACAACACCCCGAAAAGACCGGTACGGCTGATTTTCTGTTAATTTTTCCTCCTCAAAAATCATATTTTTTTGCAAAATCAGGCCGACTCAATGAACCCATCCATCACCAGAGCAAGCTTCATGGAAATTTCACCCCACAAATAATATAAACAATACGAATGTACGTATAACCACGGGCTCATCAAGATGATAAAGTCGTCACTATTATTCATATCCATCCGTGCGCTCCATATCTGCCACTTCAACAAAGGAGTCGTACCGAAGAAAAAAGTGAAAGTCGTTTGTCTCACCTGGAAGAAGAATTGCCGGAAGGAGATTGGATTCGTCGACGCCTTTCTTCTTCTTCTTCACAAGAAATATTTCCACAATTTATCAGTTCTCCACACGCACAAAAGTCCACAAACGAAACAATATATCGGAATGGCTGAGAGGAATTTTATTATTTGCTTAAATTTACACCTTTTTTAAGATTCCTAACGAGATGAGATGACTTCTTGTTTTAAAATTTGTGGGGAAATTGAGACGGACTTTTCAGCGAGAGAGAGAGAGAAACCTTCTTCCCATCCGCGTGGCACTGTATCGACTGGATGCACATCTCGCCTCCCTTTTACTTATGTACTTGCACTCACGTTTACGAGAGCATGAGAAGAAGTGAAGTGATCTCTCAGATTTCCATGTTGAGCAGCATAACATAACCAAGTGAAGTAGTAAAGTAAGTAATGAGGTGAACCGAATTTGTCTCATTTTGCCTCCTTTTTGGTGCACTACATATTTCTCCATCCTACATGCTGCGCTGGGTACGTGAAATGCAGCCTGCCTCCCGTGTAAAAACTTACGAGATTACAAAATTGCTAAAAATGTATATACGTACAATTCACGTAATCCTTTGGTAACTTTGTAAAAACCGTGAGTTACAAAATTGTATTCATATTTCGAAGGAAAATTTGCTTCCAAATTTTTGTAAGTTTACTCCGTTACGGGTATCTTTTTATTTTGTAAAAGTTTGTAAAATCATTTACAAAGCGCATGGATTTTACGAGTTACCAATGTAATTGCACACATTTAGTTCTAACTAAATGCGAAAGTTAAACTGTGTGCATAATTTGTTCACAAAACTACTCAATTTTGTGGCTTGAAAGATGTTACAATTTTTGTAAGTTTGAAACGTTATTTACTTTAAAGACAAATAAATAAAGTGTGTAAGTCTAATGCGTAAGCCAACAATTTAACGCAATCTGACATACGAATTTGACCAGACAATGAAAAAGTGCCATTGCCACTGCCACTGCCAATCCCAACCCATCCACCTCCCTCTGTCTACGCATGTAATTAATTGCACTTCTTAAAACCTCTCCCACTACATGATTCTCAACTCGGAATTTTTTTCCATACAATAAAAACACAACCCAATCTCAAATTTTCGAAAAAATTGAGGAGTCCACGAAACGAAATGAAACACAGACACGGGTTAAATTCCATTCGTACAATTTATGCTAGAAATTTACTTATGTAAATGTTGCTGAATTGCAAATATGTTACAGAAAAGGGGACGATTGTGAGGAAGTGTAGGAGTTTAATTAATTAATTTAACTAACTGCTCGCGTAATTGTTTTCTTAACAAGGAGAAGAGTTTTCCCTGCCGTAATTTCACCAGAGGTGCATAAATAACGAACGAGTGTAGTCATTTTTTCACTCGTGATGATCCCATATTTCATGACATATGAGGTAGTAATGTTGGTGAGGTGATCAGTTAAAGGGCCGTGCGAAGGGGATGTCGTCTCTTTCGAGGTACCAGTCGCTGGTCAAAATTAAGGCAGTCAAATATATCTCCTGTGAAAATCCACGAGCCAAAAAATTGCAAATCTGCATATTCACGAGATATACACAACTCGGTCGCAAATTTCTACATAATTCTTCATCCCACAGACAATTTTCTTGCACATTTTCAGCAAAGTTTAGGCTAGAAAATTGTCCAGGATTATACAGTTTTATTGTTTCGCATGCCAAAAAATGTGCGAATTTTCATTGAATCCTTTATGCAGGTCCACCCAAAAGAATAAAAGTATTTAGGATGACGGTATTGATGATGTGATTTGATCGGTATACGCAGAAGTAAGTAAGTAGATATGACTAATAAAAAGTTGTATGACTTGTCCGAGTGAGCCATCTCGACGTGTGGGTGGTGGTTGGTTTAGTTAGTGAGACTTGTAAATAAATAACTTTTGAAAAGTGCATCTTTCGTGGACCAACTACTTGAAAACGTTGTCCTCTCAAAAGCCAAAATAAATATGTCCGTGGGCGAGATTAGAAGTGAAACAGGGACAATTCTTCCGGGGGAACAATTAATGCATAAACCCAAAGTCTCAAATTTATTAGTTGTTTTGGGAAACTTGGTTTTTAACTTCTGCATTAATTTACAAGTGAATTGCGTACATATGTTGCTGGGCGAATGTAAAATTGTATTCTTACGTCTCATTAAGGAGTGTTAAACACTTAAATTAATTTACTAATTTGCGAACACGCCACTTAAGAGGACGTATTAGTTTACAGCGTTCAACGGAAATGAACAAAATTACCGTGCTAATTTTCCTCAAGTTTACAAAGTGCATGCAAACTACATACTTCGTATGTAAAACTGACAAGATTTCCCGAGAATATGTAATACGCAAGGACTACACAAATTGATAGAAAATTCGAATTCTTTACGAACCACGGTCCAAACATGGACGGTCCTTTTTTTGCACGAGGCCCCTTTTTCTAACTTTATGTAAGCGTGTACCTTTTTTATCTTTACACCACAGCGACCACCACATTTTACGACTTTTCCGAAGAAATGCCATTACATTGTGTTTGCGGAAATGAATAATTTTGCACAAACAAAAAGGTGATACTTGTCTCCAAAGTGTATGTGATATTGCTCATAACGTAACGGTAGTAAAAACTAAAGTTAACTGGACTCCATCCACCAATCTCATGGCATTCACCAAGTGGGGTCGGAAACATTAAATTGAATGAGTCTAAAAAACTTGATAATTTTTAGCCTGGCAAACTTACGCTTAATTCCTCACTAACTACAAATAAAATAAAATTTGCAAAATAAAATATTCATTGCGTTCAAATTTTGAGAATTAGTTCCGTTTTTCGTCCACATTTTCATAAAAGTCTTGCATCTAACTCGATTTTCTTTCTTTTCTTCTTCCCGTCTGTAAAAATTTGAGCTAAAAAACCTAAAAAAGCAATAAATTAAATAAATGTGTTTTCTTTCTTGACATTTCTCAACAAAGTTTTTTTTCGCAGTTACAAAACTGTGAACTGATCGACACCGCGTCGTCGTTAACTTGGTCCTTTGTGTGTCTCAAACTTGCGAAAAAAACTGACCTGTAAAATTCCCCTGCAAAACTATATTAAATAAATCCACGGGGGGCTCTACGTAGAAAAAGTAACCGGAAAAGCAACCCTTCTTGAGACCAAAATCCGGACTGCATCCGTTCTGCACAACCCCGAACAAGACGTCAAGACGAATAGCTTTGTTTCCGACCTGTGTCAACTTTACCATCAATTTGGCTTACCACGAGAAACCACTCAGTTTTATTAGGCATACATGGACAATTGACAAACATATAAGACGACCAGCACAGCACTTTTCGCGATGATGTCCACCCGCATCAGATGGATTACTTGGGTCTCCTTTTATTATGATTTTATTCGACAATAAAACAGATGCGGGTCCATTTTCCTCCAGGAAAAATGGCAGTGTTCCGGGTGCAAGTATTCAAGAAATAACTGCAAGAAAGTGGTTTCTTGCAGCTAAATATTTTGACCGGCAAGAAATGCAAGGTGCAAAAAACTACGCCCCGCCGCGCATACTTCATCGCGCGCGCGGTGGCTGGATAGCGCATATTTCTTGCACTTTTTTGCAGTTTCTTATATTTCAGAAATGTCGCAAACCCGCAAGAAACGAAACACTGAAAAATGTGGGTCAGGTTTCATGTAAATAAGATGATGCCACGTGCATGCATGACTTCATTCGCGAATCTTGTGCAAAAACCGAGTGCAAATCCTAAACCGTTTCGTCCACAGAAAACAAATCACCTTCTTATCTTTCTTGGGAATGGAATTGGACTACAAATATTTTTGCAGACTCGACATATCAATAATTCATGTCTTGTTCAATAATGTCCAAATTATGCAAAATATCTTTGATCGACAAGGAAGAAAATATTCTCATCGATTAATTTTTAAGAAATCTGCAAATGGAAATTTATAATTATAACCGTCGTAATTATTATTTATTGACGTTAATAATATGTATCAGTGGGTTCGACGTGTGCATGCAAAATCCTTGAATATTTTTTGACAACTGGTTATATCACTTTTCATACTTCTTTTATTATTTCAATACCAAATTTCCATTCGTTCGTAACAATTAACAATAAATAAATATTAATCAGTTTGACCGATTATCGGAATACAAGCCTCGCCTTCATCCAATTAAGGATACCAACAATAACATATTTTTGAAACATTATTAGAGATAAATAAGAGGTATCCTAATTATTATTTTTGAGTTTTCTGCTATGCCAAGACGATTACAAAAATCACAACAGACTAATTTTTGGAAGATAATAATAAGATAAGCAAGCAATTAACTTACTTATCTAGTAAAACCATACAAAAACATAGTTAAATTCTGATCGAATTTTTAAAGCTGACTTGCAGGCCCAATTATTTGAAGTTACATTACATTATTATATTCATTTTTTAACCGATTATTACAGAAAATCTATACTAAGGAAAAATGGCAAGATTTCATAAATTGAGATAATGATAGGAAAATGGAAGAAGGACAGACTTTAAGCATAATACGAAAATAAATTAAGATTATCTCTTCTCTCTCTCCGAGTTTGCCATTATAATATTGAGCAGAAAAAAGAATTGATTTTTTATATAAAAATTCATTCCATACTGGATGAATAAAAGATTTTTAAGTATTTAGTACAAAATGTGAATTAATTAATTAATTACGGGCCGTATGCAAATACTTGGGGAGTAACAAAATTCTGGATTTTTTACTCACTCACTCATCTACTAAACCTTCTACGCAAAATCCCTACTTTCTGCCATTTATATTGATTACTTAACTAATTATCTGTATTATATAAGATTACGAAGATAAATTTGTGATGGTAGTACTATTGGATTATATATTAACATAATTTGTCGTTAATGTTCCTTCCGCTTACTTCTTGACCCACTTGAGTTGACTCCCTTTAGGGATGAGGGGGACGCCTTTTGCTTTGAGTTTCTGCATGCCAAGGTGAACTCCAGGGTGATAGTTTTCACAGCGAGCGTCCGTACATCCCATTCCGAATCGACAGGGGCTTGGGTGATGGAACTTGCAGTTCATTGAGGTACATTTTGGGTACCACTTGCACACGATTTTTCCCCCTCCTTGCGGCGATTTTTGAGGAGCAATTGAAAGCTCGTGTTTGTAAATGCAGTCTTTTTTAGTGCACGGGTCAAACTTGCATTTCGGATGTTCATAAATGCACTTGTCTTTGAATTGACAGCTAGGCCAGAATTTGCACTTTAGGGTAGACCCGTTATTATTGTTGTTGTTCGTAATAGATGGGGCCATGGGGGAAGGCTTAGATCGGCTCATGAGGGTCCGCAAGTCGGGCAAACTGGTCTTGAGAGTTGTGACCGGGTTCGAGGGAATAACTAGAATTTTAGGAAAAAATTGAATTATGAATTAGTTTAATTTTCTGAAAATTAAATTAAATTCCAAAAATATTCCCTGTTGTCCAGTATCAACAAAAGGTTCATTTTAGTTTGCAAATCATGTACGCATTCTCATATTGCGTCATGACCAATAAACTTTTGCACAAATTTCAGGGCATACTTTTATTTTGTAATAATGAGATAACTCATACCCTTGTTGATCGTGATAGAAACAGTATGTTCCTGTGAGCTCATGGTACTAGCCTGTGAGAGGTCTTGGGTTGATTGAGTTGACGATTCACCAGCATTTTCCTCGCTAAAAAGTAAAGTAAATTGTCATCATTTTCATCACAAATTAAATATTCAATCCTTATCCAAATACTTACTCTTCCTCTTCAACAATCTCCTCATACTCCTCTTCGTACTCTTCCTCCACCACTTGGGTTCCGTTAGGCACTTCAGGTAACTTGTCCTCTTCCGACATTACGAGTTGCAGTTCTGAGTCAGATCCGCCCAAGTAAACCGACTCCTTCTCCATCTTCCTCTGCTCATTCTTCTTCTTTGCATCCAAATTGACCATGGTAACAGTTTGAGCGGTCGGGGATCCATTACCCATTTCCGAACTCTCGTCGCTTGAGTCTTCTGAGTTATTGACCTGGATCGAGATTCGTTTCAAGTCATTGGCAGCTGGAGAAGAAATAAAGAATCTTATAAACCCATCAAGAAATTAATTAATTAATTAAGCAATTACTAGTTATCACATCACATACCAAGGAGCACATTTCTTTGGTGAGTAGCATTCGTATCGTCAGATACGTTAACTAGTATCTTATAATCACAGCCAGGACTGTAAGTCTCAATGTCGTACGGGTCATTTGAACCTAAAACAAAAATGGAAATTATTAAAATTTAGAATATGGTCATATTTTTCACCAATTTTGTAGGCACCCATGTAAATTTTGTTTGTAAACAAGTGTACCAAAAAATGGGACACAATTAACACAGATGGATCTAATAACGGATGTCTCCAATATATTTTCTCAAATTTTGATCGAATTAGTGTCAATCGGTTAAAAATTGTAATTTCTATGAAACTTACTCTGATTAAAATTTTGAATGACCCCCAATCGATCCTTGACTGACCGTCGAGGCTGCTCCTGCTTTACACCCAGCCGGTCTTTCACAGAGATTCGTGGAGGGGGCGACTCTTCCATCGTCATTTCATTCGTGTTCTTGTAGTAGTTCTTGGTCCTTGATGGGGAGCTGTTGGCGAATCGGCTCAGCTTTGGACTGACTTCGACCTGTTTCGGACTTGCACTGTTGGGTCGCTTGCGATGAGGATGGCTTTCCTCTTGGTCGCGAACTTGCTTGCGTTTATCGGAGGATGGCGTCCGTGGGGTTGGACTTTTCTGTTCAGTTTTGATGATTGACTGTTGGGCGTCCGCTACAAAAATGGAAATAAATTTCAAAATTTACCTTTTATTCATTTTGTAAATTTGTTTGTACAAGAAATAAATGAGGCAATTCACGCAGGCCTTGATAACATTGGAAAATCCGTAGATTTTGTTACCATATTTCTAAGGAAAATTAGCTTAATTTTTTTGTAAACTTCCTCAGATTATGAGCTTCTGTTTATTTTGTAAAAGTTTTCAAAATACTTTACAAAACGCACGGATTTTAAAAGTTACCAATAACTGCATGAATTGTCTCAATATATGCAAATAAATTTCGCATTTTTACACAAATCTTGTTCATTAAAATTGTTTCCACACACATTTTTATAGTTTAGCAACAAATTTGTGTATATTTACATATGGTTAACAAATGATTTCCACTCACCAACTGCCCTGAGCAACATTTTTCCACTCAAACGAAGATCCCTCTTGGGTCGATTGGTCACCTTTACAACCGAACTGAGCGAGTTTCTAGCCGGAGAATCTTCCTCTGGCGAAGACGACCGGCGTATCACAGATCCAATCCTTGACGTCATTGTCCTAATCGGGGAACGCGACCGGGTTTTCGATCTCTTTTCTGGCGATCGCCTCGTCGAACGTCCAATCCGGCTGAATACAGAACCCGTGGACGAGTCGCCCTTCTTATCCCCGCCAAACCCAGATCCAGACCTTTCCGGACTCCTCACTTTGCGTCGCGGTGACCGAAGAATTTTGACGACCGGGCTTCGTTCAGATCGGCTGCTAGTTCGACTTCTGTATGATTCGCGTCTACTAGACGAGTTGTCCGGTCTTGATGAACGACTACGACTCAACAACTCCCTATCCTTGTCTCCCGACCGTGTCGATGTAGTTCGAGCAAGAACTCGCGGCGAGTTCGACGAGTCTCTGTCCTCCTTGACACGACCCAGCAAAATAGACTTGATTAAAGTTCGTTGATGAACAATTTTCGGAGGGGACTTATCAATGCTGTTTTTCCTCTGCTTTCTCTCCTCCTGCGACTGGAGAGCGATTCGTCGAAGCTCGTCGACATTTTCGCAAGAATCAAACTCGTTCTCTTCTGTGTCCAAGATTAGCGTGTCGTTATGAAGGTCGTCCATCGGGGGAGTGGAAACTTGTACTTTCTCCTTCTCTAAAGGTTTGCTTACTGTTGCGGTCTTATCAGTAGTCTTATTAGTCTTATTCGCTACGGGAGCTGCTGGAACCTTGACAGGGTCTATAAAAAATAACAATTTCGTAAATACGTGAACAAATGATATCAATTATGATAAGTTAGAAAATTTTACTATAAATCGTACCATTTCGTTTCAAAGAAAGTTTTTTCTTTGTCTCAGAAGTTTCTTTAATTGGTTTCTCTTCCACTTTAGCCACGACAACTGAGGTAGAACTACGATTTCGGCTCCTTTTCTCCTCCCCTGACTTTCCTTCCTTTACATTTTCTGTATTATTCACAACTATTGGTTGCTCTACGACTGGTGGTTCTGGTTCTGGTTCCTCAATTGAAGTTTCTGCAAGGATGGAAAGTTCGTCTTGTTCTCCTCCTTCCTGAAGGTTTTCTTCACCTTCACCATCATCACCGTCAATGTTGATCTCATCGTTTCCTCCCGCACTCCCTCCGGGCGTATCGGCGGTGACCTGCTCCAACTTTTTTAGCACGTTGGTCATCCAGTTGACAAACTTTTTAGTATTATCTCCCAAGAAAAGTTCTAAGTCGGCTTCCAAATCTTGCTGGGAGCGACGATTCGCAATTAAAATCATGATATAATCTGGCAATTCGTCATCTAAAAAATAATTTACACTACTATTTAATACCTTCACTCTTTATAATAATTAATAATAATAATTATTATTATTAATAATAATTATTATAATTATTAAGTAGCGTCAGCTACTTATTGTGATCGTTTTGTCCGTCCGTCAGCAGGATATCTCAAGAACGAGTCAAGATAATCAAACGCGGTTTTCGCCATTGTGCTTCTAATTTTTAGTTCTCGACCGAGTTCGAAAGTGGGGTCAATCAGACCACACCCCACCGCGCCAGGGGGTGTGGTCCAAATTAAATTTAACTGTAATTTTCATATGGGGTGTCATTTTAAAGGAAATTTCACCACGAATTCAATGGTGTCAAACTGTTTGACCTCATGACCTTGAGGACGAGGTCAAAGGTCAAAAATACATAATTGTCATATGCGATGTCATTTCGAAGGAAATTTGGCGGCGATTTCTAGGACGCTAATATTTTTGACGTCATGACCTTGAGGTCAAGGGTCACAAATAAAAAATTGTCGAATACGGTGACACTTTATAGGAAATTTCGATCATTCTGACGCTACTTTTTTATATCGGTTTGTAAGAGTTTATTATATTATATAATTATATATTATATTATATAATTATATATTATATTATTATTATTAATAATAATTAATAAGTGCTTAATTACATGTTTTGAGAAAGTACAATTTTCACTCAAACCTGATTTTTGATCAAAATTTTTTCCTAAGTCACTGTCGATTCAATTCCTCTAAAAATATTTACTCGTAAAACATATTTTAGAAATAATGAATTGATCCGAGGGTCGAAAGAATTTCGAAAAAAAAAAAAATCACATTTGAGCAAAAATTTTACTTGCAAATTTTAAGGACGCAATTTTAATTTTCAAATAAATTAAATATTTGAAGAGGAATTGGATCGAGGAAGGTTTGAACACATCACATTTTCCTCGTAAATTTTGAAGACACAATTTTCAACAAGTATAAAAAATACAGATAATCTCAACTTACCGACATGACTCCCCATCTCGATCAACTTCGCCTTGATAGCCTCCCTTATCTTCTTGCTCACTTCGATCTCCATCATTTCAAAAACGATTTCTATAACTTTTTCAATAAATTTTTACAAGACTATGACCCGCAGAAGTCCACCTCGCACGACAGTTCACCTCCGAATGTCTCCAGCTCCTCTCCTCCTCGCCCTCGAGAATGAACTTGAATGAAAAAACGAAGTCAAGTCAATGACCTATCAGAAGTGTAGGAAGTATAAAAGGTCAAAGTAAATCACTCCAATAACTAACTTAACTACTACAGGGGGAAGGGGGGGCATTATTACTCAAGGGGAGACTAACTAACAAACGAATTAACTATTAACTATGATGAAAATTAAGTAGGAAGCAAGCAAAGCAAAGGAGCAAAGGAGCAACGGAGCAAAGGAGAACTTTCCGCTGGAAAAGTTCTCAAAAAGGGTGAAAACTTACCGAAAAGAGGTGAAACCCTTGACAGTAATGGCAATTCAGAGGTTGGGTGATACTTTGGTGGGTGGGTGTGACACTCTGGCGACAATTAGACCATGACGATTATCCGTGTCGACGGAGGCGACGAAGGCAACGAGTTGACGAGGCGAAGGAGCGAAGAGAAGTGAAAACTTGAGGATCAGAAAATGTGAAAAATCGCCTCTCTCTCAACTCAACCAATGTGAGAAAGTGAGACGGGCAGGATTTAGTCGCTTGTGTACGTCTGGCCTCATGCTTTTTGATGAAATTCATGCATGTGAATTCATGTTGAAAAAATTTGAGGACTTGAAAGTCATGAAACATTTCTGGACTCTAATTCAATATAGTTTTTGCGTCATAATATAAAAATGCAGGAAAATTAACTATTTTATAAACTGTATCCGATGAAATGAAATGCATATGAGTTTATCGACATGTTCAAAATTGTCATAATTTTGAATCTTTTGAGCATTGCAAGGTCGTCTCTTGTGATTTGGAAGCATTGCATGACTCGAATGCAAATATGTTTTCATGCGCCTTGATCTAAATAATGCATGCCATTGCCAATTAACCATATCATGCACAAACAGTATCCTCAAGTTATCCAAAAATACATATTTAACTTTCCAAGTTTGTTAACAATTATATTGTTTAATTCATCATTTATTTAATTACTTAGAGGAGGAAACTTTATCATATTTGTACGGGAAGTTGGATGCTTGTTGTTGATGTGACGAATATTTGAAACTGATGCTCCTGTCGACATGTGCCTTCTCGGAGGGACGCGTTTCCACGTCGTCGTTATCGCTCAGACAGTGTATTGAAGGGTGGAGGTACCTTCGCGGAACTTTACGACTCGAGCAGCACCCTAAATTAATAAATGATAATTAGTAAACTTGATAATTATTACTTATCTTAATGGAATATTAATTATTTTGAGAAACACATCCACCACAAACCACAAAATAACCATGCTAAAATAGAGAATTCGTATCTCTATCCTCTTTTAATTATTAATGAACAATGATGACCCTACCTCCGGTCAATATGCTGACAATCATCCCCACGACGGCGGTAAGAATGGCTCCCACGATGGGGTAGAGGATGTATGAAATCGTATAAATTTTGGTCGGCCATTCCCTACACATCAAATTCATAATTGTTACATGAAAATTTCCATGAATAACGTAATTCCAACCGAAAATAAATTAATTCAGAATATGCAAATTAGTGTTATAAATATATATTTACCATTCTGGTGGTGGGAGGAGGGTGGAATTCTTCATTAGCGAATAGTCCGTCCCAGCCGGACACTGGTCGAGGCTGGTGTGGAGTGGGAGGTTGAGGTTGGGGTACTGCTTCCCCAGGAGGAAGGCCTGTACGGCCAGATACATCATCGACGTCAGCCCCACAATCATCCCACCAATCGCACCCTGACAATCCCACAAAAAAATACTAGTCAGACCCCTTAAAATTCATGATAATATTTTAGAGGAACTCACATATTTGTTCATCCACGGCATGAACAAGGCGCAGACGAAAACTCCTCCCAACGGACCGGCCGTTGCTGAAAGAACCGTAAAAATGGTAACTTTCCCAATTAAGAAATTGCCAACAACTCACCTCCCACCGCGGTCATGGTCGCTTGGAAAATCTGTCCCAAGTACTGCGCCCCAAACGCTAGCCCGATCGATACCACGCCATACAGGACGGCTAAGGAGATTTTAAATGAATTTTTACCTCAGCAATTTTCAGCAATTTATAATTTTATGGGTAGATAATTAGATAAATAAATTAAGATAATAGATGATTTATTAAATCGCCCAAATTTTACATTTTCACATTTCGAAATGAAAAAAGATCTCATCTATGTATCTACAATTTTTTTGTTCTTAGGGTAAGAAGGGTAAAATTTTTGGAGTTTATTTTCATTTCACAACTGGAATAACTTCCTAATTATGCATGCAGCTTGGAAAAAATAGTCGCATATTAAAAATTAACCTGAAATTTGGCACAAGCAGATATTTAACTTCAAATTTTTTTTCGATATTATTCAAACTTGACTCACCAATGATACGAATACAATTCGCCTGCCCGTCCCCACTCATGCCTTGGAAAAGTCTTATCTTTGAGATGAAATCTTCCCACGTCACGGCTGCCAAACTGTTCAGCGTCGACGACACCGTGCTAAATATGCCGACATCGTTTAGTAACAATTTTTTAAGTTCCAAAAATTAGGCACTTAACTCGCTTACTGCTTACCTGAGCACCGCAGAAAAAATGCAAGACACGAAAATCCCCATTAATCCAGGAATGAATGAAAGCTCATTTATAACAAAGTGCGGCACGATGGCGTCCGCTCGTCGAACGGTGCCTAACAAGATTGGACAACAACCGGAATAAGTGGCGAAAACTGGATATACAGAAATTACACCCTTTAGACTCCAATTATTTCCACAACTTCCCTAAGTTTCTTACTGCTAATCCCAGTACAAATGACCAAAGACATTGTAAAAAATCCAAGCGGAATCGTTAACAGGAGCGCCCTGGAAATTCACTTTGTTAGCAAAGTTTCCAAATCTAAATTATTTTTTGTTGTCACGCACTTGATCGCATGTCCGACGGATGGGAGGCTGCAGTACCGCTGCACTTGCGGCTGGTGGGTTCCGTACAAGGAAAAAATGGCGAAACCAAAGCCAAAGAAAAAATTCCAGAAGTTGTGACGCATAAATGGGTCAAAGGTGAAGCTGTGGATAAATATGTATCACTTTTTTGCATACAATTTTTTTAAATTTGAGTAGGAAGCAACTTTACTCGAATAGAACGAGCCGTCCTCCGTCCCCAGCGATGCGAAATGCTTCCGAGATTCCGCCCGCAGTGCTGAATCCGCGGACCACTAAAAGAATAAAATCCTTATTTAGTTGCAACTGTTTACGTATCTGTCAATAAATTATCGTAAAAGCCAGTAATGAAGAGCATTTGGCACGTTGCTCTATTTTTCTAATTTGGACACTCTTGGGTATCCAAAAGTGATTAAAAACATTTGTGGACGGTGTTTAAACCCACAGCAAAACACTGATTATGATGAAAAACGTCTTACTGATTGAGACCATGCCGACCGCGATCATGAGGAACTGAAAGCAATCCGTCCACACGACCGCTTTGATACCGCCCATGGACGTGTACACCGTTCCGATGACGCCAATCCCCACGACCGACTGCCACACCGGGACGCCTAGAATGGCCTCCAGAGCGATCGCCGGTGCGAACAGAACGACCCCATTGATCAACAAGACTTGCACGATGAACGTGAAACTGACCAACACAAACCCATTAGTGAAATCAGGGACATAAAATAATAACACAGCCTGTATGTAAATCCAGCAGTCGAAAATTTACACATTTTACTGCACGTGCAGAATTCTGTATAATTTTTCTGCGTAAACTTTTCCACAGTGCAAATATATTTTTCTATGGAATGAATCTTACAGAAACTTTCTACCCAATTTATTCAGGATTCTACAGGAAAATGTGCTAATTTCTACCCGGTCAATTTTCTTACCTCGCCAACCATCGGACCGTGATAGATTCAAATCTCAGCTCTAAATACTGCGTGTAAAAATTTACCAAAATCTCAACAAATTTTCATTCCAACGATAAGAATTCATATCCACCTACCTCGTACACACTGGTCAATTTCATTTTGTAAAATACTTTCACAAAGACAAATGTGCTCAGCGGGATGCAAATCGTGGACATGATGGTGATCATGAATATCTGAATTCCATGAGTATACACTTCTGCCGGATAACCTGAAAAAAATAATTAAAATTCTAATCAAATTTCAAATTGTAGATATGTAATTTTCGGTTAGAAATTTACCTAAAATTGTAATCGCTGAGAGATACGTGACCAACATGCTGGCTCTGAATTACATAAAACCAAAAATCTGTTAAAATCTGGTACTAAAGTTTTACAAAGTTTTACATATTACGCGATCGCGATGGGGTTCATACTCCTCCCTCCGACGAGCATGTCCTCATTGGTTTGCTTCCCTGCGCATGCGTAGTACAGACCGATCCCCAACGAGAGGCATAGCGTCCCCACGACGGCTAAAATACGCACAATTATTTCATGAAAATCACGAAAAAAATAAATTTTTTTACTTAAGTCTTACCGACATAATCCAAAATTCCGAAATAATTTACCCCCGCCATGTCACAAAACGTTTAAATTCTTAACAACTCGACCTCGGCCGTCTGATCCGAAATGCAATGGACCAAGCTTGTGAAAGATGGGATCACGAGTTGTCTTTTAACGACTCGTGGATACCAGAACGTTGTTATCTGCCTCACTTTTTAATCCCTCATGTGCTCCAAGCTTCCTCCTCTGCAGCGATTAAAGTCCACCAATAATAAAACTCTGATAAGTCTGATTGTGCATTATTTATTGTCTAAACTCTTAATCCTCCCCCATTCTGAATGTGTCAATAATTAGATAAGCCAAAAAACAGTAGTGGTTACACACGAGTGCATATCAGTTAAACATAGGGTTTCCTTCTTCCCGAGTAAAACACATTTTTGTCAGGGTATTAATAGGTGGGAAAAAGTGGTTTTTACCGTGGGAAAAAGTGGGTGATTGGGTCTTGATAAGAGAGGCTCTTACAAAACGTGGCGAACGGATATCTTAGAAAGAGATGCATTTGAATGGTGGGAAAAATTGGTGAAAATTCCCTTTTTCATGTTTTTCCCATCTCCAATATATTTTGGGTAGGCTTTTAAAGTGGTAAAAATGCACTTCTTCCCATTCTTCCAATTTCCCACATATTTTGAGTGGGTGGTTCTAGTGATTAAAAACCCCATTTTCCAACTACGCTGGTAAATTACTACGGTTAAAATTTAACCAATCGTAACCCTAGTTAAACATGACCATTCCTCATGTCTCAAACTAGTCGGTTTGTTTTTATGTATCCTACTTTTATGAAAATTATATATATGTCGTTACACAACTATGAAAATTACGATGTGGCTATCTTTTTAAATTTATAGGATTACGAATTTTCTGACATGTGACATTTTTTCACAAAAAAAAAACAATTCTCGTTTACCTGTTTACATACAAACTTGATAAATCCACTCTGACTATTTGTCCAGTGTGTTGTCCACGTGTGAGAAAGTAAATAAGTACCAAAGTTTATCAAAAATTGGGGTTTGGGTCAGACGTACATAAATATACGCAGAAACCAAGTTTAATTGTATTTCAGTCTATTTTTGGGACTACCTTTTCTTTAAATAGTACAAAATTTTTATAACACTATCGTTAAAAATGCATACTGATTATTCAGTGGAGGTGGGTGCGTTAATCTCGTCCCTATTTTTCGTCACACCGCATGTGACGAAACTTTGTCGTATTTATAAGGAAATTTGTCTCCTCGACTTGTTTCTGGCCGTTGTGAGGGTGGTGGCGAATTTAGGAAAATGATGTTTCTGCCGATTCCTTGAGTTGTTTCGCCGGTATTTTCGCTGAAAGAGCGGACGACAGGGTGGAGATATTTCCGAGGAACGTTCCCACCAGAACAGCACCCTAAGGATAAAAACGGATATGAGACAAGGTTCTAATTTTGACCTCATGTTTACCCTTAGTAAGTTTTCGTCGTTGAATAAAGTGCATTATGTGCAAACTGAAAAAATTGAATATAATAAGCCTATGAATTTAAGAGGAGTTATTAATAGCATCAACCACTGTTCGAGTTGGCATCTTATTCAACGATTAATTATGTCCGTCACGAGTGACGAGGTTTACCTCCGGTTAATATGCTGACAATCATCCCCACGACGGCGGTAATAATGGCTCCCACGATGGGGTAGAGGATGTATGAGATCGTATAAATTTTAGTCGGCCATTCCCTGCAATCAAATTTATAATTGTTACTTACATGAAAATTTTTCAATTAAAAACATAAAATGACGATATTTATTACGAGTTTGTCTGCAGAAAATCTGGATAATTTCTACAGGAAAGCCGTTCAAAGAATTACTCGGGATATTTACCATTCTGGTGGTGGGAGGAAGGTGGAGTTCTTCGCGAATGAGAAATCCGTCCCCGCCGGACACTGGTCGAGGCTGGTGTGGAGTGGGAGGTTGAGGTTGGGGTACTGCTTCCCCAGAAGGAAGGCCTGCACGGCCAGATACATCATCGACGTCAGCCCCACAACCATCCCACCTATCGCACCCTGACAATCCAACAAAAATGATTATCACTGGTTTTAAAATTAATTGCTAATGGACAAACTCACATATTTGTTCATCCACGGGATGAACAAGGCGCAGATGAAAACTCCTCCCAACGGACCGGCCGTTGCTAAAAACAAAAAGCGTAAAAATTCGTCCCCAAATTAACAAATTGTCAGTGTTTCGTTTCTTGCGGGTTAGTCACATTTCTGGTACTGCAAAGCAAGAAACGCAAGAAATGCGAGGTATAAGAAACATCAAGAAAGTGCAGGAAATATTCCCATCTCGCCACACGCCCTGTGAACTATACTATAGCGACAGAAATCAGTTTCTGGGCCTTGTATCAAACAACTAACCCACCTCCCAACGCGGTCATCGTCGCTTGGAAAATTTGTCCCAAATACTGAGCCCCGAATGCTAGCCCGATGGATACCAATCCATAAAATGCGGCTACCAAAAATAATTAAATATTAGTATATTAAAATATGCAAATCTCTTCAAGGTATCCACACCTATAATTCTCACACAATTCGCCTGCCCAGTTCCACTCAGGGTTCGAAAAAAGTTTATCTTTGAGAGGAAATCTTCCCATGTCACGGCTGCCAAACTGTTCAGCGTAGACGACACCGTGCTTTGCAGAAATAATTCGCAATTAACATTATTCGTTTCATAAAATTATGTCGACTGCTTACCTGAGTACCGCGGAGAAAATACAGGACACGAAAATCCCCATTAATCCGGGAATGAAGGAAAGCTCATTCACGACAAAATGCGGAATTATAGCGTCCGCTTTGTTAATCTTGCCCAGTAGGATGGGATCACAGCCGGAATATGTTGCAAAAACTGATAAAGAGAAGGTTGCACATGCAAAATATTTAATCCCACTAATTGCACATATGCATGTATGTATTTACCACTAATCCCAGTACACAAGACTAACGTCATGGTAAAAAACTTCATCGGAATTGTCAGCAGGAGGGCTCTAGATAAAAAATAAAAATCAATTTCCACGGCTCTAAAATAATGGAAAATTGCACGCACTTGATCGCATGGCCGACGGAGGGGAGGCTGCAGTACCGCTGCACTTGCGGCTGGTGGGTTCCGTACAGCGTCATGTTGGCGAAACCATAGCCAAAGAAAAAATTCCAAAAGTTGTGACGCATAAATGGGTCAAAGGTGAAGCTGTGGATAAATATGTATCACTTTTTTGCATACAATTTTTTTAAATTTGAGTAGGAAGCAACTTTACTCGAATAGAACGAGCCGTCCCCCGTCCCCAGCGATGCGAAATGCTTCTGAGATTCCGCCCGCAGTGCTGAATCCGCGGACCACTGTAAAAAAGATGGTGCAAATTCAGTTTTTTTCATGGCTTAAGTGAAATGGGTGAATCTGCGCTTTCACCAAATATATAAATTTATGCATTTTACCGACTTACTGATTGAAATCAATCCCACCGCGATCATAATGAACTGGAAGCTATCCGTCCACACGACCGCCTTGATGCCGCCCATGGACGTGTACACCGTCCCGATAACGCCAATCCCTACGACCGACTGCCACACCGGGATGCCTAGAATGGCCTCCAGAGCGATCGCCGGTGCGAAAAGGACGACCCCGTTGATCAGCAAGACTTGCACGATGAATGTGAAACTGACAAAGACATGATATTAATTAAGCCGGTTGAAAATCGACCAGCTGAAAATAGGCTCATCTTTCTGCAGACGAGACGTGCACAATTTTCCAGTGTTTGGGGTGCAGGTAACCATTTGCAAGAAATAGCCGCAAGAACGGTATTGCAGGTATTTTGACTTGGAAGAAATACAAGGTGAAAGAAACTATGTACCGCCGCTATACTTCATACGAAGCGTGACTTCATGGCCCATATTTCTTGTATCTTCTTGCACCTAGAATTTCTTTTGCATTTTTTGCTTTGCAGTGCAAGAAATGCAGGAAACCCACAAGAAACGAAACACTGAATGTGCGATTCGGTGTAAATTTCCATCCAACAATTGCCACCCACCAATTGCCACTTTTGACCAATTGCCATCCTCCAATTGCCACTCCACAATTTCCACTCTTTACCAATTGCCATCCACCAATTTCCACTATATGCCAATTCCCACCTTTGCATTTTTTTATATATTTTACCACGAAGTCATTTATACATTCATATAATCATGCCCCGTAACAGAGGTATCGGCTATGTTTAGCCCAATAATTTATTACTGTTTAGTTGTCTGTACGTAAAATTTAAAATGCATTTTTTATTCCAAAACTTTCGAAGTTTTATTTATTTCGGGATAACTGTTCAGTTTTGATATATATGTAAATGGGTAGATTACTGCTTACTATGAATAATATATGGGGCTAGTACATTCGAACGATGATTGATTGCAATTGGATACAGAGTACGCTACTGCTAAATCTTGTAATAATAAGAACGATTGTACATTATTGAAGACGATAAATAATTTTTGCTAGAAAAACGGGAAGCGAACCATGATTTTGACTGAAAGACTCTTGCAAAAGTTACCCAAACAGTAAAATTTGAAAAAAACACCTACATAGCTTTCTTTCTTTCATGAGCTTGAAAATGCAAAGGTGGGAATAGGCATATAGTGGAAATTGGTGGATGGCAATTGGTAAAGAGTGGCAATTGTAGAGTGGCAATTGGTGGGTGGCAATTGTTGGATGGAAAAGTGCACAATACCGAATGTGCAGGATATTTTTATGCGGAATGAATGTTATATAAATTTTCTGCCCAGTTTCTGTAGAAAAATGCACCAATTTTCACCACGTCGATTTTTCATCCAACCTACCTCGCCAACCATCGCACCGTGACAGATTCAAATCTCAGCTCTAAATACTGCGTACAAAAATGGCCCAAATTTCACCAAATTTTATCCCAAACATAGCAAATCTTATCCACCCACCTCGTACACACTGGTCAATTTCATTTCATAGAAAACCTTCACAAAAACCTGCGTCGCTAAAGGAATGTAAATACACGGCATAATCGTCAACATGTAAATCTGAATCCCATGGACATAAACTTCCGCTGGATAACCTGAAAAAAAATAAAAATAATGCTAAATTTCATAAAACCAGTAATAGCTGCAAGAAACCACTTTCTTGCCGTTTATTTCTTGTAATTGGATGCACTCGAAACACTGAATTTCATGCAATTTTTCCACCTAATAATGGACCTTACCTAAAATTGTAATCGCGGAAAGATACGTGACCAGCATGCTCGCCCTGTTTCATAAATTCATTAATTTAAAAACAAATTTCATATCATAAATTTCCCAATCTTTAAAATCCTCTCATACGCGATGGGAACTGGGCTCATGTTCCTTCCTCCGACGAGCATGTCTTCATTGGTCTGTTTCTTTCCTGCACATGCGTAGTACAGTCCAACGCCTAACGACAAAGTTAGCGTCCCCGCAACAGCTACGCCATATCCAAACAAGTGACATCTCCAAATTCAAATTTTAATAAAACTACGAACGTACCCAGATAATCCAAAATTCCGAAGTAATTCACACCCCCCATTCTTCAATTTAATCAAAATCCGGAGGACGCCACGTGACCACCACCACGACCAATATTGGACAGCGAAATTGACGTCTAAAAAAATATTCTCAAATAACTTGTGATGTTTATGCCTCGTGCTCCAGAAAAAAACCAAATCTGACAGAAATGAACGTAGAAATAAATATTTGGTTCGTTATTCTTTAATAATTTGTGATTTTTATGCATGCCTCGTGCTCCACAATATTTACGACACGAATCGCTTGCACGTTGTTATCATTATCTCGTTCGAGCAAATAACGGTTTTCGCCTAATCCATTCCATGCAGGTTAAAGAGACAATTCATTGATTTGTATTTATTAGCCCTGATAAGCAGTGATGTACATGTTTAGTTTACCCTGTCTAAACCACAGTTTAATGCGTGCTCGCATTGAATACTTAATAATTACAGTAATTACGGAACACATTTAAATAAGCGCATTTAGATAAGTGCAGAATGCACATTATCGAACTCATTACTGGAGATGCATACAGTAGTTAAAATGGAAATTCGGCATATTTACAAATTTATGCAGTTCACGTCACGTTATGCCCCAGATCGCCCTGTAAATAAGTACATTATATATAGTCGTGACCTAATTAATTGGGAGTTATGCTTATCCGCATGCTCCTGCCATTTATGGCGTGCCCGATTTGCCCCGAATTTAATTAATGCCCCCACAAGGTCAATGCCATAATAAAGCTCAATTATACCCCAAAAATGCCCAAAATCCCATTCGTTGTCATGTTCTCATCTCCTATCCAATTCCTGTCCGTCTGCCCACCACGTGTGCAAATACATGCAAATTTCCCTATCAAAAATTTTGCACAAAAAATTTTTCGCAGTCTACAGGATTCGAACCTATGCGGGGAGACCCCAACAGATAACTAGTTTCGAGCCTTATCCTCCCAATTCTAGTCTGTCGCCTTAATCACTCGGCCAAGACTGCTATGAAAATGGATAACTGCTAACCCCGTTTAGTCCAAAGTTGCATTATTTTTAATGGATTAATGATAAGAGAAATATAGAGGCTGTAAATGGTTTAACCAAACCCTGCACAAAAAAACATGTAAAATTTACCCATTCATTTCTGCACAGGAATAGTTATCAAACGAGTTTAATTAAGTCAAAGTTGCAACTTTGTCTCAAATTCATCAGCATTCGTTCATCCATGTGAACTTTGTGCATGAGGAATTTGTGCAGTGAAGATGGATACGAATTGTATGAGAAAAATTAAGAAATCTAAACTCAATCGTATGCGGAATTCCATTCATTAGTATTAGAGCTTTGATTCATATTTCGTTTCATGGGATTTAAATAAAAATGCCACCAATGTTTCAACCACTCACTGGAAAGAAATAAGGGCAAGAAAGCTTTTTCTTCCAGCTAAATATTTTGACCAGCAAAGCGCTCTACTTATAAATTATAAGTAGAGCGCCTTAAATAAATTATAAGTATTATAAGTTATAATACTGATTTCAGTTAAAAGTCTGGTAGATTAAAAATAACCCAAAATACGGATGGGGCATATTTCTGGAACCTCGCATTTCTTGCATGGCTTATTGCCTTGCAGTGAAAGAGATGTAGCAAATCGGCAGGAAACGAAACACGGCGTGTCACAAAATTCCAATGTGAATGTAGATTTGAAAAGATAACACTGGCGATAAGCACGGAGGAAAGGAATTCTGATTCATAGCAAAATTTGAGAGATTATGGACTCACGCATATTTCTTTTAGAGGTGGACAAACGTCTCAATTTGCATGGAAAACTTAATGAATGACCATTAAGCATCCTCACCACCGTCTTATTGATTGTTTCTTGCTTAATTCTCCACACAGAAATTCTTTTGAATTTCGTTTCCTGTTTGGTATGACTGTACGAAATACAGCCAGAGACTTGAATATTCGTTGGATATGCAGATAAGCGAAGCCATCTCTCAGTCGGAGGGAGACAGAGACCAACAAGCTTCCTGCCAAACGACAGCTAACTCCCCCAGAAATTTAACCAGTTTTAATTTTAAGCATTTTCCACCGAGTTCGCATTGAGAGAAATAGAACAGAACGCCGCAAAGTGAAGAAAACTGGACGTTAAAAATTGTGGAGGAGCTTGTGGATTCGACAAGGACAAGAACTCCCGAGCAGACTGCATCCCGAAGCCACCCAAATTTTAAGAAGATTGCATCCGCCGGTAAGATTGCATGCATTCGTAATTTTATGTAAAGTAAAGCGCAAATATCGCTAAAACCTCACCAAGAGATGTGCACATTTTTATAATAATTATATGTACATGACGGTTTAGTAAGAATGCATCCAAACTACTCGAACACGTAGATACAATTCATGCAAAATCATTGAGCACAAATTCATGGAACTAGATCACAATGCAATTGAACAAAGTCCAAAGTGGGGGCGCCGGGTGGACGGACTGAGAACCAATCGAGAGCATGTTTTCACGAAAAAATACGTAAAATGAAGTAAAATGAAAATCCAAAAAGAAATAATTGAACACGGGACAAGGAATTAATTAAATAACTATCCAAATAAATCATAAAATTTATTATTAAATATTAAATTATTTAGTATTTAATACTATTTTATATGTTATGTTACACCGTAAAATCAACTAAAGTTAAAAACTCGCAGGTATTATCTTCAAAAGTTCTGCAAGTTTGGTTTGGTTTAGGTAAATAAGTATTTATGAGCATTATTAAATTTTTTTTACCGTTTCATATTTTTTAAAATTAAGAATGAGGTGTTGTGTTAATGTCATGTTATTGTTAATTATAGGAACAGAAAGTGAGGACAACGCGCTCGCTCGACAATATGGCGAAAGTTGTGGATCTTACTGATAAAAATCGGCACCCCATGACGTTGCGGTCAGCTTCTTCGCGAGAGGGTAAGAGTTTTCAAAATTTTAGTAAATGCTGCAATCTATATTTTTGTCGTAAAAATTAGAGCTTTCTTTATTATTAACGAGAGATATTCATTTTTGTATTCACTCCATTAAATTCCAGACTCGGAAAAAGTGCCTGTTGACTTCAACACTGCCATGTCTAAAGCCCTGCAGAATCCGTTGGTTAGTTAACTGCTTTTCAAATATCTAATAATTCATTGGCTCGCTTAATCCAATTTTGAATTTGCACCAGGTACTCGACGCTATCTTCGCCAATCTCGGCCTCCCCGACCTGAAAACTTCTCGTCTAGTGTGTAAAGAGTGGGCCGACGTCGGCGCCACTTTCTTAGGAAAAAGGGCTCTTCTGCAGGTCAACAAGCTTTTTTCGTATGAGGATTCCGAAACAGCCAAGATGGCCCCTGTCAACGACAAGCTGATGAGGCGCCTCATCATCTCGGACAAGTTCGATTCGTCCATTCCGACAAATAAGAAGGCTGATGTTATTACAAGAGCTATCACCCACGTGGATAATGTGTCCCGATTAACTCGAGAAATAAAATTCCTCGTCAGCCGGAAGGAATTTGTCCCCGCTTTCCTTGAAGGAATAAGGATGTTGGGGTCCACAAGAATCGAACACATGGGGATCTTCCGCGCGTGGGGAGGCGGTAGCATCGACACAATTCCAGCCAATGCATATGAAAAACTCCCCTCTCAACCTTGCTTGACCTCTCTCAAATTCCAAGCTCTTTCAGACTTTCAACATCGCGTCGCCGACTGCAACGAATTTCGACCCCTGATCCAAGTCTGGCTAGATTCTGCCCCAAATTTGACCAGTTTTGACGTCGCGACGCCTTTCAATCCTAATTTGGAGGCTTGCACAAGTCTCAAAGTGCTGAAATTTAAATTACTTAAGTGTTGCGATTCGCATTACCGTCAAATCAATGTAACCAAGATGCTGACACAAGTTAAGGATTCCTTAATCGAGCTGGAATTGTGCCATTCCGTGCATGACTATGTTCCCTTGCAGCAGGTAAAGATTTAATACAAGCATTTTAATATGGGCGTACTCACTACAACGTCTTCTTTAGCGTCGCACGCAACTCGTGTGAAATTTACCAAGCTCAAAAAATGTGCGGCTTCTCTACAAGATAGGATTTTGCAAATGTATAGATTTGCGAAAGATGCAAACTGATGTGCTATCCTGTTTATATTTAGTTTCCAAGGATTTCTATAATTTCTATCGTTTTTGATGTAGGCGATGAGTTTCGTAAGTAATTTTTTAATAGAATAAAACAACAGGTCCAAAGTAATGCTGCTGTAAAGTAAGCTGGGTAAAGTTTTGAAAAATTTCGCAACATTTGCGAGATACGTGGGAAGGTTGTCATGAGTCGGCCCAATACTCGAAATATGCACATATTGAATATACTCGATGTTGCTGATCAGTACTAAATATATTTTGTATGCATCGCAGATCCAAACTGCTGACGAGGTTCCCGTGATGTCGAATCTTACCTCACTCACCATCCATGCCGCAAAGGTTTACGAAATTGGGGACTTTTTTAATGAGAACCATTTCCCAAAATTAAGATCCTTCTCTGTCCGAAACGGGTTCAAGCCGTCATCGTTGTTAACGCATGTAAACTTGTGGAGTCGACACAGAGGAGTGCACTCTCTCGAGTTGATCATGGATCACTACGCTTGGGAGGTGCAAGAATTCGGGGGGAAAATGATCGATTTATTTCCCTCTGTCAAGGAATTCGATTTCAGGATGGATCTGACATTTTTTACCTTCCCTTGCGACATATCGGTGCCGTTTCTTCAGGGGGAACCAGTTTGGACGTCTGCCGCCATCTATCGTTTTATGATACCGTTCCAAATGTGGGATTTGAAGCGGGTCAACATTTCTTTGAGATTGCTGGATTCCGCCTTGATGATTGATGCCCTCAAAGCTATTTCCGTTTTGAAAGGTAGGAGTTAAATTAAATCATAAATAATTACTTTTCATTCTACTAATTGATTATGTTAATAATGGGTCGTAATAATTTCAGGAGTTAAAAGAGTCCAATTCATCTTCCCTTACATCTACGACAAGAGGGCAAATAATTTTTCTACCAGCTTTGTGCAAGATGTCATCTTGCACAGTGGACCATTCAAAAGCGTAGAAATTACGATAAATGAGCTGGTAACTCGCTCAATAAAATAATTTACAAGCATAATTTTTTTTCCATATTCAATTTTCTAATAATTCAGGCACCGGAAATCGTGGAACGAGTGCAACTCCAAATTCAAGCCAGTGGTGCGCCCATCCATTTTGTCGGAAGGAGTGAATGAGAATGAAATGAGATATATTGGTACATAATAATTACTACCTAATTTAAGGTTTTAATACTAAAATTATAATTTTTCCATCATCACAATTGCAACAATGTTTCTATCGCCTGAAAACAATGAGACAGCTTCTTAGTTCCTAGTTAGATCATAGTGAGATTCTGACTGATAAATAACTGGTAATAATGCCATACTTAGATTATTAAGTTGTAAGCATTACACAATTTTTGCTAACTTTTTTGATTAAGACGATTGTTATTTAATAAAGTCACTATGGTTGACATAAAACTCTGCTCGCTTCTTTTTCGTATTTCTCCGTGTGCCAACATAAATGCAACGCTTGAATAGTGACGACTATTTCATCATGACGAGAAGAAAAGTCCATCTGGTCATCACACTCGACTGGATGAATCATTGCCAAAATTGTAAAAAATTTTAAACATTTATAGACTCTTTGAATTTATTTTAAAATTCTGGACGACGAAATTGTAGAGCAGGTTCGTGCCACCTCGTAAAATGGTACACTCCAGATTTTGACAATTTTTGAACGAGATGAAGATTAAGAACCCTTCAGAAAAATTGGAACTCTTCGAAACTGGCTTAAAAAACTCACCGCCAGATTCTATTAATCAACTTAATGATTTGATTACAAATTTGTCCACAGAATTTTAAAATAAATTCCCAGAGCAGGTAAAAATGGTAAGAATTGCAAAATTTCTGGTTAGTTTGGATTATCAAATTTGAATTTAGTAAAATAATTCTGACTCCATGACCTTAAATCGGGGGCGATTATGCTTATGCATAATCGACAATATAACAATAGTTTCCACAATATAACTCATTACTGGAGATGCATACAGTAGTTAAAATGCAAATTCGCCATGTATTTACAAATTTATGCAGTTCACGTCACGTTATGCCTCAAAAATCGCCCTGCAAATGCGTTCTATATCGCCGTGACCTAATTAATTGTGAGTAGAGTTGTGCTATCCGTATGCTTCTGTCATTTATGGCATAACTGATTTGCCCCGAATTTAATTAATGCCCCCACAAGGCCAATAAAATCTCATTTGTTATGTTCTCATCTCTTGTCCAACTCCTGTCCGTCTCTCCACCACTTGTGCAAACACGTGCAAATTTCCCTATCAAAAATTTTGCACAAAAAATTTTTCGCAGTCTACAGGATTCGAACCTATGCGGGGAGACCCCAACAGATAACTAGTTTCGAGCCTTATCCTCCCAATTCTAGTCTGTCGCCTTAACCACTCGGCCAAGACTGCTATGAAAATGGATAACCGCTAACCCCATTTTGTCCAAAGTTGCATTATGTTTAATGGATTAATGATAAGAGAAATATAGAGGCTGTAAATGGTTTAATCAAACCGTGCAAAAAAACATGTAAAATTTACTCATTCATTTCTGCACAGGAATAGTTATCAAGCGAGTTTAATAAAGTCAACGTTGCAACTTTGTCTCAAATTGATCATCATTCACTCATCCACTGCATGTGAACTTTGTGCATGAGGAATTTGTGCAGTGAAGATGGATACGAATTGTATGAGAAAAATTAAGAATTCCAGACTCAATCGTATGCAGAATTCCATTCATATTCCGTTTCTTGCGATTTAAATAAAAATGCCACCAATGTTTCGGGTGCAAGTAACCTCTCACTGGCAGGAAATAAGGACAAAGAAGTGTTTTCTTCCAGCTAAATATTTTGACCTGCAGGAAATGCAAGGACCTATACTTATAATACGGATGGGGGGTTAGATGGGGCATATTTCTGACACTTTCTAGAACCTCGCATTTCTTGCATGGCTTATTGCTTTGCAGTGTAAGAGATGTAGAAAACCTACAAACACGGTGTGCCACAAAATTCCAATGCGAATGTAGATTTGAAAAGATAGCCTGAACGGAGGAAAGGAATTCAGATTCATACATACTTAGATAGCAAAATTTGGTAGCAAAATTTGAGAGATTGTGGACGCAGACATAGGTTGACAAACGTCTCAATTTGCATGGAATGAATTAACGAATGGCCAATGAGCATTATCACCACCGCCTTTTTGATTGTGTTGAGGAGAGTTTCTTGCTTAGTTCTACATACAGAAATTGTTTTGAATTTCGTTTCCTGTTTGGTAGAAGGAGAGAAGGGTGACGAGGCGGAGTGGCAGAAATGCCGTCCTGCTTACCGTCCACCTGAGTGGGCTGAATGGAGGTGCTGGGTTCAAGTCCTAGTGCCTGCAGTGGGTTTTTCTCGTTTTTCCCCACTGCCAAGCTCAGGTACTCTTCTCCCTCCCTGGGTAATGGCCCATTCGTGGGGTCCAGTGGTTGTAATAAAGGTTTTTTTTTTTTTTTTTTGGTATGAATATACGAAGTACAGCCAGCGACTTGAATATTCATTGGATATGCAGATAAGCTAAGCCATCTCTCAGTCGGAAGGAGACAGAGACCAACAAGCTTCCTGCCAAACGACAGCTAACTCCCCCAGAAATTTGACCAGTTTTTATTTCAAGCATCTTCCACCGAGTTCACATTGAGAGAAATAGAACAGAACACCGCAAAGTGAAGAAAACTGAACGAGCTGAACGTTAAAAATTGTGGAGGAGCTTGAAGCACAGGATTCGACGAAGAAAAGAACTCCCGAGCGGACTGCATCCCGAAGCCACGTCCCACACCTAAATTTTAAGAATATGGCATCCGCCGGTAAGATTGCATGCATTCGTAATTTTATGTAAAATAAAGGGCAAATATCGCTAAAACTTCGCCAAGAGATGCGCACATTTTTATTACTTAAGTAATTACAATGACGGTTTAGTAAGGACGCATCCTAACTATTCGAACAAGTACAATTCATGCAAAATAATTGAGCGCAAATTCATGAAACTAAAATCACAAAGTCCAAAGTGGGGACGCCGGGCGGACGGACGGGACATTCAATTAACTATCCAAATAAATTATAAATATTTAATACTATATTATATTTTACGTTACACCGTAAAATCGACTAAAGTTAAAAGCTCACAGTCATAGCCATTATCTTCAAAAGTTGTGCAAGTTGAGTTTAGGTTTAGGTAAATAAATATTTATTATTCAATTATTATTACTTATTATTTAATTAATATTAGCATTATTAACTAATTTTTTACCGTTTCATCATTTCGTATTTTTTTATTAAGAATGAGGTGTTGTGTTGATGCAATGTTTTGTGGTTATCATTGTTAATTATGGGAACTGAAGGTGAGGACGGCGCATTCATTCGAGAATATGGCGAAAGTTGTGGAGTTTGTAGTAAATGTTGCAATCTATATTTTTGTCGTAAAAATTAAAGTTTTCTTTATTATTTACGAGAGATATTCATTCTTTGTATTCACTCCGTTTAATTACATTCTGTACTTTACAGACTCGAAAAAAATGAACGTTGGCCCCAACGTTGAACCCCTGAAGATTTCCTTGGTTAGTTAATTGCTTTTCAAATCTCTAATACTTCATTGCATTGCCCGGTTTAATCCAACAATTTTGAATTTGCACCAGATTCTCGAAGCTATCTTCTCCAATCTCGACCTCCCGGAACTGAAAACTTCTCGGCTAGTGTGTCGTGAGTGGGACAAAGTCGGAGTCACTTTATTAGGAAAAATGGCTCTTCTCCATGTCAACAAGCTTTTTTCCTCCGAGGCGTCCGAACCAGCAGAGATGACCCCTGTCAACGACAAGCTGATCCTGCGCCTCTTCATCTCCGACAAGTTCGACTCATCCATTCCGGAAGATAAGAAGACAGAGCTAATGACAAGAGCTCTCACGCTCGTAGAAAAAGTGTCCGATTTAACTCGTGAAATTAAATTCCTAGTCGGCCAGAAGGAATTTGTTCCTGCTTTCCTCGAAGGAATAAGGATGTTGGGGTCCACAAAAATCAAACACGTTGGGATCTTCCGCGCCTGGGGAGACAATAGCGTCGACACAATTCCAGCCCAGGCATATGGAGAACTCCCTCCTCAATCTAGCTTGACCTCCCTCAAGTTCGAAGCTCTCTCAAACAATCAACCTGACGCCACCAAGAACGTTCAATACGACCCCGTCGTTTACTGCAGCGAACTACTACCCCTGATCAAAATCTGGCTAGATTCTGCCCCCAATTTGACTAGTTTGGACGTCGCGACGTCTTTCAATCCAAATTTGGAGGCCTGCACAAAGCTCGAAGTGCTGAAATTTAAATTATTCAGGTGTTGCGATGAGCATTACCGTGACCTCAATGTGACCGAGATGCTGACACAAGTTAAGGATTCCTTAATCGAGCTGGAATTGTGCCATTCTGTGCGTACATATGAATCCATGAAGCACGTAAGGATTTAATAGAAGCATTTTACCATGGGCGTATTCACTACAACGTCTTCTTTAGCGTCGCAAACAAGAAACTCATGTGAAATTTACCAAGCTAAAAAAATGTGCGTTGTGAGCGGCTTCTCTACAAAATATGATTTCGCAAATCTATAGATTTGCGAAATCATAGATGCCAACTGATGTGCTATCCTGTTTATCTTTAGTTTTCAAGGATTTCTATAATTTCTATCGTTTTTGATGTAGGCGATGAGTTTCGTAAGTAATTTTTTAATAGAATAAAACAACAGGTCCACAGTAATGCTGCTGTAAAGTAAGCTGGGTAAAGTTTTGAAAAATTTCGCAACATTTGCGAGATACGTGGGAAGATTGTTGTGAGTCGGCCCAATACTCGATGTCCCTGATCAGTACTAAATATCTTTTGTATGCATCGCAGATCCAACTTGAGGAAGTTCCCGTGATGTTGAAATTGACCTCGCTCACCATCCATGCCGTAGAGGTTTACGAAATTGGGGACTTTTTTAATGAGAAGAACTTCCCAGAATTAACATCCATCTCTCTCCGAAACGGATTCCCGCCGTCATCGTTGTTAACGCATCTAAACATGTGGACCCAACACGGTAGAGTGCACTCTCTCACGTTGGACATGGGTTCAGACGCTAGTAATGTGCAAGAATTCGGGGGGGAAATGGTCGATTTATTTCCCTCTGTTAAGGCATTGGATTTGAGGCTGGATATGAAAGTTTTTAATATCACTGATATAACGCCACCGGTTCGAGACGATTGGATTCCTTTGTGGACGCCTGCCTCCATCCGTCGGTTTATGGAACCCTTCCAAATATGGGATTTACAACGGGTCAACGTTTCGGTGGAAGTGAATGCATCCGCCTTGTTGATTGATGCCCTCCAAGCTATTTCCCTTTTGAAAGGTAGGAGTTAAGTTAAATCATAAATAATTATTTTCCATTCTACTAATTGATTAATATTAATATGGGTTGTCATAATTTCAGGAGATAAAAAAGTCCAGTTCGACTTTACTTGGATTGACGACACGAGTGATAATTTTTCTGACCGTGTGCAAGATATGATCACACACAGTGAAACATTCAAGAGAGTAGAAATTAAGATAAATATGGTAACTCGCTAAATAAAATAATTTGCAAGCATACATTTTTTCTATGTTCAATTTTCTAATAATTCAGGCACCGGATATCGTGGAACGACTACAACGCATTGTTGAAGCCAGTGGTGCGCCCATCCATTTTATCGGAAAGAGTGAATGAGAGTTAAATGAGATATATTAGTACATAATAATTACTAACTAATTTAAGGTTTTAATATTAAAATTATCATTTTTCGATTATCACAATTGCAACAATGTTTCTATCGCCTGAAAACAATGAGACGTCTTCTAAATTCATAATTGGATTGTAATGAGATTCTATTTATAAAATAACTGATAATAATGCCATAATTATATAGATTATTAAGTTGTAAGCATTACACAATTTTTGTTACCTTTTTTGATTTTTTTGTTTATATAAAACTCTGCTCCTGTTTTTCCATGGACAAGATAAATTCAACACCTGAATGATGACGACTATTTCGACTAACGAGAAGAAAGATCCATTTGTCCATCACACTCGACTGGATGAAAAAATTGCCAAAATTGTCAAAATAATTACATTTTTAAATATTTCTCTACTCTGGGAATGTATTTTAAAATTCTGGACTAATTTTAGAACCTGCGTGCACATCACTTCACTCTAGACGATAATAGCAATAGCAACGATCCTCGCTCAAATTGTTAGTGGGTTATGCAAATATGCTCATCATAAATTATTACGTGCCTTATTTTAAACACATAGTAGATAATCCTCCCATCAGTCCAGATTACCGAAATCCTACCGTAACTTATTTCAATCCAACGTCATTAACAAACGGACAAACTATATCGTTCAATAAATAATGTCACCAATGCGCAGGGATCCTCTACGTCATCGTCGGACCACACTGTCCCTGACAACGTCTACCACAATCAAACCCATTTACAGTTCGAGAATATCAGTAGATCAATCGCTCAATCCTTTTTTAATCAAATATTTTAAGAATTTTTATCTTGTTAATTCAGAAATTGCTATCTTACCATTGAATTTTTATGTACATAAGATACTAAATATTATGCTACCTACCTTTATTTAATTATTATTAATTATTATGCAAAATGAGAGAATAAACTCAACGAAAATCAACACCATTTATAAAGTTGGAAAGTTTTTTCTTTATTTAATTTGTAACTAGCTAACGGATTTTGTAATAAATATGAAAACTATTTAGCTCGGGCTATAATCCTATGTTTGCTGCGGGGATGTGGACGAGGCGATGAATTTTTGTCGCTCGTGTTTCAAAAAGTCAGTGGCCGCCCGGTCCCAGACTCGATTTTCGAGGGTGAGGAGGATGGGAGAGTTTGGCTGGGCAGGTTTCGTGATGGAGAGGAAGATTTGTGGGAGGTCTTGGAGCGAGGTGGACGCCGTGGTGAAGGGGACGGACTCCAGGGGAAGGAAACACTCGCCGATGAAGTCGTTCCGCCCAAATAGGTCGTGGTCCTTCAAGGAGAAAACCATCATTCCGCCCAGCGACATCTCCTCAGGGCTCAGTATTCTGTAAGCAGATGAGGGGCACATAAATTGAATGCAACTTGGGAATTGAAAAAAAAAGTTGGAAAATTTGCAGGTTTGAGAAATGTATAAATTCAGTTATTTAACGGAATGTGGAGTGAAATTAGTGAAGTTTCATAAATGCATGAATTTTCATGAAATGTAAAAATTAATCCCCAATTGCCTTCCTTCTAACTAATCCACTATATGAATTTGCGAAACTCATTTCGCAACCAATCTTCACCCTGCGTTTCATTTGTACACATCATATATCACTCAATTTTTAGCCCACTTACATAGAAAACGTTTCATCAAAGAGAGGGAAAAGCGTCTTCTTTTTCGTCTTGGTTCTAAATTTCGGCGTCATGTGGAATACTTCGTGCGGGACGAGCTTCAGCTTGACGTAGGGGTCACATTGACCTAAATTTGTAAAACGCAACAATTTCCATCAAAGCATCTTTTTCAAGGGGGTCCAAACCCACAAAACTGTTCCCTAAAACTGGAGGTCTCCCAGCGTATGCTCTCCGATTTTGTGCAAATTAGTGCCAATCAATCACAAATTTAATTAGGGCGAAAGACACAAATCTCCAAATCCGAACGTTTTGGCAGAGATATTTTCATCCGTAGAGGAGTAAACGCGTCATAAGGTTGACTAATTTTACGTTCCAAAATTAATACATGTTTTCTCCTCTTTGGGTGCAAATGTCTTCGCCAAACGTGCCCATTCGATCGCAGATCGTGTCTTTTGCAGATTTCATACTAATCAAATTTGTGATTGGTTGACACTAGTTTGCTCAAAATGGCAGAGCATACGCTGGGAGACCTCCATTCTTAGTTTTAAAAAATTTGCATACCATTTGCATCTGCGCTCTTGAGATTCCTAGCGTTGAGGATTTCGACCTTGAGGGTGTGAATGTCTTCGCAGTAGTGGGCGCGGACGGTGAGCGAGCCCAACTCGCTGGTCTTGTTGGACGTGGCGGCCTGGGTTTGCCACCGTTCGGCGTAATACTTCATGACCAGCTCGCCCGTCGTGGCGCCGTAGAGACTGATCAACTCCTCCATCTCACGAATGCTCGAGTTGTACGTGGCGTCCATCCGCCTCGTCGCGGAGTCGCCTTCCGGGTAGAAAAAGTTTATCAGGATTTGCAACATGTTGTGGATCTGCTTAAAAAAGGAGGGCGGACGACGTTTCTGCAAATGCCAAATAGTTAAAATTTGTACCTTAAAGAAATAAATTTTTTAGAAAATTGATACATTTCTAAATCAGTAGGTTTTTAAAGGGTGAAGAAAGTGTGAAAATTTCTTCATTTAAATTCCATTCATACTTTTATACCACGATTTAAGATAGTGAGACAATTCATAAAGTTCTTGGTAACTTTTATAAAATCCGTTCGTGTTGTGTCATAATTTTACAAAATAAAGAGCCACCTTTGACCGGAGCAAGTTTACAAAAATTTGTAAGCTAATTTTTCTTCAAAATATGAAGAAAATTTTGTAAAAGTTTGTAAGTTTACGGAATTTGTTGATTTCACAGTTTCACCAAGGTCTGCATATGTGGAAAATTTATAAATTTATTAAATTTTTAAAATTCTAAAGTTTGAAAAGTTCCGAATTTCGTAAAAAGAATCCATTCAGACTTTTATAAATATCACAATTTTAACTAAATTTTGATGATTTGATTTTGATTTTAAGAAATTTTAGAACAAATTTACAAACTTTTTCATTTCACATACTCACCTCGATATTCGTATTGATCAACTCTTTCAACGCGACGGCAGCATTTTCCCACAAAATGACGAAAATCTTGTCAAAATTATTCTGTGAAAGTTTGTGCTTCAATTTGATCAAGTTTTTATCCAAATATTTCATCAGCGTTTCGATCAAATGAGATTCCGAATCTGTTTCAGATCCTTCCAAAAGTAAGCGAAGAATCATGGGGCGCATCTGTGAAAAATTAATTTTTTAGCTTGGTAAATTGTGCAAAAACTAATGATCTTCAGTGTTTCGTTTCTTTTGGGTTTGCTACATTTCTTGCACTGCAAAACAAGCAACACAAGAAATGCGAGATGCAAGAAACTGCCAGAAATATGGACCATCTAGCCACGATCCATATGAATTATGGAGATGTTGTTTTTTGCGCTTTGCATTTCTTGCAGGTCAAAATAGCTCCAAGAAGCCACTTTCTTGCAAATGGTTACGTGCACCCGAAACACTAAATTCAAATTTTTGCACCCACCTTATCCCCAACTTTTTCTAAAACTTCGATAACTTTATTGTGCACGTTTTCTTTGGCGTTTTCCATCACGGTGATGAGCGTGCGTTCACACTGCGCGGCGACGGAAGGTCCGCGGATGTCTTGGAGCTCTTTGATGATGCTCTTGATCCCGAGTTTCTCGCTGATTGGGGACATTTCCATCCCGACCCATTCGATATTGTTGATCGCGAAACAGAGCTAATTTACATAATTAATTTTTTGTCGTGTCATGCGAAAATTAAATTGGCAAATTAACTGAATAACCAACCTCTTCTGATATGTCATCCTGTCCGCTTTCCATCTCATCCACTTTTATGCACATCATCTCCGTGTAATAGATCGTGCATCGGCACAAATCCTGAAAATCCGGGAGAAATTGACAGTGATTAAAAGTAATAAAATAACAGGAAAAAATCAAACTTTCAAGAAATATAACCAAATTTGAAACCAGAAAATTTTACAATCACAATTTTGTTAAGAAATACGAATTGTTAAAAAAATCGCTTACATCCAAAATCTTGGCAATAAAGCTGTACGACCCTTCAATCTCCGGCCAGGCTAATTGACTCCAGAAAATTTGTATCTAAAAGTCACAAATTTTTAGAAATTGTGAATTCTATGCAAATGACCGGTTAACTGACCTGATGGAAAATATGTGCCGTGTCGACCGCGGAGGATGTAAACTGGGCGAATTCGTCCACCGGTTTCAGTGAATCGAGCTGCACGGCTTTCTTGATACGATTAATGGCCTTGAAATACGCGATGTCCAACCATTGCGCCACGCTCGTGTGGAACCAGTTGTGGAATGACCCCTGGATGTAGAGATCCTTGGGCGACGTCAGTTTCGAAGATAAGCTAAATTCATGGAACAAAATTATGTAAGTATTTATGCAAAAAAATGTCGATTTCATAAAAAATTGGACAGATTTTGGGAAACTCTGGAAGAAGCCTTAGATTAGTATATAAGAAGAAGCCGTGCATAATGGTTTTGAGCCGGGTGATTCTACGTGACCTCGCATGTGACCTTTCTGCACGACCCGCACTTTAATAAATTGTGACCTCACTCACTCTGCAAATTGTTTGACGGCGAGGTACAGCTCGAAGAGATTGGTGCCCATCGTGACGTCCTGATTTTGCAGGAAGCCGTCGTCCTCGCGGAGGTCGAGAGGTTTCAAATGACTGCAAATCTCCTCCACGAAAGGTTTCACCATGTCGTGGTACTGTCAGGGGAAGAAAATAGTGTTAAATAATCTCACAATTTCATGAAATTTCAAAATTATCTCATTTTCATACCTTTTCGTCATACACTTTGTAAGTGATGTCGAAATAGTCGACGTTCAAGAGTCTGAAATAAAATGGGAGGTTTAATTAATTAATTTGTTTTACTGAATAATTTGGAACTGGTTAATTTTCCGGTTTGAGAAACTAGAGCATTTTACAGTAGCATTTTTTCAAATAAAAATAAAAGCAATTTTCATATGAATCATTCAAAATTATGTATGAAGCTTAGGACACAATGTTTACACGTTAAGAAACGAGACATTTTACATGTGTTTTTTTCATTTAAAAATATCATGAGAATCTTTCAAAATTAAACAACTTAAAACATAAGTTTTCCACTTATGAGCATTTTGCATCCGCGTTTTTTACTAATAAAAATGCAACCAATGTCAAATATTTAGTCAAGCTCAAGGTTTCCTCGTTTAGAGTAAGTTTATACATATGAAAAAGTGAACTCATAATATCGACAGTGATTGACCCACTAGACGTGTTTTACACACAGCATTTACATCGATTGCACCGGAAGTGATCATCATCATCACCATCGATTCATTAACTAATTGCAATATTCATCACTAATAAATAAATAAATGCGAAACAATAAGGAGACAAGTGTGACATACTCTTTGAACAAAGCGTGCAGAGTTTCAAGGCCCTTCCGCAAATCGGCTATGATAATCTGACCGATTTTGATCATGTTTTCCACCGGGGACTCATGCCCATTGTGAGATGGTTGCGAAACGCCGGAAAATCTGGAATGGCATGATTAATTACACAAATTAGCACAATGTTTGTTTAAGCAGTTAAATATTTTTGTACTCACAGCTCGTTGGCCCCTCTGGAAATGGCATTTTCAGTTTTTTCTATCACAAATTCTACCGAGATCTTCCCCTCAAGATCCTTGTTCGACTTTTGGCGTGTTTTTAAGTGAGACACGAGCATCTCCAGGGTCCTGTTGGTTCATGAAAATCAAGCTTTATAAAAAATCATCCCGTATTCATAGCAGTATTCAATTTTAGAAAAAAAATTTATAAAACTAAGGTTGGGAAAAATTGATCGCATTTTACGACAAACTTTAGGATACAAATATCTTAGAACTCACTGCAACATGTGATACGTCTGCGTGACGCCGCCCCCGTTGGAGAGGAAACATTGGTGAATATTCTTAAAAAATGTTGCAAAGTTTTCCACCAATTTCTCCGTCGCGAACCAGAACTTTCGAATCTATATGAAGAACAAATTATCATAAAAACCTCAAAATTTCTTCAAAACTCATAAAAGTCATGTCAAATAAAATCTCGCAATACAATACGTTTATGTACTTATAATAGTGTTTCTCACGGGTTCGGGTTGTTACTTCGGGTTTCGGGTTCGGATTCGGGTTCGGATTCGGGTTCGGATTCGAAATTTCAGAACCCGAAACTTTCGGGTTCGGGTTCGGGTCCGAAAAATCTGATCCCAAAATTTCGGGTTCGGGTCGGGTTCGGGTTCCGACTAACAACCCGAAACCCGAATCAACAAGAATTTTTTGCCACAACGAACGCGAAAAAGTTAAAAAAGAAAATTAAAGTGTTAACCACACTTGCCAAGACGGTTATGCTGCCGTGATTCAGTAAACAATTCAAATTTTTAATTGTCGTAACTTCTTTTCACAAGTGTCTTCAATTAGTGTTATGATTTGAATATTAAAATAAAATATATTTTTTATCAAAAATTTGCTAACTAGTTAGTTTGAGCATACTTTAATATTGGAAACTTGAAACTGAAAATCATTTTCAGTTTTCAACTAATTTACAAATTTCTGAATATCACGGAAAGCCATTATTAAAGGTCGATTTTTTGAGATTGCATTATTGTGGTCGAGGAATTAAAATTCAGCACATTTTAAAATGCATTATATTTATGCAGAAATGTGCTTAATTATAATTCCTTGGCTATATTTACAGATAGTATTGTTGCTTTGAAAGCTTCCAAAGAATTTTTAGCTAAAAATTCAGCCCACCCATTAAAATTAAAATATATTCGGGTTTTCGGGTTCGGGTTTCGGATTTGATCTGCTAGTTCGGGTTCGGGTTCGGGTCCTTGCAAACGGGTTTCGGGTTCTTCGGGTTCGGGTTGCCCTCGGGTTTCGGATCAGTGGTATCGGGTTCGGGTTCGGGTTTCGGATTTGCAAGAACCCGACCCGTGAGAAACACTAACTTATAAGTTCCAAATTACGACAGCTTGAATCAAATTTTATCGAATTTTTTAAAATTTCAAAAATAACCTCCTGTTAAACTCATTAGAGTTTATCAAAATCGCTTTCAATTTACAAAATTTTTCGCACTTTTGCGCAATGTTTGAGAGATTTACATATTTATATTAGACTTTAGACGTGAGTACCCCCAACCAAGCTATGCAAGTGCATAGGCACATACTGTATTTATCATTTTCGTTAATAATATGCACATAATTTTCTCACATCATCATCCCCGAGGAGACCACCTTTCACATAGTTGACCAAGGTTTTAAACAGGACGGGGAAGACTTTGACGTTGAGGGGATGTTCGCACTGGACGCGCGTGTAGACGAGCCATCTCGCCATGTCGACATCTTTTTGGTTCAGTCCACCCAAAAGTTCGAGCTGGCGGAGGATGAATTCCGAGTGTTTGGCAAACTTGCCATCCCATTCGTGCGGGGGGACGTTTTCCTCGTCCAGCTCGTGCACGAGGAGGAGGTGAAGCACGTGGCGGTACTCTTGCGCCGCCACCTTCTTCTCCTTCTCCGCGCCGAGGGCCATCCTTAGGTGAACTTCTCCCTTCTTCTTGTGACCGTTCCCGTTCCTGCTCTCCAGACCGAAGAACGAGTCGATCCCTTCGGGTGGGATGGTCTACAGGATAAGATAAAATGGTTAATTGGACGATAAGCAGGTTGGATAAGAGTGTTCTTCATGCTGGACTTTTGTTCAAGGCTTGGTAAATTTGTTGAGGATTTCGTGTCTCAAACTGTCCAAAGCCAGAATTTTTGTGAGAATTGCGTGAAAGCTAATGGGAAATACGATGTGTATATTTATAAGCGAAGCTCACATTGAGAGGTATTTTGAGACAGCCGAGGAACTCGTGAGACTGTTTTCCGGTGGAGGCTGTGAGAGCGATTTCCTTCATCAAAATGCGCAACCCTCGTGTCGACTTGACCTCGCCGAAACGTTTCATCTTATCTGCCAGCGTTTCCTCGGGATCATAATCCCTGCAGACATCAAAACGTTAATGATAAGACGATGAAGTAAAATGAGACGAGCTTAATCCTCTGGAGAAATTAAACCTTACCAAACTTCAATATTTAGGGTGTCATCTTCCACAGTGGAGACAGGGCTGATCAAATTATAAGAAAATATTGATAAATTTACATACTTTAGAGGAAACTTTAGCTCGGATGATACATTTTTGTGCAAAAAACACCATTTCATCAAGAGAGAAATGTCAAATTTGTCAAAATTTAGCAATTTTTAAAATGTTACCCAAATTTCTACATTATAAATAAATATATATGTACACAAATATTGTCAAATTTTCACTCACAATGAGAAATATTCTCTCCACACGGGATTTAACGTTTCTGGTTTCATCGACGTGTTATGTTTCTGCTTCGGAGAGACGAAAAGGGTGCAAAAGGGATCGCTGAGACCTAGAAAAAAAACAATACAAATTAGTGACCGCTGCTTAAGTTTGAGGTGTGGTCATTTTTTTATAGATCAACCGTTGACATCCTTGCCCTTGAGCCCCTTGGCTTCGACGACTTCAAGGTTGAGGACGAGTGGGGGTGCTTTTTTCTCGCGGGCGGCCTCCAGGAGGCGCGCATGCTTGTCGTTATCAATGTGAAAGACTTGCTGCAGGTGGCAGATGAGGGAGTCGGACTGTGCGCCACGACCGCGCACCAGGGCGTAGAGCACTTCACTGTATAAATCGTCAATCTGCGGAGGGACAGAAATCGAATTAGTTTAGTTGTGTGTGTCGGCCGTGTGTAAAAGATACGATTCATTTTTGTATGCAAAAATGGGTCATATCCTTGATGCACGGCTAAATATTTATCAATCCAGGATTTAGGCAAGTGAAAGATGTAGTGAACTCTCGAATTTTTGCAAGATTTTACTCTTCGCAATTTGGAAATATAAATTTGAGAGGGTAATTTTTGGACCGGGTCACATTTAGCGTAGCCACGACTAGCTGTAATTCGACAACATTTTACAAATTTTGTCAGATTTTGTCTAGATAAATTAATAAACAAAAAAATCAGTGAGGCAATTCAGTAATTCACGCAGTCCTTGGTAGCATTGTACGTAAAATCCGTAAATTCGATAAACTTGCTCAGATCAAGGGGGTCTTTTTCTTATTTTTTTTAAAGTTTGTAAAAGTATTTTACAAAGTGCACGGCATTTTACGAGTTACAAATGACTGCATGAGTTATCTCATCGTCTTACCTCGCACACTTTTTTGAGAATTTAATTTACCTCCTAAAACTTGAACTTTTATCAAATTTAATTCAATCTTGTCGTCACTACGCTCAATACATATTTTTATATAAATAAACCATTAAACAAGCTATTAAATAAAAAGAATAAGAGAATAAAATTAAAATAGGAATAAGGATAAGCACGGTTAATTTCGAAAGGAAATAATCCGCCGCCATTACGGTCACTTTATGTCGCAAAGTCCCTCCACCACCACCAAGCCCCCCACCACCAACACCACAAACGTCCTCCGACTCGAACCTACGCGAGGCAAAGTTCTTCCTCAGGATTCGCAATCGACTCATGATGACCAGGGATTTTTTACAAAAAAACAATCCCAAAATTCCCGAAATTTCAGATATCACAACTTCCCAAAATCTTATCTAACACCACAGAAAACAATCAAGTCAAGCGTTCAAAAAGAGTAGAAATTGCATCCCAGAAGGATGATCTTGAAAAACACTTCCAAAATTCCCGAAACTTTAAATATCACTTCTTATCCCAAAATCTTATCTGACACAGAAAACAATGAAGAATCAAGTCAAGTGTGCAAAAAAACAGTAGAAATTGCATCCCAGAAGGTTGTGATCTTGCCCTCCTCGGTGGAACGAAGTGGGAGCCAAAAAAATAAATGGCACACTCACAACCAACTTCCCCACTGATCCAGTTTTATAAACTGATCGCAAAAAGACAACTTTTTGGCTCGAGTGTTTTCCCAAACGGGCCAGATACACGGACGAATCTCGAGCACACACATGTACATCCACCGAAGAAGAAGTCAGAAGTGGGGTGACGGTGACGCAACCGGTCTGACTGACTTGACTGACTGACGGGAAGAGGAAGGAAGAAATCTTCTCCTCTTCTTTTATTATTATTATTTCTAAAGCTAATTTTAGTTCTGTAAGTCAGGATTCGCAAATTAGTGCAGTTTTTGCAATCAGACGAAAAAAATCAGGAGAGAAAATGCAACCAAGGACTTCTTGGTGGTTCGAGTGAGGACACTATTTATTTAATTGGTGCTGATTTTAGAGATGTAATGCGATCCGAATGGATCCGTGCGGAAGGGATGTGGTGGATTTTTAATGGGTAAGATAAGAACGTGACGAAAAATAGAGGTCGCATCCATTCTGTACGGTCTCCTGTAACTGAAATTGACTGGATTGGACACACGACGACTGGACAACAACTGTCCAACAATAAATTGAGATGGATTGACTGCTTGGCATTGGAGGAGGAAATGCATGCATATTATATATTTTATTTACTAACTTTGGCGTCAATAAATTGGAATAACGTTGGCGTTTCGTGGTTTGCAGTTGCTGAGATTGATTAACGATATGCTATGTATGTATGTGGTTGAAAGTGGAGCTGAGAAATGACCGTGGGTATTTACACTGTATTTTATGGAGGTCTATGTGCACATTGCTAATTTGTCGTTTAAATGACAGATTTATTTTTATTTACAATTATGTTCAAACTGTTATGACATGTCGTAAAGTTGGAAATTATCAAAATTTCCGAGAATTTTTGTCTGATAAGGACTCGCCACGTATAAAGCACGCCAGTAAAAAATAAGAGAAAATGTCATTGACACTTCTTATCTGTCGTGGAATTGTAAGCTATTAAATGTCCTCTTAAGTCCAATGTTGTAATAAATGTCGTGACCATTGTAAATCTAAACCCGAGGTGGAACATTCCACTGGAATGAGATGAGACTGGTAATGTAATTCCCTACTGAATGACCACGTAAGTAAGAAAATTGACCTCGTCAAGTCGTTAAGAATATGCAATATGCATCCAGACAAAAAACTATGTATGTTGGACAGGGCTAAAATGCAACACTTTCGCTCCCAGTGTTCGAGAAGAATTGTGTAGAATTTTTAAATTTTAGAATTTCTGGAAACTTTCGAGATGTTTTTCTTCTACGCGTTGTTATAGATTTCTGATTTATTTGTTCACTACTTATTACCCTGGTATTTAATATCGTTTATGTATAAAAATCATGACCGCAAATTAGCTAGATTTATTTGGAAACCCTGAAAGTTCGTGTCGTCCTCCCCGTTTAATCAAGCCCAATTGATCCCACTAACTTCTGTGATATTCGTACTACGCAATCCAACCAAAATGAAATTATTGTAAGGGCTGTACATACTTATGCTTACAAAAACCACGTTTTTTTAAACACTCAACAAACTCATTTTCTTGGGCAAGTTCTTGAATTCAGAGTGGAGAAAGTATCTTATTAGCTTATTTGCAAGTGTACAGTAAGGCAATTCACACCGTCCTTGGGAACTTTGTAAAATCCATAAATTTTGTAAATTAATTTTACAAACTTTTGCAAAATAAAAAGACGCCCCTAATCTTAACATCAATGCCTGCGTGATTGTCTCAGTATTTTTGCATCGTAAATATGAATCCAACCTCCAACTTCCTCATGCATTTCTGAGCTTGGAAATTTCAATATTGTGTAGAAATTTTTCTTTTAAATTTATTATTTCTTCGAGATACTGAAAGTTGGAACTGCAGTTTTTTATGTGATGCAAAAAGTGCATATTTCATATGGTACAGAAGCACTGTGCACATGAAAAAAAGCCAAAAACTCCTCAAATGCATATAGAAAAATGTTTAAATTTCCGATAATTCGAAATTGATCTCTGTCTGTACATATTTGGAGAAAACCCGGACGACGCCGTGGTGGCTACGATCCCATTGAAATATAAATATATATGTAACGCTACTAGATATTTGGACGTCATGAAAAATATAACGACCACCACCAAGAAAAGCTTAACCCATAAAAATAGCATATTTGACTTACATTCCAACCTCCCAACGTGGGCCAGAGTTGATCCGCCAATTCCCCATCAATCTCATCCGTCGGAAACTGGAATTCCTGAATGCGTTTCTTCTCACTCGCCGCATATGAGATCCGGATGGAGGAGAACTTTTCAAAAAAGTCTTCATTCTCGCCTTCACCGTCACCCCTATGAAAATACGAAACAAAAAAAAATCGCTCAAAATTTTGAGAATAAACAATAAACACAAAAAATATTAAATACACAAATAACGCGTCAATGTCAATGATTTAATGAAATGTTCTCCCCGCAGATGAAACGTGACGTAAGTATGTAGGTGTACAAATTTGGGGTATGTTAACGGGCAGAATTTGCACATGTCACATATTTTTTGCACACTAAATTGCACGAAACTTTTCTTTACCTAATTTGCACCTTTTCCGGGGGATAAATTTCCTTATACTTTTTTAACCCAAACTTTGCCCCGAGTACGGTTAGCATGCCGAATTTTGACCGTTTTTTACTCAATTTCCTCCGACGAACGAATCCACGAGATTTTCGAGCCATTTAAAAACAACTTTGATCGATACGAACTGGTTGATTTGATAAAAAAATTGAGAAATCGTGACCCCGAATAATTCGCAGATGATTTCGCAAATAATAAAGTGATGATGAGTGTTCAAACAGTGAGTAAGATTGGATTGAATATTCAATCGCCTATATTAAAGACTTAGGAGGAGGATGTCTTGTTGTAGTTAAGATATCAACCTGAGTGAGGTTGATGATTGAGACGATGCGAAAATATTGCACTTCTTTATAAAGAATTTGCATGACGGATCAACAATGAATGTACATATGTAAGATTCGCGATGTACATACACACATAAATACATACGTTTAGATGAGTAATCGACGTCAAGTAGATAGATAGTTGGGAAAGGGACGTGCAAATACTGCACTTAGTTTTTCGTTTCATGTAGGTTTCCTAAATACATTTCTTGCACTGCAAAGCCAGCCATGCAAAAAATTCGAGGTGCAAGAAATTGCAAAAATATTCGCCATCTATCCCCGCGAAGTACAGCGGCGGGGCATCGTTGCTTGCACCGTGCATTTCTTGCAGGTCAAAATAGCTGCAAGAAACCACTTTCTTATCGTCATTTCATGCAAGTAACACGAAACACTGGCTGAAGTGCGAAAATAATGCAAAGGTAAACGTGTATAAACGTCAAAGATGGACAGTCTCTAAACGAAAAAAAACACGAGTACATATTTTCGCACTACTTTTTGCCTACTAAATATTAAATATAGTATAAATGAATCGTGATGAGGTGTACGGGGAATGCGGGGCGGATTATAAATACATGATATGTACACATATCTGTTCTATTCTCGGTTTTAATGGTTACATGGAAATTCTCATGAAAGGGAGAGAGATAGAGTCACACACAATTCAAATAATTGTGGGTTTTAAGAAGTAAGAATTATTTGTTTGCATGCATGCCTAATTAAATTTTATTATTTGGATGGGTTCGCTTAAAACATTTAAAACCATGGGTTTTGTATTCCGCACATTTTGCACGTTTTGCATGTTTTATTGTGAAATGTGTGATTTGTGTAGAAATTTGTGAGGGAGGGTTCTATAATATAGCCTTTCTATAATTACAAGATTATAATCAAACGGCGGATATGTATTTATTTTCGACGTTTTCATTTGATGACGACCGACGGTCAAATTTTGTTTAGGTTTTCAGACATATAAATATTTCCGCTTTTATTTCAAAAATACGTAAATCTTTTACATACATATTAAAAAAATTATTTCAGCAATATGAGACGAAATTTTTTGCTCAAAGAAATTCAACCAAACAAATTCAGAGCATTAAATTCTAAAATACAAATTTTGTTAAATTTCGTATTCTTTTTACATACTTCGTAAATATTTTACTGGCGTTTATTTTCATAAATATTAAATGTATACTTCAACGATTTTTCGTAAATACATATCCGCCCTCTGATTATATATAACTTGTGTAAATTACACAGTGTAATGGACACCCTGATTTTGTCGGGATAACCCTGACTCTTGCGGCTATAAATTCATACAGTGGCATTAATACAAATGTACAAGTTCGTGTCCTGTGTTCCTGGTAGGAGACCATTATTTACATACAATGAGAACTGTGTTCAATCTTTCGTCTTTACGACACCACGTACTTTTTGACACTGCAGTTCTAGATAAAAAAACGTGCTAATTAAAAAATGCGCGTCACCAAGCCAAGAAATACTTACTGAAGTCTGCCATTCATTCAATTGTCATTTATACGGGGATAAAATTACGTAGAAGAAATTAGTGACGTATTAACATTGAGTTTTTCTTGCTAAAATGTGTAAAAGGTTTTTAGAGGTCGATTGGAGACAAGTTTTTGATCTTGACTGAGTAACTCGCTAAAAGATTACAAGCATTTGCCGACTGTCACGTTAAATGTTGATAAATTCAGTAGCTGCAACTGCAGAGGGACCGTGAATAAGGGATATGATGGATTTTTGGCTGATTTTTAGTTGTTTTCTGACCAAATGCTCCCTAAAAATGCTCCCTAAAATGGACGACATTTGTGGTGCACGGTCCTCAAAGTGGTGGCGAGTATGTAAGGGGAGCAGGTTCTAATTTAAAAGAACTTGATTTGACCGTGTGTAGACTGGATTGGGGATAAACGTAGTAAAATTTCCAAGAAATCTGGTCTGGTATTCGTAATGAAGCAGAGTTTTCATGTCGTGATGGAAGAGACAGGATATTTTTTAATTTTACTAATTCTGATTTAATTTGTTGTCAGCCACAATGCTAAATATGTATGAAGCAGGTACTTAATTTGTAAGTGAAGAAGATGCTACTGGTAAATTAACCGGATTTATATTGTTTTGTTGTCTTAATTTTTGTATGACATGAGAATATGTATGCAAATTAAGACAAGATTTCACTCCATTTTAAATTCTGGATAGAAATTATAATTAAATATTACAGAATTATGAAATGTCAAGAATTGGCGAGTATTATGTACCGGATTCCAAGATGACATATTGTGCAAACTTGATACAATTAGCAAGTTTACGACAATTGCAAAAATCTGTTTAGGAACAAATTGCAGTGATGAATTTATGCTGAAGTTTCCACTTTTTTAAAGGGGCTTTGGGCATTTGTTCCTAACCAGATTTTGCAATCCTTGCAAATTTGTAAATTTTACAGAGTTTTGCAAAATTGTGTCATAAAATGTAGATATGTACATTATTTCTATTATTCTCATATTTCCCAGCAACACGTGAATAGAAAACTGTTATGCCAGCGACACAATACACATAAAAGCTTCTTTCTTATCTGTGATGACATTCGGTAAAATTATAAAATACAGTAAAATGGAAATGCTAATTAGTAGAAAGTAAACAAAATTGGCATGTATATTAATTTAGCACACTTTTTAAGCCGGGATTAAAATTGTGTCACTTTCATGAAAAAGTGAAAGGTTATCAATTGATGAGATTAACATGACAAAACAGTTACGACAAGGGAGAAACAACGGCTCTCTGTGTTGGTATTATTCAATCCATGGTAGAAATTTACATAACGAGTACATAATGCTGCACCACGGCGTGAATACTAATGAGGCGCAGGTTCAATAAACAAGTTCTCCAGCAGATCTAACTTGATTAAATTAAATGGAAAAAATCTCACCTTCTTTAATTTAATACGCAAATTACTTAAATGTGGAAATCTAAATTTGTAAAAATTGAGATTTTAGGGATTGTTTGGTTTTACAATTTGAAAAAAAATAATAAGTTAAATTTGTAAAAAATCTCAATTTCATCACAAATTATATATTCCTGTAAACTCAAAAAATTATACTTTATCAAAATTTACGAGATAATAATAATTTATATTAAATAATGATCTCAAATTTCCAAAAAATCTCACTTTACAAAAATTGTGAATTTGATTTGAAAATCACTGTTTTGTCTCAACTAAAAAATCTCAATTTTCACAAAAATCTCACTTGCACTTTTCTTAGAAGTTATCCATTCCTTCTTGAAAATTTTGAAAAATTCAAAACTTCGAAAATTTATAAACCCTTAACTAACTTTCCACTCACCCATCCGCCAACGCTTTAAGGAGTGCCCGTTTCCTGGCATTTCCCCGAATTCTGAGCCTCTTCCTTGGCTGTGGCGTTGCGGGCAGACGCGGCGTGGAAAACCCTTCCGGAGACGGGAGATGTATCACGAGCCTTGGTTTTGGAGGGGGTGGTCGTGGCGGTGGGCATGATGATGACACAACTTTTTGAACTATGACCGGGGTCACAACAACAACAGGGTCACTATTATTGATTTCCAGGCAGTGCACCTTTCTCGGCTTTCGCGGAAATCGGATCCGAATTTGAAAACACTCCGTCAACATGACGTCTAAAGTCTCTCAAGAAAACTGTAAAACTGAACTTTGGAACCTAACAAGCCCCAATAAATCTCAAGACGACGATTCTCCTCCTTCTCCTACCAGTCTCCTCACAATAATAAATAAAACCTCGATTAATCCATTGTTGACTTCACGCTTGAAATACGCCACCCATCCAGAAGAAGAAGGAGCAGGTGGATAAATAAAATCACTTGGGTGGGGTTAAATAAAGTTGCAGAGAACTCTGTATATATTTTTTACACTACAATTCGCACCACCACTTATTCTACAGACAAAGGAACAGGTGAAGATTTCAGGTGTATCAAGTTTCCACCGTTTCCGGTTCAACTTTTTTTCGCTTTTTTACACCCTGTAAGTAAAATAATCCTCTCCAATAAATAGCTCGACACACGAGGAGTCTCTACTCTACCGTCAGACTGACCAGATTTGCCCTTATAATTTGGCTGGATTTATCTGCGCAACTTGGCTAATCAGTTAGTTAAGGTACAATTTATGGGAAGCAGAGAGACGCTACTGGCACTTCTGGTGGTCACATACGTATCTGATGGATAAAAAGATACGTATCCCCCTTTGTTCAACTTTTTGTTGTTTAAGATGCTCACCAATTTGCACACTCGACTTGAATTATTTTTCTGGACAACTTTTCCACATTGTTAAAACTGGTCAAGTTTTTGTCTCACTTTATTCTTCATGCTTAGCCTTTCCTTAGTAAATAATTAAATTAACTGTGTATGTATACACTTACTTATCTGTAAATACACATGCATGTACTATATGTGCAGTTATTTCGTATTACGTCAAAAAATTGCCTTCAACTTTTGCCAACTTGGAATGTAAACAACAAGGTTCGAGTACTTGGTGAAGCAAGACTGGTGGCAAGTGCTTCGCTGCTAAATAACTAACTAATTCATCCTTTTCGCAAGTCTGACATCCTGGCGATTAAAAAACCTAGCACTGCTCACCTCATCAACAACAACAATGCAATGTGCAACTGAACTGCGGGCAGGAACCGGAAATGCATGACGGATCGTTGCCTGCTTAATATACCTATTCGTCAAGTAAATGAAAAAAACTGGTCCATTTCACTCCTCAATTGTTGAGAGATGAGTCACACGTGTGCGGATGGAGGAATCCTTATTCGAATTATTATTAACTTTATTAGCAAAAAATGCAGAGGTGCTTTGAACCACAGGTAGATTTTGTGCTTATAAATACTTATTTATGGCGTGCTCTTCACCGACGGACGAATAGAGAATTGGACCAATTGACAACTAACTGATTATTGAACCAAACATGCAACAATTTTGTGCCTATTTTTGTCGTGCTTTCCACCAACGGACGACGCGGAGTGAGTGAAACACAGGTAGTAAAATTGGACCAATTGATGCATGTACATAAGTAACTGATTATTGGGGAGGGTTGCAGGCAGCGTGGATAGGGTGAGTTTTTTATGGCATACAAATTTGCACATTTTGTGTAACAATGTTTCCCTATCGACAACAATCTCTCACGGTGCGTATATGTATTTACCATGATGATGAGTAAGCCGTGTGCCGTGGTAAATGCTGGATGGAGGAGGAGGAGGGCCAAGTAGTAAAATGTGAGATAGCAATGTTTAAAATCTAACCAACAATGGACGTGTAGCTACATAATTATTGCAGCACAGGTACATATTTAAGGAGGGAGATGATCAAGCACACGTTTTAAATTTACAGAGGTACATGGAAAAAATCAGGGGAGGGAAGACTTCGTAAATTAGAAGCTATGTAAATGCGCTCACGGCGCTACGTAATTTATCAACGATTGGGAACGTTAGTGACCACAAATACTATGTGTACTACGTACTCGTCTCGAAAATTCCGAGAATTTTCTTTCTTTGCAAGAAATTTTGATATCTTTTGAGAAATTCGAGTTTTTTTAGATGATATATAATCTGCGAAATGTGATTTAACCAACCACAACACAGACTTCACATAGATATGTACAAGCACTAATATGAGTACCTGTACACTACATCTACAACATTTTCAACAAGCTTGGTCATCAATCAACCACAAATTTACGGCTTTACAGACCAAATTCAAATCGTCCATTTTACCATTATTTCTTACAAGAAAGTTTAAAAAATATGCAACCAACATGGAAATGATGACTCAGAGGTTGTCCTTTGACCCAAGTTGACCCCCTCTTAACCCCCACTCATCATTCCCTAAATGAACTGACTCATCCTTAAAAACTGGGTCGTATCTCTTCTACACCGCCCACAATAAAATGAAAATTACGCGAGAAATCAGCCTTGTTTTTGTCATTGATTGCACATCAGTGAGTCACCCAATTGTTGAGATGGCTGGGTGTGTACACCTGCACTACATCATCAAGTAATGAGAGAATTGGACCTGAATTTAAAAAAAACCAATGGCAGAATAATGCATGGATTCAATTCAATTCTGCAGCCAGACCAGAGAATTGCCAGTCAAGCAAATAGTCCACTTCCGTCCGGTCCATTGTTTTTACCTGATTTATTATTATTATCATGCTCAACTTCTACTTGCTGAATCAAGGAGATGACGCATTTGTGGATGGCACCGCACCAAGATTTTTTTTGCATGGTGTAGAAAATATCGTTTCAAACACAGATTTCATGATCATTCTATGAGTTTAAAATCTTTAAAGAGACGTCGTTCCTTAATGTTGTGCTTTTAAAATCTTTAAAGATTTGTAATTTTATAGATTTTTAACGAAACGCACAATTCTCACGCATTATTAGCTAATTAGCTACTTACTTAATTGTTCTTTAACAAAGTCTTAATTACATATGCGACACTAACTCGTGTTAATTATGAGACTAATTTTCGTCTCATTTTTTACTGCAATAAAAAATGTCATAATCTTCTCATCACTTTACACCTATTTTGCATGTAAGTAACTAACTGCCCTATTTTTTATGCACCGTGTCTGTGCGTGGCTGGGTGTACTTCATAAATAATTTAATGCTACAAAATATCCATAATGCGAATATTACCCACGACAGAATTGCAAAAAACTTACAATTTTCCTTCATCCCGTTCCGAGAACAATTGGTCCGGAAGCTTCAAACTTTCATGACTCAGGTCGGCGTCACTTTGAATCCCGGTCTCATCTCGGGGTACGGTTTCTTCTTCCCCGTCGCCATCGTCGTCGCCACAACGCCGACTTGGCGTTACCGTAGTCGTAGCAGTGACATCACCAATATCTCGATTCACTTCCACTTCACCCACCACCTCGTCTTCCATTTCGGTGGTTTGCATTGCAGTGCAATTCGCAAGTCGAGAGCAAAATGCAATCTCGCAGATAACAAAATCTTTGACTGGCAAGAAAATGATTACACGGCAGACTCAAAAGGAAAATAACGGGGTCGTCCACGTCCCACGTTTCCACGGATAAGTGATGACCAATGTCTTCCTTATCGCGTTATTTGGGTAGAAAAATGCCTTCGTTTCGTCCCCGTCGTGTCCGCACTGTCCTCGTGAAGGTCGTCGTAGGTGGATTGGCTTGGATTGGATGGATAAACTTACAAGTTGTTGGTTGCTTATGGATAGATTGCAAAATGAGCCAATGTCGTTGATTACACGACGTAAAGGAATTCGCACACACGGCACGGCACGAATTACTTATTAATGGATGGCCGAAAAGGATTCGCACGAAGACCAAGGGAAAAAATTTTGCGAAAAAGATTCGCAGATTGTTAGACGACCAAGGGGAAAAAATGTTGTGCAGAAACTGCTCCAAAATTTTCATCTACTTATTGTCTCGCATTGGAACGAATCAGTGGTCATTATTGTTGTCCATGAGAATTTACTACACAAAAAAGGAAAAACACAATGCAATGCAGGCTTGGCAGAGGGGATGCGATGATGACGGAGACCATGTCACATCCCTCATGCACGGTGTGCTCTTAATACATAAATTCTCAGACGGATGGGCAAAAACTGAAGTACATTGTGAGTCGGTGGGTCTAGCCATGCAAATCATAAGTAAACAAGACTCATGCAAGCAAAATCTTGGTTTAATCGCCCACATTACAGGATTATCTACCTATGTGAATGAGGTACACAGTGTTTCGGGTGCAACTAAGTAACCACTTGCAAGAAATGAAGGCAAGATAGTGGTTTCTTGCAGGTATTTTGACCTGCAAGAAATGCAAGACGCCAGAAACTACGCCCCAACGCTATGCTTCATATGGGGCGTGGCTGGGTAGCGCACATTTCTTGCAGTTTTTTGCACCTCGCATTTTTTGCATATCTTGCTTTGCAGTGCATGAAATGTACAAACCCGCAAGAAACGAAACACTACGTGGATTTTACAGTACTCTAAATTTCAAAGGCACGAAGAATGACATCATTGAATTCGCAAATAACCATCATCAGCGATCCGGTGTAATCACTTGAGCAAATTATGTGATGTAATTTGCATGAATTTCTCCCTCGTGTCTCCGAATAAATGAGTGATGTCCATGATCCGATGACTTCATTAATTCGTCGTTTTACCATCGCCGTGTCAAATCAACAACTGCAGAAAGCAAGGTAAATGTCAAGGTTAAACTACGATGCAGTTTACATTGCCAAGGATTTGTAGTGATGATTGTAATTTTTAGTTGAAAAGAGCGAATTTTCCACCACACAATCCACCCAATCAAATAATCCTTCCTACTTTTTGCAGACAGAGGATGCAATTAGTTTGTTTGTTTGGCACCATTATTTCGGTGGTGACAATAATCCGCAGAGCTACTTTGGTTTAAATTCCAGAATACTGTAACAAATTTGGCCATTTATTTTACTTTGTGGTACATACGAAATTAACTATGAAATACTTTCTTTTTACTAAAAGACTTAAATTAATTGAATCAGAATTGGATAAGGTGCACAAATACATTAACTTCTCCCACCAATGTCACCATTAAAAATAGAATGCAAGAAAATTTTCATTTTTCTCGAATTTAAATTTTCGAACTTAAATAAACATATATGTAAAAGTATTCACAGCACGATTACTTGTACAAAACAGAATTACTTTACTAAGCAACAATCATAATGGTCGAAACGGGAACAAAAATTGTGGCATGTTTACAACTTAATAATTCAATTATACTATTTTTATAAGTCTTACGAGAATAATTATCTTGTCATAAATCATGAAATCACGGAAATATAAATTATGGACACAATGTCGTCATTTGATGGGACGCTGTTTGACAGACTTTGTTCCGAGGGATGATCCTTCTTCAAATGTTTCCCAAGATACCATTTACTCGTGAATGACTGCCTACAGTGGAGGCACTCGATGTCCTTCCGAACTTTTCCCTTTTCCTCAGTGTGCTTCAGAAGATGACGAGCGAGAAAAGAAGGAAATCTGAAGCGTTTGCTGCAGAAGTGGCATTCATGTCGCCAGCTCTGCTTTGCCTCTGCTTGCTCCTCTGGGCTCAAATGGACGAAGAGATGACGATTCAAAGATGCTTTGTGGGTGAACGTCATTTTGCACGCAGGGCAGCCGAAGTCCTTCAGACCTTCGAGCGCTTTGACGTGGTCAATAAAGTATCGACGCTGGGTGAACACTTTTTGGCAGTGGGGACACGTCACATGGAAAATTTTTTTCTGCTCTAGCTCGCTGCAGTTGAGGTGGGTGTGAGCGTGGCGGCGAGCACTGGTCCTGTTGGTGAAGGGACAGAGGCATATTTTGCAGGGGAAGATTTTCTCCATCTCTCGACGACCAGACTCTGCGCCTTTTTCGCCAACTTGCGGTAATTTCTTAGCTTTTGACGCCCTGCCTTTGGCTGAAGGAGACTGCACGTGGTTATCGTCAGCAGGTGTTGGCTGTGGTTGGATGGAGTGAGTCTCCTCAGCAGGAAGTGGTCCATTCTCTTCAAAACTTTCCCCACTGTCCATTTTCTCCGTTGTGGGGGCGAGCGCGTTCAGAAGTATGAAGAATTTCGGCTGCGTATCGTTGACCTCCATGGTGTCCAGCGTCTCGTTCTACTCATCAGTTGCCTCGCCAGCAACCACCGATCCCTTTCTCTGCACACAAATATTATTGGGTCAGCATGTCGAGTTGAGTCACAAACTTGACGTGCAAATTAAGAACGATATCTTACCAATGAATTGTTATTCAAATTTCATGGATTCGGGATGCAACCGGTTCGGGAGTAAAAAATCTTTCCCTCGTCGAATCCTGCGTTTCAGGCTCATTCACAATTTTCAAACGGCGTTCAACTAGTCCAACTTTCTTCACTTTTTGGGTTCTGCACTCTTTTTCTTAACGTAAACTTGGTGGAAATGTTGAAAGCTGAGCAAATTTCTGGAGGAAGTGATATCTCAAGCTTCTGACAGAATCTCGCATAGTCAGACCTACCAAACAGGCAACGAAATGCAGAATAACTTCTTTGGGGAGAATTAAGCAAGGAAATCGTGTCACAATCAATAAGACGGTGGTGATGATGCTTAATGGCCATTCATTAATTATTCAATGGAAGTTGAGACGCTTGTCCACCTCTGGAAGAAATATGCAGGCGTCTACAATCTCTCAAATTTGGTTATGAATCAGAATTCCTTTCCTCCGTTCTTCTTCCACTGTTATCATTTTGCCTTTTGGAATTTTGTGGCACTTTCATGGAAATGAAATATTGAAACAGAAAATGAAGCAAGGAGAGCTCAACGAAAGGTATTCTAGATACGATTGAATCTGGATTTCTTAATTTTTCTCATACAATGTGATGAATGCATATTTAATTTGATGGAAATGAGCACATTGATCAGTCGTTTAATTAAGATAGATATATACAATGAAATAGTGTTTTTTTCGTGCTCTAACGATTTTCAAGTTAGATACCTTAAAAGTTGCGTAAAATTGAGTAGATCAAAAATCCGTAATAATATTGGGTGGTGCATAGTCAGTTTTCGCGATACGAGCAAAAATGTGCGAATTTTTTGCTAATTTTGGATTTTAACTCAAACTCGTCCAAATTTTGGCCAAATATCACCGGAAATTGGTGAACCTCGCGATCAACAACGACTGCCTCGGGGTGGACCACATGCCAAGCAGTCTAAATTTGTGGCGGCGACACGACGGAGTTCAATCTTTTGCGACGAAGACGACCGATAAATGCCGGGTTGAAGGGAACTTTGCGGAATATGTCGTGCAATTACTCCCCTCCGTGAAGAAACTTGACTTGAAATTCGGGCAGTGTGGCAACGAAGCGATGGAACCGTTCAAACTGTGGGATCTGGACGAGGTCAAGCTGGTCGTGCGGCATGAGCACGTGGCCGCCGGGGTGGTCAGCGTCCTAAGGAATGTAGTGGGTTGGAAAGGTAAGTATTTAAAAAGAGTGGCTAAAACTTAACCATAAATAATTATGTATGTATAAATATTTAAACGCATTCAGGACAATGTTTGAGAAATTTGCAAAACATGATTTTACAAATCAGTATAAACAGTTCTGCTACCGGATTTTATGTTTGCTTCTATTTATGGATTATTTTCAACTTGTAAAGAATTTAATAGAAAGGATGAGTTGGCGGAGTAATCTGAAGAGATAAAAACAAGCATTTGCTACGTAAAAAAATTCCACCTAGCAAAAGTTTTGCGAAAATATTTGCGAGATGTGTGGAGTCTGACCTCATTGTTTCATTTTAGGCGTCAAAACCGTCCATTTCGAGTGCACTGAGATCAGAGAAAACGACTTTTCTGACAGTATTCAATATGTCATTTTGTTCGTAGAGGATTTAAACGCGTGGAAATCTCGGGAGTTGTGGTACGTACTTCGGTAAAACAATTTTCGTTAGCTAATTTTTTTATATCCGGTTTTGCTGTAAATTCAGGTACCAGAAATTGTTGAAGTCATAATGCGACCTATTTTTGAAGCTGGTGGGACACCCGTACATTTTCTGGGAGGTGTGCATCATAATTAAATTAGTGGCATGTGAGAAACTAGGTGACAAGTAATTAGTGCCGTTTTTACTGTTTTAATGGTGCAGATTTCATAAATACATGCTTTCGTAAAATTTGAATAAAAGTTGTACTAATAATTTAAATTTATTACCATAGTAATTTTTTTAAAATTTTAAACATAGGTATTTCAACCTTCTTATTCAATTTATAATAATGAGAATACAAAACCAATCACATAACTAAAAAAAAGAGGAGTTCCTCTTTGGCATCCAACCGTGCACGGCGTGTCTCTCTCTCGCTCTGCAACTGGATCCTCTTCCATCTGGGTCGCGGGTGTGCCAGGGCTAGTAAAGTGTGTCCCAAGGCCATTTCGCCATGTGAGCCTCGTCCACTCACACCCCCCACCTGCGTGCCTGGTAACACCCCCTGCCACACCCGTCCCAGCAACGACAAGCTGAGCCATCAGGCGAAGACGGATCTCGCCGGACTCAGTGCACGGGAGGATCTACGCCAGGAGGACTCCCCCAGGTAGGTCATTGTTTGATATGTCGGGGTGGTGACCATGGGGGGTGGTTGGTGGAAGAGTGGGAGCGGGGTCGTGCATGGCGGTGGGCAGCGTAGTCGGGGCTACGGGGGTCCCATGACCCGGTTGTGCTGTAAGGGATGAAGGGGCAAGTGGGTAGTGTCGATCGGCCCCGGCTGAGGCCATATGGGGACACTTAGCCCGAGCCCGAAAGGGCGCTAGGGTATTTTGTGGTCCGTGGACGCCCCGCCCAACAACCTTCATTCGTCTTGCTTCCGCCTTCACGGTGCCGTCCTCATTTGGATATCACCACTCTCCCGTGAGATCTACCTATGATCTCTATCACTCATTTGTCCTGCCTGGGTGTCTCTGTAGTCAGAGCCGAATGGACCTCTGGGCCACATTCTCAGAGGTGATAGTGGTTTTCCTAGCTCTCCATCCTAGCTAGGTTTTCCCACTATTCCTCTGACTACTCTCTACATTACATTCACATTTACATATCTAACTCTGTAATATTTAATGTTGATGAGGGCTGCTGGCCATATATCAATAAATACTATACTATACTATACTACTACTAACTAAAAAAAAGAACTTAAACTATGATTATGATTTGTATCGGGTATGCCTAAAATTATTATTATTTTTTTTTTATCAAATTTATTACTAAAATATTAAATAGTGAAAAATTTAACAATGAAAACTTTGAAAAATGAAAAATTTTAGCATGTATGTATTTCGTATTACATTCGCGAAGTTAAATATCTAAGTGAGAACACTTCTCTTCTTTGAGATTTTCATTATAATTTTTTAATGCGTATTTTTAACACGCATAATCTTAAGACTAATTGAAAGAAATCATGATATTTAACTAACTTAATAAATAATGTTTGACATAATAGATAAATGTTTTATGAAAATTTGACGTTAAGATTGAGAAATTTTGCGTAAATAATTCGTTAAAAATATCTACTCTCTCTCTCTCTAAAAATCGTTCATAATATTTGTAGAAGTGGAATCCATGCTAGTTGCATGCAACGAGGTATAAAATTTATCACATAAATTAGTAAAAACCCTGGTTTAAAAAAACGGGTTAAATTTTCCCGCCCTAATTTTGCTTCCATGGTAATTCACTCTGGAATGGGGAACCTCTCCGAAAAACGAGGCCCGTTTGAAGTTGGGCGATATCCATGCCGGTGAATTCGGTTAATTCCCGACACCCTAAAAGAGTAGGGACAAGGTTGCGGAATCGGTCCATTTGTATGGCGTCGACTTCGGCGGGGTCATAAAACCGTTGGTACGCGCGGTCCGCAGTTCCACCCTCGCACATGCAGTGCTCGATACGCACCTCGGTCACATCTGTCAATAAAGAAATCGATTAATGAGAGAATTTACGCAGTCATTAGTAACTTTGTAAAATCGGTCGAAATATTGACAATGTTTTTGATAAAAATAGTGCAAAATGGGTCGATGAGAGACCGCTTCACAAATTTTCCACGTGCATACGCATACCACGTGTGGGGTAAATTTTCTAGAAGGGCGTCAAGTTTAAGGCGTTTTGGGCTTGAAATCTTTGATTTTTATATCCTGACGAAATATTAATATTTTTCATATAATTTCCCAAATATTTTCAAATTGTGTCGCTGTTATAATAAGCCTGCCCAATTTTCCACGTGCACCCCACGTGTGAGAAAATTTTTCAGGAAAATGACGTATTTTACGGCGTTGTTTGCTTATAATAGATCATTGATTGATTATTATAGTCGAAATATTGACAACCTTTTTGATAAAAAGGATGCAAATAATTCCACGCTTGTAAAAAATACTGAGCGGATTCACGCTCTCATTGGTAACTTTATAAAATCCGGGTTGACAGTTTTACCAAGAACTTGGTGAATCTCTCTCAAATTGTTCGAGGGAAAAAAACATGAGAAATTTTCATTCGCCTGGAAAAGATGTCGCCAAATATTCCAGAAAGTCGATAAATCTGGAAAATCTGTCGGGAAAGGGGGCCCCCACGGAAATATGGGTCAACGCCTTGATTGAAGCCAACCGTTCGAAAATCATTCTCAGAAAGACGTTCAATTCGCCTTGTTTGAAAATCCAGAGCCGAACGTTGATATTTAGTCGCCTCAAAGACGGGAACATTGGACCTGTGCCATTCAAAAAAAAATATTAGACACGCATTAATTTTCACGGGAAGAGGCAATTAATAAATTATTCGGTAAAAAAATTTGACAATTTTCAAATTGAAAAAATACGACCTGGTTTTTTATGAAAAGTTACACGTTTAAACCCACCGTTCTCCGAAATAATTTAAGAATGGTTCTTAATTAACGTGGGACTCGAAGACCCATCGTAAAAATCATAATTCCTCGTCTCTAGGAATTTATTTAAAAATTTTGGGCCACAAGTTTGTTTACAATTTTTGAAAATATATATAGTCCAAATTTTGCCAGTTTCTAAGGATATCTCAAGTTTAAAAGATTTCAGAAAAATTGGAACTCATCGAAAAAGCTCATCGCCGTCCGCTATTAATCAACTTCCTGGCTGGAAATTTGTAGTCCTAAATTTTAAAATGTGTACATAATTCCCAGAGCCAGGAAATGAATAGAAATGTGCCGATTTTGGCGAGTAGATATGTCAATACAATTTTCGGCACGCCAAAAATTATGCAAAAAAATCCCAATTTCTTACCAATCCTCTCCAACAACTCCAGATCCTCGATCCCAAACAGCTTCAAATTCGTAATTCCTCTCCAACAAGCGTTATCCCTCCTTAAAATATTCCCCACATAAACGTTCGCCCTTTGATAAACCTCATTCGGTATCTCACACAAGTCCAAATGCTTTAATTTCCCCATTTTCTCCAAGTCCCTCACTCCACACTTGAAAATCCGCATGACCCCGTTCTCAAACCATTTCAAGTTGCGAATCCCGTCCCGTGGAAATTGAAACTGATCACTAAACTGAGAAAAATCGTACAATCTCCGAGACCCCGTAAATCCCACCGTTAATTGCAACCGCTCCAAGGAAACTTTCACCGTTTCCAGAAAAACGTTCAAATTTTGCAACGTGACCATATCCGGACTCTTATTCTTCCCAATATTCCAATTAAACCGGAACTCCGACAAGTTTCCAAAATTTGCCGGAATGCTCGACAAATAATCATCCTTTACTCGTAAACTTTCCAAATTTGGGGTAACGGCTAGCAAAAAGCGTAGAAAGGTCTGCTGTTCTTCAGAAACGTTTGAACCCAGGAGAAATTTGGATTCTACGATGTACCGAATTTTTAGGAGTTTCGGTTTTTCGCTAATTTCCGGGTTGTACACTTCCGGCCACGTGACGTAGGGGCGGTCTCCCCTTTTGTATGCATGCACCTTCTTCTCGTCGAGGATGACACGCAAATTTTTGAGCTTTTCGAATTCGCAATTTGTAAAAATATTGTGCACAAATTTCCCCACGGAGGCGCCCCCCAGGACGGAAAGGTGGTGAATGTGGGGGCCGATTTGGGTGAGGAGATTGAGCGCTTGGGGGAGGATGGCGTCGTCGTCGGGGTACGCGGTGAGGGCGACGGATTTGAGGAGTTTTGGGGGAAAGGAGGCCAATTTGCGGGGGGTGATGAAGGGCCCCTGAGCAACCCGCCAGGGGACGGCCCGGTTGAGGTGGACGGTGACCCGTGGGGGGGAATGGAAGGAGAGGATGACCTCGTTCCAGAGGGTGGACACGAGCCGGAAATGGACAATGTCGGCGGGATCGGGGACCCGTTTTAGAATGGCTTCAACGATCTGTGGAAATTGAAAATAGGAAATATATTAGGAAAGTTGTATGTAATGATGAGGAAACGTTTGTAAACTTTGTAAATTTGTAGGAAATTTTATATATGTTTGTGGGGAAATTTGAGTTATGGACTTTTACGAAATGTATGAAATGAAATACAAGTTTTTGGAGGATTCACGGAAACGTTTGTAACCTTCGTAATTGCGTAAGTTTTGTAAGTTGTACGAACTTTTAGACACGTTTGTAAGGAAGTTTTGACTTTTACGAAACGTTTGAACTACATGTTTTTGGAAAAAGTACGGAAACGTTTGTAAACTTGGTAATTGCGTAAAAGTTCTACGAAATTTTACACATACATACATATTTGTGAGGAAATTTGATCTATGAACTTTTACGAAATGTATGAAATAAAATTTTTGGTGAACTGACGGAAACGTTTGTAACCTTCGTAAATTGTGTATGGCTTGTAAATTTTACGAAGTTTGACTTACGAGTGCATTCGTTAGTGCTTCTGCGGCTGCCATTTTTTGCAAAGTTTTCACAATAATTTAGTTCCCAACTGTATTAACAATTTTAAAAAACCTCGGGCCAATTTTGTACTTTATTTGTATCAATATTTAATTTTTTCCACGAGGATTGTGCACTTTTCAGCTGTGGAAAGGAAATAGTCGATCGAGCAAGTTCGGTTTGTGAGTTTTGTGTGCATCAGCGAAGTGGCGCGTCTTGGGGAGCACGATAATTCTACCACTGGCAGTGCTTTCTCAGAAAAAACTGGGATTTGGTGCCTCGTATCTCACATTAATGCTGATCTGTTAGAAATTTGCAGTCAGAAAAATTTGAAATTTGGAATGCACATTCATGAATATATTGTTAATCATAGTATATCATCAAATCCCGTTTGGATAGCTGTAAATTTTTCAGGAAAAATCAAAAACCCTAAAAAACTCTCTTTCGATTTTTCCTGAAAAATTTATAGCGATTTAACGGAATTTGATGATATACTATGATTAACAATATATTCATGAATGTGCATTCCGAATTTCAAATTTTTCTGACTGCAAATTTCTAACAGATCAGCATTAATGTGAGATACGAGGCACCAAATCCCAGTTTTTCTGAGAAAGCACTGCAATAGCCAGTGGTAGAATTATCGCGCGCCACTTCGCTGGTGTGCAGATATATGGGGGGGCCGTCCAAATATAATGTCGCCAACAAAACGCCGATTTATAGAGTATCCAACCACCCATTTCCTTATCCTTCTCATGTTAACCAAAACAAGGGTAAGATAACAGACATAAAACAAATCATCCACTTTTTGGATGACGTAATGTATTGGCGTCCCCTAAAAAGGTTGAAGGCATATGTATGAACATTTATTAAGTAGCTTCAGCTACTTTATGCGAAGACTTTGTCTGTCTGTCTGTCCGTCCGTCAGCAGGATAACGGGAGAACGGATCAAGATAATCGAAATCAGTTTTCGACATTATACATATGACCCCAGGGGGAGGATCCTATCAACTTTTGGGGTCAACCCCTTGGCGCCAGGGGGTGCGGTCGGGGCAAAATGAGAATTTTAGTGCAATTGAATCTATGGATGAATTAGAGTGAAATTTTGAGTTTCCCCATTGTGCCACACCCCCTGGGCGCCAGGGGGTGTGGTCGAGGCAAATTGAGATTTTTTCAAAAATTGAATCTATAGATGAAATACAGTGAAATTAAATGCTCCCGAGTTGTGCCACACCCCCTTAGCGCAAGGGGGTGTGGTCTGGGGGAAAATGAGATCTTTACTGAAATTGAATCTATAGATGAAATACAGCGAAATTAAGTGTTCCCGCGATGTCGTGGGAGTAGTTGGGGTAAAGTGAGTCTGAAGCTACTTCTTTATGTGCGTTTACGACGGTTTATTTGTTGAGGTGGAGGTTTCCCTGCCTACGATTCCTATCCGATTCGTGTAACGATGATAAGGATAAATTTACATATTTAGATATGTACATATGTATGTATATGCACATAACGTTGAGGAGTTTCTTTTCATGTAAGGGAACGTTTGTAAATTAAAGAGCAAGTCCCATTCAACGTATGAAGGACTCAATGACTCCACTAAAATCGACACGCTTTTATACAATCATTCTTTCAAAATTTATTTCAAAATTCTGGAAGACAAATTTGTTGTCGGTGAGTTGATTACATATGTACATACATAATGCTGAGTTTTTTTAAATGCTAAGTATTGATGAGTTCCCATCAAAGCTTTAAACTTGAAATCTTGGTCAAAATCTGGAGTTCATATTTTTGAAAAATTGGCAACGACTTGCGAGAGAAATTGGTCGTCCATAGTTTTAAAATAAATTCCCACAGCCGAAAAAAAACGAGGAAAAACGTATTAATTAGTTTTTACGTTGAGTCATAAAACCCTACGCAATATTCCACGTTAATAAACTGCGGCAACGCAGGGTACACAAGTAGCGCAATAATAATGCTGAGAATGCGATACAAAATAGAGAAAATACAGATTGCCGAATCTGAATAATTTAAAAATAATAAAATAATTTAAATTTCCTCAATAACACGTAGCCACTCTGACAAATCAAACATCTTACATGTTTTACTGTTTTATCAATCTTAATTAATCCATAAATCTTAATTGATTAATTAATCAATCTTACTGTTTTACATATCCTATATGCTAGATTCAATTTTTATAAAAATCTCATTTTGCCCCGACCACACCCCTTGGCGCCCGGGGGGTGTGGCATAACTCGGGGACACTTAATTTAACTGTTTCAGCCATAGATTCAATTTTGTAAAAATCTCATTTTACCCCGACCACACCCCTTGGCGCCCGGGGGTGTGGCACAGCTCGGAAACACCTAATTTTACTCTAGTTCATCTGTAGATTAAATTGCACTAAAAATCTCATTTTGCCCCGACCACACCCACTGGCGCCCGGGGGTGTGGTCCGGCCGCCCCCAAAAGCTTAGGGGGTCCTCCCCCTAGGGTCATACGTATGATGGCGAAAACCGCACATTGTGGTCATTTTGGTATAGGTGAGAACCCTGGAATCAACGGGCACCTTAGAAGGTTCCCTTGTTACTTATACGATGAAAGTTAGCCACTCCTGGACGAAATATGCATGCTGAATCTCGCAAATGCAGTACACTTGTCATCCTTATGCTTGCCAACCTTATGCTCAATTAACAATTTCTTATGTATGTCATGTAATGTATGTTTTACAGAAGGAATCTAAAAACGGCTTTATTGTTGAAAACGAAAATGTTGTCCAATTTTAATCCCGAGTTTGACACGTGAAGAAATATGCATGCAAAATCTCGCTCGATTACTTATGAGGCTAAATACATATGCATGTAGGTAAGTACATGAAATACATGAAAAACACCGTATTACAGGACGACGGTGTAATAAATGTAATGATAAACAGTCGTCCTAACCAAACCTTTGCAAAATATTAATTACGACATGAATGAGATTTAATGAATCGATCTGATTATTTAAAACATTCCCAAAAAAGCTTTACTTATTTCGATCACACTGCACACACAAATCGCACGCACATATTTATTTAATAATGTTATCACAGTTTTACATTTTAAATTTTAAATTGTTTTATTGAGTTTGTAACAAAAATATAAATGCGCATACAAAGATATTATTGTTTCTTGACATCAAAATGACTATATAAGACTTATCATTATTAAATTCATTATTATAAATAATTATGAATAGTAAATGTATAATTGAGTAACTTTTTCTTGTAAATAACAATAAAGAACTACAAAAACAAATAACGTGAGGTTCACTCACATGAAATAAGACTATGATGCATTTAACATATGTATCATTAAAATGATAACTGACCCCGCTAAGAAATACATATTTAAGATGATATGTAAAACCATTAATGTACAGTCAAAGAAATAATAATTGTGCTGCTAAATTAAGTAATAAATGTTTAAAGTCTCAACTCTCAAAATCTGGGAACAAGTGACTATTTCAAACTGAATTGGATAAATGTATAGTTCAGCGTTTGGCAGATTTCTAACATATGTAAATATAAATTAACAACTAAAACTGAGCAATAGCGGAACAATATAAACTATAACAAAACGTATGATCTGAGACTTTCTCCAAAAGTTTGGCAATATTCGATATAATTTTAGAGAGAAAAAGCGCTGCTCAATTGAATGCGCTCATATTAAGGCGCTCTTCCTGCATGAGGGCGCGATACCCTGGATGGAAGCCTTTCGACCCGTCGGGCCCGCGAGGTTGACGAATTACACCGGAGCCGAGAGAAACTTCACCGACGGAGAGTCGGTTGGAGGCCTTTCTCTTCTGGAGCCATGAGCTCATCGTGGCGGCCGGGTCGGTGCCCCCTTCAAAATAACCGTTTGAGTTTGGGCGAAGAAAGTCGACGGCGTTCTGAGAAGGGGGATTTGGAGGACAGATGCAGTAATTTCCACGGTATTGCGCGAGTGGGGCGACTGGGAGGGAGCCTCCGCGTCGTCGTCGAATAGGGAGGGATTCGTCATTTGTGGAAATTGAAGATCGTCTGGAATTAGTGGTCTTGTAGTTGGGCCCCTGATTCCCACGATCGGAAGAGTGAAGTTCATCCTTCTGGCGGTCACCCCCCTTTTGGCGTCGTTTTCTGTAAAGAGAAAAAAGATTTAGGGTTAGTCATGATATTTGAGCATGGGGGAGTTTTGCAGTCATCGCAATTGTCTCTCTCTCTCTCTAGGCATGTGTAGCAAGTAGTGAATTTAAAACTAAATATGGTAGCATTTCGGCTAAAATACTTAGAGTTCACAGGGTGAAACTGAACATTCAACTTATTTACTACTTACTCAGAATTACTTCACCAAAAATTTGATTCCCGCTTCGTATCCCTACCATACTAATAGTATGGGAAGGATACCTGCGCGGGATGGAAAAGAAAAACTGAGTTGATATTAACTCACCATTAATTTCTGCATACATTTACATACGCACAAAATGAAATTGTAAAGTTTAGGCGCGAAGAAAAGGGCAATCTGAGTAAGTGAGACAGTCATCCGCTTTGGTCCCATCATCAATATGCAACCAACTGCATTGCATACATTAAACGATCTCCATGCAAACTAAGGTTTTATGCAACTCCAGTTTCTTTTAACATACTCACAAATGTGCAACTATGCTAAACTAAACTAATAACTCTCCTAAAATATTATTGTGTGGCCAACGTTTCCTCATTTGCTCACTAGTTTAAACAATACAAATGCGTATTTTTGAATATTGACTTACCGAGCCAATTTCTGGTCATCTTGATTCTCCTTCTCAGCCTGGTTTTTCTCCTTATCGCCATCCGGCCCCGCCTTATCTTTCTTGGCTTGTTTGATTGGCATGGTTTGGAGTTCCGACGTCAAGGGTTCCCTCCTTCGAATCTTGGTTCCATCAGCGTTGACCTCCAAGCTATCCGAAGTCTTGAGAGCGTTCAACACGACGGGAAACTCCCTCGAAATTTGCTTCACTTTACGCAGACCGGCCACCAACTTTAGTGACACGAAGCCATCAGTGCGCCTTCGAACGTGTTTCAGCAAAAAGCCATCTTTGGCCAAGTGATCGTCGGAAAACATGGACTCGACTTGAGCCACGATTCGTGCCGCGACATCGAGAGGTACTTCGCCATCGCTGGAATCACTGTGTCTTCTTGGAGCAGGAAGAGGTGCGACGGATCCTCCACCGTTAGTTTCATGTTCATCAGAGGACAAGTTTTGGGGGTCATGTTCTTTCAAATTTGCAGAGTTTAGAACTGGCGAGCCTGACAGAGAGCTCCCATTTCCCGAACCATACCCGCTGGAACTGTCTATGTCCTCCGTCTTTTGGGGAGGACAAGCTTCTTCATCTGACGACACCTCACCCTCCTCCTCGGAATCCTGTTTTAGCGAAAAATTGTTGACTTGGTCATGGTTTTCCTGGTCGTCAGAGGGGACAATAACATCAGGAGTTTGGATCGTCATTGTCCTTTTAAAATAGGTAACGTCCGTGTCGTCGTCGTCTACTTGCTCGTCTCGTTCTTGACAATCAGTTATCTTCGTGCTATCGGTTTCGCCAATCAGACCTGAATTTCCTACACTGCCGAGCCAGAGCAGGTGACAAAATGAGTGCCAAAGTCGAAGTAAGCTGAGTAACAGGGTGGAAACGAGTGACTGACCCGCGTTGACGGCGGCCCTAGTTTTATTCTCCGGCTCGATCTTCACCATGGTCCACGATTAAGTATTATCCTGTGGAACACAATTACACATTATGAGATCAATAATAGCCAAGTTGTATGTACTATTTAGTGCACATGCATAATAAATGTATCTCGTGTGATAAAAAAAGACACTCGAACCGAGTATGTCAACTCATTCATGCTTGCCAGTAATTAAACTACGCTAAATTTATGTCACCCCATTCATTCACAACACAATTCATCTCGTCGGGATGATCACAGGGCAAAAACCGGTACGTAAACTAAAGTCAAAGTTACGTCAGTTGTGATTATGATCTTCGATCCTGACCTCCTCCTCCTCCTCCAATAACAAACTGATATCCTACTAATCACTGATAAGCATGCAATTTAGTGTGCACTACCTACCACCCAAAGTGAGTCATGCCTGGAAGGAGGATATCATCTACATACGTACTACTTCAAGCCAATCAATGTCATGCGATCGTGACGACAGACAAAAATTTTCTAAATATAAATATAAATTTACCTTTTAATTCCTCTTTTTGATGCGATGCGATATGACGAAATAGCAAATCAAGTGTGACCCGACCCGATTTGTCGTGTATTTTGTAAAAATCCGATTTTTCTTCCTTGACGTGAATGAGGTTTTGAAGAGAGAAATATTATCCGGCGAGAGAAGAGCAAGTTGATTCAACTGGCTAAGAGGCAGAGAAATGGTCTGGTCTGGTCTGGTCTGGTCTGGCAGAGAAGTGAGGATGATGATTTCTGATCCTCGGAAAGCAAGCTTCTTCTGCTCACAACTACAACTTGCAAATCAGCGCCGGTTGATAAAATTAGACAAATTTCAGTCAGGTATTTATTTATCTAGGACAGGATGGATGATATGGATGATATGGATGATGGAGAGATATGTAATTTGTGTATGTAGATGCTGGGTTGTTGACTCTATCCATTGAAATTTATCTAAATTTACTTACCTTCTCTCCTCTGACTCTGGCCATACAAATTATTTTATGGAGACTGGATTTCTCTAAATGGCCGAAAAATGGGCGTTGAAAAGCAGATCAAGATAACCTCGGGGAAAAAATAGTCAAGGAATTCAATTATTTAGTTCTTCTTCCTTCTAGGTGGACGAAGAGTATGGATGAATTATTGCTTTTTTAATGTCACGTATCTCTCACAGAGTCCCACAACATGCAGTGCTTCGTTTCTTGCGGGTTTGCTACGTTTCTTGCACTGGAAAGTAGGAAATGTGAGATGCAAGAAAGTGCCAGAAACATGTGCCACCCAGCCACGTGTCATACGAAGTATAGTTTAGAAGGGCATGCATAGTTTCTTGCGCCTTGCATTTCTTGCAGGTCAAAATAGCTGCAAGAAACCAATTGCTTACCGTTATTCCTTGCAAGTGGTTATTTCCACCGGAAACACTTACAACACGACAGGCTATCTTTGTATGAGAAATGTATGAGAAATGTATGAACAAATCATCTACAGAAAATCCACCTTTTTGGGAGGCGGATACTCAACAAGAGATAACACGATGCTTATCTAACAACAAAATCTTGGGATAGATCTCTATTCAAACGTATCACACATTCTTTAAGATGGGTCATTGAAATAAATGGAAGGTATGGATTGGATATATGTAAATATTATCAAATGATGTTAATTTGCATACTTATTTTACATACTCTGGAGTTTTGTAGCAGTACTTGTGATTCTGTGAATTGTGGGATATAGTAAAATTCAACTTATTTACTTAACCGACTCCCACTTTTAAAATGTCCGAGTTGGAATGACAATGACAACTTATCTTGACTTTTTGCTCTTCAGAAAGTAGTTGTAAGTTGGGGCAGGCAGTCACGTAAATGTGGGACCTTGGGAAATTTCGCAACCGTAATTTATTTTTTGCTTAAAATCTTTTCCGAAATACTGCCACATTTACTCAAGGGATGGATAAGTACGTTACATGTAATATGTTTGGTTAAAAGGAGTTCACACAGGAAAAAATCTTATTAGAAATATGTAAGATTTTTGACTGTGTAAACTTAATTTTTGCAAACAGGACAGCCTTGGTACTTACTTCCGACCTTCGTGGTTATTGACATGGTCGATAAAGTGGTGACTACTTTTTAGGAAGGGGGGGGGGGCACTTCTCATGGAAGAAGTCGGTTCCAATCAGGGCCTGATTATCATGCAATAAATCCAGGTCGAACCGGGATAAGCTGAATGCAGTTGAGGTGGGTGTGGACACGGAGGTGAGCACTGTTTTTATTCGTGAAGGGACGATGGCAAAATTTTTTGAATGCGAACTTTCTTTCCTTCTAAATAAATTGCATCAGTGTTTCGGGTACTGCAAGAAATAACGGCAAAATAGTCCATTTTTGCAGCTATGTAATTATATGCTCTGGAAACGATGTTCATTCAACGTGATGAGATGATGAGAAGCGAAGAAACCAATCGTCTCACATTTGTTGAACGAATCTTCAAGGTAAAAAATCTAAGAGTTGAATCACATTCGTCTCAATTTGCCTCCTGAACGCATAATGTTGCACTCTGTTCACAAAATAGTATACATCCTCACTCGCCTTCTTCGTTGGGTCGTGTCGCCACAAAAACTTTAGTTTTCGCCACCGTTTTCCGTACACAACTTTGCGTAAATCAGGAAATGATGTAATTTATTTGGGAAAGCACAAATTTTAGCAAAATTTAGAAATTCATCCGCTTGTTTGTATGTATTTACGCACGATTAATATGCGACGACCGAATTAACAAATTAGTTTAACAAATTACTAGTCGTTGCATGTTCGAGGAAGCCATGTTATGCTGTCCGAGGGTAAAAATCTACTCACTCGTCCATTGTGACCATTAATTACATAATGCATGCATATAATTAATTATGCACATTAATTACATAATGGGTCAAAATGAATACTTGAAACATGCAGAATTACGAACCGAGTAAAGTCTTGTATGTATTTATAAAAACAAACAGAATGATTTTACTAAATAGAAATTTGATAATCAAGAAGCTACAAATAATAAATTTTATGCGAACAATTTACCATGGAATTTGCATTGATTCCAGTCATGTTAGAACCGTCAACCGTATTTAAATAAATCAAATTAAATACATACCGCATCATGGAAAACATGATTAAGCAAAGATTTGAAATATTTTATTCCGAATTGTACAAGACTTAAGGAAGACAATTTTTTATAAGACTTCACCGCAATTCACGTACTACTTGGTAACTCGTAAAATCCGTGCATTTTGTACCCTAATTTTACAAACTTTTACAAAATAAATAGAAGCTCATAATCTGAGTAAGTTTACAAAAATCTGTAAGCTAACTTTCTTTTGAAATATGAGTAAAATTTTGTAAACGTTTGTTAGTTTACAGAATTTACGGATTTTACAATGTTGCTAAAAGCCCTGCGTGAATTGTCTCATTGTCGTTTTAAACATATTTTTATATAAACTGCGACACAAAGCGACACGGATCAATCGACCTATATTTAAAATATGAGTACTGTTTGTCTTGGTGTATTTATCTCACAAATGTGCGCACATTTTTTGCATAGCTTACACTCAGTCAGTGTGACTTACTTGTAGTTGAGCATGATATTTCGGATGGGGGACGACGTTATTTATTTATCATCGCGGCATAAATTTGATGCGGACGGGATGCTTTGGAAATAATAGGGTTTCATAAACTTGTTCCATTTCCTGCGATGCAGAAGGATCTGCTAATTCGAGTCGATACTTTTGAACCATTCTGGTCAGGCCGACGTGTAAGTCTTGTTCTGCGAAACGACGCCCGGCACACATTCGGGTTCCATGTCCTGTAAGATTATTATACATATTTATGACATTTCACTCTTAGAAAACTGGTATTAAATCATTACCGACCGAAGTATGGCTTTACCAGCACGGTAAAAATGGGCATTGTTGTGATAATGAAAAAACTTCTGCATACTTACCAAACGGGATGAAAAGGTAGGGATGATTCTGAACGGATTTACTACTTTCACCGACTTCCTCATCCCTCAGCCACCTGGATAACAAGGGAAATCACACAACGTAATTTTGATATTTTCAAAATTTTAGCGTGGTGGCATATGATTTCCAAATTTTTTCGGTTCATGAAGGAAGAGGAATTCATCCAGGCTCAAATTTGAGCTTCCAGAGCTCACTTGCGCTCGCTTTTATCCAATTTTCTACTGTTTCTGCATGGAAAGTCTTAATTAATTACTCACCTTTCTGGAATAAAGTTGTCCGGATCGTGAAAATACTGGGGGGACCGAAAATGCACAAATTGGTTCAGGTCGACATGAGTCTAGACACAAAATTGGAATATTTTAATGTGTCAAAAACCCAGGCATCCTACTAAAACTGGGAACAATAATTTCTCACATTTGCAGGAACCATGTAATTGGATAGGACTAAATCCGTCTGTATGATTCGAGATACTTCAGTCCCATTGGGATACAGTCTAAACACAAAACTTACAGCTTATCCATAACCTCGATAAGATCATCGTCTTCACTTATTACATTGCCGTGTGTAAAGGATGTGATGGATTTTTTACTATTTGCTATCAATCATGAGGTCAAACGGGAAGGTCATGACCTCCTCAAAAAGTGATTCACATTCTTTCCACACAAACTACCACCACCAACCTTAACGCCTCTTTAACCACTGCCTTCAGCAGGGACAACTTATTCAGCACGTCCACAGTGACGATACCCCCCTGTTTCCCAAGGTTTCGCTCAATTTCGACAAAAACACGTTCCTGTACGTCCGGATGTTTCGCCTAAAAAGAGATAAATTTCGTAACTGGTTTATTAATAAAATCTTAAAAATTAAGTGCAGACCAGTAAATACAAGTTGAACAGGAAGGTTGGCGTCGTCTGCAGAAATAAGTTTTTTTTTGCAAATTTTGTTGATGTAAATCTTTCTTACTTATGCACTTACCGTACTGAGCCCATCTCCAAATAATGAAAACGTAATGATGGCGACATCCTTCTCACTCAATTCCTTCCGAGATAACAAATAACTCAAAAAATTGTACCGATTCGCATCAAGTTTCCCTAATTTGGCTAAATTCTGAATTTCTTGGATCGTTTCGTGAATGAATTTACTCGCATGGCTGAAAACAGAATTCTATTTTACATACAATTTTTAGGTTAGTTAATAATTTTCATATAGGTAGATTTTACTCGTAAAAGAAATCCTCCGCGTCGAAAAAGCGCTTCATTCTGGGCGTGGGAAAATACTTGTAAAGTGGGAGGGACAACTTGAGCTCGCCAGCAATTATAAAAATCTGCTTGTTCGCTGCAATCATTTTTTCGACTAGGCTCTCATTCTCGGCGAAACCTCCCAACCGTTTCTCGAAGCATATCATCCCAGCGGCTGCCAAGAAAAAACACACATTAAAATGCTATTAATAAATTTAGCATAATTTACTGACAATTGAGGCAGGTCTCCCAGCGTATGCTCCGACTTTGAGCAAACTAGTGCCAATTGATCATAAATTTAATTAGTGTGAAATTTGCAAAAGATATGATCTCCCAATTTTGGTCTCCTACGTTTGGCAGAGATCCATTCAAATAGGGGAAAAGCTCCCTAAAGATGACAAATTTTACACCCAATTTACTGCGCGTTTTCCCCTCGTCGGATGCAAATACCTCTGTAACTATTCTAAACTATCTAAACTAAGGTCTATTACATAAACCTTTTTAAAAAAGGTTCTTCTATACCCAAAAACACACTTATTCTCTAAATTGTTTTACTACTTACACTCCAAAATCCACTTGCCCACCAGCTCCCTAAGATTTTCGACAATGCGGTCATCCTTCTTGGAACATTCTTGTTCAATTCGTCCCATAAAGTCGATCGCTACTTTGTCCACGAAGGGCAAATAGTATGAAACCTCTTTCGGCCGGAGCATCATCTTATGAACCGCACTCCTCAAACGGTACCACTCGTCGCCATTTCTATGCAAATTCATATGAAAATTTATTACATAAATATTTGCAAACAACAATTTATGTATGCATACGTATTTCCTAGTCCAAGAGATAGCTCCCTCTTTGTTCTGTAAAATTGAGTGGCTTCCTATTAACAGAAATAAATCCGTGTTAATAACATTTTTCGCAAGATCTTGCCAAAATCTTATATCGTAGCTAGCGTTTAGGGTGCAAATAACCACTTGCAAGAAAGAACAGGAAGAAAGTGGTTTCTTGCAGCTATTTTGACCTGCAGGTATTGCAAGGCGCAAGAAACTACGATCCGCCACTATACTTCATACGGAGCTTGGCTGGATGGCGTAGTTTCTTGCACCTTGAATTTCTCTTATTTCTTGCATATATTCCTTTGCAGTACAAGAAACGTAACAAACCACAAGAAAAGAAACACTGTTTAAAAATTCGCATTTTGTACATAATAAATAACCAAGTGACCTGTAGCGGCGGAATTGTGGGGCTTTTCCCCTCCACGCTGAACACTGCTTTCACATCGTCCGGATCAAAGACATGGATGAGGGCGTGATCCCCGCGCTGTTCTCGAACCAGGGGGCCATATTTGGCATGCATGTCGCGTAAAGCGATGTGATACCGTGACATTTCATGACCTCCGAGCCAACCTGACCACCAAATTAATTAAATTAAACTTTAATTTTCATACGTATGCAAATTATATATCTCACCCGGTAACTTATACTGGTACAAAGTTCCAACAACCGGGAATCGTCGCGGTCCTGGAATTTCGTCAAAAGTTTTAATGTGATTCACTTTGTCTGTCGCCAATTTAGCCGATGACGACGAAACGACTCCCCAAAGTCTCATGTTTCCACTTTAGTGTTGTGTAATAAGTCTCATACAAATTGGATTCTCGTCTCGATTAGATTATTAACATAACAACGTGCAAAATGAGACGAGGACACGAAATTGTGTTATCGATCGGAAATTACGACAATAGCAAATAACTCGACGTATCCGTGGAGAAGGGGTGTTCGATCGTCTCGTTTTATTAAATTAGAGGTCAGACCGAGATCACTACTTGACCTATTTTTAGATGCCGGTCAAAACTGTCTGATCACATGCATCCTGCATTTAATCTCTGTCCGTCTGCAGATGACGTGTAAATAATATGTGACGCGCTGCTGGACTTGTTTGTAACCTTCGCAAGCTGTATGGCATTCTATACATCGAGAAAGATGCAACAAGCTGTGCCGTATAAAATCATGGCCATCGTTCATATAGTCAAGAAATCAAGCAGTATAATTCTACACCTTCAGTAGTCCCAAGAAGTTGACACTGATACGAAAAGGTGCATATGCACATAAGTAGTTTGGCTGTATAGTTAGATTGAGTACCAATTTTTGTAAAGGAATACGGTGAAATTGTGCATGGAACATGTGCTCTGATTTTGACCTCTCGTGACCCGTAACGAAATCACGTCATGTTTTTAGGTAGACCGACCCCCCTCAAATTGAGACGGCGACACGCTTTCTGCACGGCCATGCAAGAGCAACAAGTTGTACGCAAGAAGAAATGTCACTTGTTTGTTGTCCGAGTAATGTCACCACACCGGTTATTTAATGGGCTTCTTGTCGTACTTAGGATTACCTGGGATGAAACGGGCTAAATATTTATTTTTTAAATAAAGGGATCCGATCTGTAAAAATCAAGTATTTAAAAAGGAGAGGAGAAGACGCTCATCTTAAAATCAAGTGGGTGCTAATAAGGCGTCACGTTTGGCGATGGTTCGTCTAGCTGGTTCCAAACGTGTTCTCTCTCGTCACGTCACGCACGTCAGAAAATGATGAGCTGAAAAAATGCCGGATTTTGAGACGAGACCAAAAAACGACCCCATTTTTAACATTTGACGCAAATTATGAAACTAATCTCTCTTCGGTAAATGAATATGAAATTCTGCCAAATTTTACCCATTTTCATTTCATTTCCTTCCTTTTCCTCTCTCTCTCATCATCATTATAAACGCATGTCTTATCCAAATTCAACCCGTACATTGCATTACACAACAAAACCTCCTTCATTTGCATACTTTGCACCCATCCATTTGCATACTACCCGACACATCCAATCCACCACCACCAAAAGTGTCTTCTCTTCCCGCATCATGCATGTATCTTTCTGTATCAGAATCTGATTCACATATTTTTCACCTAAAAAGCCTGTCTTTCCTTATTTTATACATCGTCGTCGTCCTCCTTAAAATGCACCGATCGTCGTCGTTTCGTCCCAAAAAAGACTTGTTTAAATCATCATCCTTCATCCATTTCTCTCTCTCAGCCCAAAAACCAAACCACCTTTTGCTCCGCCGATGCCCCCGTCCCCCGTCATCCCCACCACCCAGCCTCCCTCCGAAAAAAATAATGCCCGCTCCTCCTCACAACAACCCGTGCCTGCCTGCTAACTTTCAAACCCTGACCACGTGTGTCGTGTGTCGAGTCAAGGTTCCCAAAAGTGAAGCAGCACTTGGCGCCCGTGACGACGACGACGACTCAACGTGCAGCGTGAGAGCTCCTCCTGGGCTGGAAATCCCGGTGAAAACTTGACCTCCAGAGAGAGCAAGCACTCACCTCGTCAAAATCGGAGGCTCGCACAGACAAACAAATTTTGATGATGGACTTTTTAGCAGCAGCAGTAGGTTCGTTACTTTACTTTTAGGTTGAGTTGAGGTGAAGAAGAGTGAGTGCCAGGCGCTCTGTTGTCCGTCAAAGGCCGCAGTAGCAAAAGGAGAGGAGCACATCTTCAATCTTATTATAAAGGAAAATATATATTATTATATACTCTTTCTTCGGTCGGGCTTGTATTGTTGGTCGTTTGGTGGTGGTGGTGGTTGGTGGCAATAAGTATAAATATATTACTCGATAAGACGGAAGAGGAGGAAGACTTATCTGGGAACATAGAGCGTGAAAAAATAGGGAGAAGATAAGGTCCAGAGAGAGGCGGGTGAGTGAGTTGTTGTTTGTAGGAATTTTTGAAAAAGTTGTTTGTCAATTTGACCTAATTTTGGGTACGGATAAGTGCTACCTTATCGTCTTGGTGGTGGTGGTGCAATAAAAAATAAATCAGTGTCGCCAAGTGCCGCCAAGTCGATTTTTGTAGTGGCTTGTTTTTTGTTGTAGGTTAAGGAATTTTGTAGGTAGTGGCGTTAATTGATTAGTTTAGTTGTATATTAAGTGAAGGGAGTAATTTATTTATGTGTTATCTTCTCCTCATTCTAGGTGGGAAGTCGAAATTATAGTGTCATATACATTCAATATCAATTCGGATAGTTTTTCGTCTGGATTTTCGTTAACGGCCGATGTGGTGGTGACAGAGAGAGGCAGAGGCAGGCAGGCAGACGGAAGAGAAAGTTCGTCAAGTGTAACAATAATAAGTACTTCTCGGAATCTTTAACTGCGTTCGTGTCCTGGACTGGTAAATAACATTCCTTTGTAATATAATTATTTACACACGTTTCGTCATTGTTATTGTTTTCATAGTTCTTTTCATTGCTATTTTGAGGTGGTGACGTGACGAGTGGTTGGGAAGAAGGTTTTTGACTCGATTTTTCTCCAGGGGCGGATATCCATCGACATGTTGTCTTCTTCCTCGAACGATGTAGAGAATAATGAGGTCCAGTGGTGTTTCTCACAGGTTAAAGGAGCTTTGGACGACGATGTGACTGAAGGTGGGGGGAGGATAATGAATAATTAACACGTTTGGGATTAATTTCATAGTTATAAATGGGTTTTATTTGTAGCCGACATCGTGTCCTGCGTAGAGTTTAATCATGACGGCGAATTCCTAGCAACGGGGGATAAGGGGGGACGGGTCGTAATATTTCAGAGAGATGCAGGAGTAAGTGTGAAATAGATATTTTTTTATGAATTTCGATGGCATTTTAAATTTGTATTTCGTTGTTCCAGTCCAAGAGTAGCATTCCAAGGCGTGGAGAATATAATGTGTACAGTACATTTCAAAGTCATGAACCTGAATTTGATTACCTCAAAAGTCTGGAAATAGAAGAAAAAATTAACAAAATTAGATGGTTAAGGCGAAAAAATCCTGCTCATTTCCTTCTGTCCACTAATGGTAGGTTTCATTTTGTAAAATGTGTACATTTTTGGCTGCTATGAATACCGTGGTTCATTCATTTTTAGCCCGAGTCAGGGCTTATATACCCATAGTTGTCTGTCTATCTGTCGATTACGTTCGTAAAATTTATCCAATCGATTTGAAATTTTCCACACAAGTAGAATATTCTAAATTAGGAACCAAGTTCGAAGACGAGCGAAATCTATGGAAAATAAAAATTGTAGTGGTCCTACCCTACCCACCTCAATTATTAGCAAAAACCTGACTCGGGCTAGATAATAAGGCCTCACTCTGGTTTTTTATAACGAATTTATTTATTTCCCAGACAAAACCATCAAGTTATGGCGAGTTACGGAAAAAGAGTGGAAAGTTGAAGGTTTCAACTTAAAAGAAGAAAATGGAACTTATAGAGATCCTGCCAATTTGACCCAACTTTCGGTCCCGAAAGTTACGCCTACAAATTTGATGGTGGAAGCTTCTCTCCGCCGTGTTTTCGCCAATGCCCACACATACCATATTAACTCAATCAGTGTGAATTCCGACCAGGTATGTATAACTAATATAAATGTAACTAACTAATAAATATTCCTCCTCTCAACTCTCATTCAACTTTACTCCGACCAGGAAACCTACCTATCCGCAGATGATCTCCGTATAAATCTCTGGAACCTGGAAATTACGGATCAAAGTTTCAGTCAGTTTATTAATACTCCATTCAAATTAAGAATAAGCAACAAACTAACTTTTTATTTTTTTAATTTCTCTCTAGACATCGTAGATATTAAACCCGCGAACATGGAAGAGTTGACCGAAGTGATAACTGCTTCCGAGTTCCACCCAACCAGTTGTAATTTGTTTGTATATAGCAGTAGTAAGGGAACGATTCGACTTTGCGATATGAGAGAGGCAGCTTTGTGTGATAGACACGCTAAACGTGAGTAAAAAGAAAACATTGGCGACTTTTCACATTTTCTAATTCACTTTTTAAACTAATTTGACAGTGTTTGACGAGCCTGAAGACCCCACAAATCGAAGCTTCTTTTCCGAAATCATATCTAGTATATCGGATGTGAAATTTTCATACTCGGGCCGCTACATGGTGTCACGGGACTACTTGTCGATCAAGATTTGGGATCTACACATGGAGTCGAGACCAATCGAATGTTTTTCCGTAAGTGCATATCATAAAATACCATTAATCCCGTCCATCGAGGGGCTGGGGATGATGGATTATTGATTATGACGTCGATCATCTCCCCCTTAGAATAGATCATATCAGATCATCAGAGCAAAGATTTTTAGAAAAATGTGTAGTTAGTTTTTGGAAATTCAGAACAATTGTTGTCATGTTTGTGGCGTTGGATATTGGGATCAAGTTTTGAAGTGATAAAAATAGTGACATAAATAACTTTTTTTTTTTAACTCCTAGGTTCACGAGTATTTGCGTTCAAAGCTGTGTTCACTATACGAGAATGACTGCATCTTCGATAAGTTTGAGTGCTGCTGGAACGGCACGGATACAGCCGTGATGACTGGTTCGTACAACAATTTCTTCCGCATTTTCGACCGTACCTTAAAGAAAGATTACACACTGGAAGCTTCCCGGGACGTTGCCAAACCCAAAATGGTTTTGAAGCCGAGAAAAGTGAGTGTAATTGTAGGATTTTACCTTTCACAAATTTTCTTTATGAATATGAACCTCTTCACGGCGCAGGTTGGGACGACTCCGAAACGGAAGAAGGATGAAATTGGGGTCGATTGCTTAGACTTTTCCAAGAAAATACTTCACACAGCGTGGCACCCGAGGGAAAATATTATCGCCGTGGCGGCTACCAATAATCTCTTTTTATTTGAAGAAAAAGCTTAAAAACTCTTCATTTCTTTACTTATGTACTATCCTCGGTTACTGATCCATTTAAAAATGTACTGACCAGAACTAAACGGGAAGGACCGTATAAATAAGGGGGTGTGCCACCACGCCAGTTTTTTGACCAAGTATGGACGTACAATTACATGAAATTTTACCTTTGTGCATGTACCTTTGAAAAATCAGTGTGAATTTATTCTTTTCAAAACGTACATGAAAAACTACAACACTTGAATTAAGTGGAACAATAAAGTTTAAGCATTATTATTATTAGTATTATTGTTATCGTTATTCTTATTATTGTGGAATGAGCAATGTTAATCAAAATAATTTCGTAGTCTGCGTAAGAGATCGATACGAGAAGAATTGAGCTTTCGGTTTAAGCACAGAAACTGGAAAGTTTTCCGTGTTATCTTCAGTTTTAGGCTGTTTGACAAAAAATTTAGATATCTTTTGCACCGGAGCGTCATCCTCGTCCAGTTCCCTAGTTGGTTAATTAGTATATAAATTAACTAATCAAGTGCATCATTAATCTAAATAATTAAGTTAACTACATACGCACCACTTTATCTTCACGGCACGCTTTTCCAACAAATCCGAAGCAGTAGACCAACTGTCGCGCACGATGTTTGGAAATCCAAAAACAGGGTCGATATTGGCTCGGAGAAATTTCTTGGTTACTTCATCTGCATAAAGTCATATTAGTTATTTAATCGTCACTTAATTTTCATATTCTGCATATTTACACTAGCCTCCCGGATAACCACTCCCCCACCCATTCTGAGCCACCTTAACGTTACAATTATCTCCAAACGTCCACTTTTTCAGAGCCTCATCCCTCATCACTTTGGCACAAACACTCGCCGCACTGACCGGTTTGTACTTGGAGTCAGCTTTTTTATCCACTTTGAACTTCAATTCAGGAAATAGTTGCTCCAGTTTGGCCTAGAAATGCGAAACTAAAATTAATTAGCAAAATATCTATTTACAATTAACGTCTCCCAACATGTTCACAGATTAAACTAGTGTCAATAGATCACAAATTTAATTAACATGAAATTTGCTAAATATTCCAGGAAAGTATTGGCAGATGCTGTCTTCTGCAAATTTCAAATTAATTACATTTTTGATCGATTGACACGAATTTGTTCAAAATCTGTGAACATACGTTGGGTGGCCTCAATTGTTCTATTTTATAACCACCTGATATTTTTCCATGGGTCCGACCGTGTCGACGTAAACCTTTCCAATTACGATGCCTCGGTCAATCAAACCCTGAATGAGTTCGATGGCTGCATTGTGCGAGATTTCGTTCAGACTGATCTTCTTCCTCTGATAGCTTTTAGCCGAGATTTGCGTCGGAGAGATGATCTTAACGCCATACACGATGTGGTCGAGGTCCGAGAACTGCGCAAATACTTCGTCTCTTGTCTTCTCATTTATCTGTTTCGAGTCATTCAGCTTTTTAATCGAGTCGATGAGAACGGGGGGACATTCCTCTATTTTGGCGAGTGACTGGCCCTTCTTTATCTTGGCGGAAATGGCATCCGTGTCCTCAACAGCGGCAAAGATACCGTAAACCATGGGGCCTGAGAAGAAACGAGAGTAATTATTTGTCGATTCATACAACTTGCTTTATTTACATGCAACTCAAATTTTCCCAAAATTTAATTTCTCAATTCTCAATACAAATCTGACCCTTGACCCCCATTACCTAGCACTGGACCTCGTCCCGCCTCATCAATCCCGACATAACAGGTCGTCACCTTACACTTTTTTGGCACTTCGCTATACACAGTGACATCCTGATCTCGATTTTTTGCAAATTCGTCCAACGCTTCGCGAAACACGGCAAGACCGTTTCGTTTCTTTGCCTCTCCAACAATCTCAACGTCGTCTTTATTTCCATCGTCGCCGTCCATTTCGTAGTCTAAAAACGTCAAAATTAAATAAAATTAGCAAAAATTAAGACAAACAAAAACCCTCGGCTGCCGGCCCACCAAAAAACATCACCTGCCATGCAATCCCGCTGTCTCATAAATATAAAAAACCAACAAATCATGTCATGCAAAAGTTGGTTGCATGCTTGGATCTGATTATTTCATCAGATTAGCAATTATTACGTCAAGCCGTAAGTAATTTAAGTTCTCGTCATCCTCTCAAAAATTTAAATTTTTTAATACAACACAATTTTTTTTGTTTCTATCAGAAATATGAAAATTTGAGCTTGAGATTTTAGAGTCAAAATTGCATTGAGAAATTTCTCGTCTTTTTTTTGCCCGAGTCATCCCCGGTCTTTTCATTTTGTGAAGAAGAGAAGCTCAGCCGGCCCCACAATTAATTAGGCAGGCTCGACCAATAATTATTTCCCCTCAATTAATTAATTGTCCTTTGTCCTTTACTTGTAGAAAAATGTTAAAATACACCCGTGACGTGCTGGGGTATCATCACCCCCTCAAAATTTCCAGATTGCTCGAAATCTCACCCCACAGCACCACCACAAAATCAAAAATTACAATGGCCAGATCAATTTCAAATAGTAGAAATTGGTCGAAACTGTCGACAAATCAGCTTCTCACCGCAAGACGGTCGTCATCCTCTTCCTTGACGAAATTATTGTCGCCAGAAGTGCTCGGTTGTCTTGGTCAAAATCATCATCATCATCTCTTTTACTCGTCGAACTACCCCTTTGCGCCACATTATTTATCTCGCCGCCACCTACATTCCACGCGGGCCCTGTGCGACGGCGAACCACCCAACAAACCATCCTCCAAGGTGGAAGAGACAGCAAAAGTTTTAACCGAATCTTTCAAAGAGAAACAAGACGGGACCGCCGTCGCCGTTCCGAAACGTCCGCTCTACAAGCGCATCCAAGACGAAATTCTTCACTATTACCATGGCTTTAAACTCCTCTTTATCGACATGAACATCTCTGCCAAACTGATTTGGAAAGTTCTCAATGGAAAGATTCTCACCCGTAGGGAACACAAACAGTTAATTCGTACCACCTCTGATATGTTTCGCCTCGTCCCGTTCTCCGTCTTTATCATCGTCCCCTTCATGGAACTCCTGCTCCCTGTCTTCCTCAAACTATTTCCAGGCATGTTGCCTTCCACATTTCAAACGAAACTGGATCGCGAAACTAAGATGAAAGGTGAATTAAAAGTTAAGCTCGAAATGGCCAAATTTCTTCAGGAAACGCTGGACGTCATGGCCCCTCAGGCGAAGGGAAGATCATCCCAGACGGCTAAAGAGTTTGCCGAGTTCATCCAAAAAATTCGCACGTCCGGCAGTGAAGTGTCAAACACGGACATTATGAAGTTTTCCAAACTTTTTGAGGATGAAATTACGCTGGATTCGTTATCAAGGCCGCAACTCTTGGCGCTGTGTCGCGTCCTGGAAATCCCGGCGTATGGAACGACAGCAATTTTGAGGTTTCAGTTAAGAATGCGGTTGCGCAGTTTGGCGGCGGATGATCAAATGATTGAAAATGAGGGGGTGGCTAGTTTAAATTATGTGGAGCTACAGGCAGCCTGCAAGTCGAGGGGGATGAGGGCCGTGGGTGTCACGGAGGAAAGATTGAGGAGACAGTTGGAACAGTGGTTGCAATTGTCGTTGCATGAAAAACTTCCACCATCGCTGCTCCTCTTGTCGAGGGCGATGTATCTCCCGGACAATTTGCCAGCATCGGCGCAACTTCACGCCACCTTGTCCGCCTTGCCGGATGGAGCGGTGAGTAGTTTAGTTTTTAGGGGATGGAATGCAACTCAAATTTATGGCCAGAATAAAAATATTTTATTTTTTCTATGATTTTCAGGCGCTCCAAACCAAGGCTGCGATTGGAGAGAGGGAAGGAAAAGTGGATAACAAGACGAGGATTGAGCTGATTAAGGAGGAGGAAAGGTTAATCAAGGAGGAACAGCAGGAGACCAAAAAGGTCAAGGCGGCCGCGGCAGAGAAGGAGAAAGAGAAGGCTCTCCCACCAATTATGGATGGAGTTGGTATGAAAACTAATGAATAATTATTCAATCATAAATACTGGGGTTGAATAACGAATTTGATAAATTCTAGGACACGATGTAATCCCCGAGCCCATTTCTGAGTTGATGACCGTTCGACCACCTCGGGTAGAGCCAGCCCCATCGAGGCGTCCCGAGCCGATGCCACTGGTGAGTGAGCTCGGTCCAGAAAAAGGTCCATTCCTTTACACGTCCGATCCATTCAGTGTGATCGGGGCAGTTAACAATATCCTCTCGAGGAAGTATATTCCGCCCGTGTCAGTCTTGGAGGTATGTATTGTGTCTCATTTTAAATAAAATTGTGCCCAAGTTTGTAATAATGTTTTATCCGTTGAGCAGGAGGTGCTGACGCTGCACGACTTCGCCGCTATTGAGACCGCAATTGAAAAGTTGAGCTCTGAGAGGAAGGAGATGTTGTTGGAGAAGGAGGAATTGCAAGACCTCAAGGAGGAGATGGCCGACTACTCGGAAGACTTGAGACTATTGGAGAGAGTCGTCAAGCAGTCGGGTACCAAGAAGTTGAAGGTAATTAATAAGTGGATGAGAAATGGTGGGATGGATTTTTTACGTTAATAATCCATTGATCCTATACATAAGCACTGGTCTATTAATATGTGATACTTATCCACATTTTCTTCTTATCTTCTCCCCAAGGTTAACAAAGGTGCTGTACGTCTCTTCAAAAAGTTGAATAGCATGATTTCCGAGATGGAACATACCGTCGCGGGGTCGGATAAGTCAGTCGCGGGCGTGGAGTGAGTTGCAAATAAATTTATGTTTAAATACATTTTAAGAATCCTTTACTAATCCCACAATTTTTACAGAAATACTGTCGCCACCGCCGAATTAATCGCTGCTATGAGACAAATCCAACACGCGGAGGGAGATGCGACCAAAGTTGACAGAATTGCGAGAGTATTATCGAAATTAGATGATAATAAGGACGGAAAAATTGAGATTGATGATTTAGTCAAGGTAATAAATTGGAATATGTCAAAAATCAAACATACACTTTATTTTACGACTATTTTTTAGGTAATTGAAATCGTGGGACGTGAAAATGTCCACATGTCGTCTAAACAATTGGAAGAAATTGTCAGTATATTGGCCAAAGAAGAGACCCTGGTGGAAGGAAGTAAAAAATTTACACCGACCACTTCATCCCCATCATCTACCTCATCTGCAACATAACTCAACTGAAATTTAATAACTAATTTTTGATTAGAACGATACAAATTTCTTACATAAAAAAGTAATAACTCGAAATAATGCTTGATTTCTGTGAAAATAACTAATAATTTGACAAACGAGGTAAAAATTCTATCTGAAAATAATTGAAAAACTAGAAATAGTATATTTTTTTGTCTGTCTGTCATATCGCTTGATTTCAAAATATCAATTTTTTGATATTTCCTTCTCTTTCCAAATGAGGCAATTTCACAAAAAGCTGTGTAAACTTTGCCAGGTTAGCGTGAATATGACCTCAAACAAAATATACAAATTTCTTGACTTGCACTCTTACTTTACAAAGAACATACATTCAAGATTTAGATACTTTTTAGTCAATAATTAATTATTGCAGTAATAATAATTAATAATAATTTGTAGGCAATGAATGGGTGTGATACGCAAATGGAATTTTTTGTGATGTTTAATTGACGGATGACAACTTTTGATCAAAAACGCAACTCTAAAAACCAGTCAGGAATTAATTGTTAAATCGTTAATATTTTGTTCGTTTATCGGTACTACTTGTTTTTGAGCAGGTGAAGGCTTAGCTTTATACATGTGAGTTTCATGAAATGAAAGAAAAAATCAAGTGTTCAGGGGGAGTTATTTAAATAGGACAAAAAATCATAAAGGACGACACAGCAGAAAAATAAAGATAAGTACGATATCCCACGCGGAGAAAAGATAATTCATACCATAAAAAAATGAAAACCAGAATAAAATGAGATTAAAGAAAGAAAATAAACCAACTTGACAAAGTTTGTTTGAACTTTTTGCAACTTAACTTTTGCACAAAATACTTGCATACATATTTTTCACTTCATGTAAATAAAACTCATTAAATTCATACGCCTCTCTTGGACATGTGTAATATGCATATTATTAACGACCACCTACTTATGCAAACTAGCAATTAAATACTCGAGTCGGATGACAAAATCCCGCTATCTATGCGTTATTATCTAATCCACAACAAATATAATAAACGTTTCCATCCATCCAACATCAAAAAATTGTCAATCCCAGTCTCCGCAATTTTTAGGAATCAAATCCAATTTTCCAAATTTCTTACCTCTTTTTCCCTGTTTAAGCTACTCCTAAGTATTGTTAAGCACTGTTTTAGAAAAATCTAAAACACTACGAAGATTATTTTAGTAAAACCAAACAAGTTTATTTTGACTACTGATCGCATCTTATAATCTTATTTACATAATGTCACATCTTTCACATTTTGCTCCTCCTACCCATTCCCCTTTAATTACATACACCTCTAACATCCAAATTAACCCAAAACAAATTCAAAATCATCCCCAATTACTTAAATTCCCTTCAATAACATAAATTTCCATGAAAATTTTATGCGAACTATGTCCCAGTCCAACTTTCTCCAGTGCATATCTGGCTGATAGCGCCTCCTGCCTGACTCCCTCCGTTTCGGGGCATGCACCCCTTCCGTCACGCCCTTTAACCTTTCCCACACAACCCCAACCTTATCTTACTTTTTCATCCCCCTCCAAATACAGGGGCCCCATCCTTCCCTTTCATAATTTCCTCTCCCCCCCCCCATTTTTTTGGACGACCCGCACCAAGTCGAATTTCCCTCGGAGCCATGGAGATCACGTGGGTCACATCCCAGCCAATGGGGGGCGACCCGATCCCAACCAACTAAGCAGCCAGCACACAGTTCACCACTTTTCCGAGCCAGCAAAACCACCAGATCACACAGAGCGAGGCGAAGACTACCCAACAAATTCGAGTTTTTAATTCTTTGTCATCTCCTCGATAACTTGTTACCTCCAAACTCGATATCATCTTATCTAAATTCTAAGTGACGCCAAAAACCCATTCGCGGATTCGGCCGAGAAGGTGAGTACGAACCCATTTACTTGTCATTTGTTAAATCCTCCGTCGTATAATTTACTAATAAAGGCAGACAGTCAGTCAAAAAAGCAACAGGGCAAACAATTTCTGGCTGAGAAATTTGTGTTGGTGAAAGATTGATAAGCAAGTAAGTGGTCGGGAATAATAATTTGGTAGTTTTTTTTTGTTCTGGGGAAAAAGTGAGGGTAGGTTATCGGTTGATTTTTCTTTCGTTCGTCATCATTATCATCAGCATCAACGTCAAGTCAGCAAGGTAAGGTTAGGGAGGAGGAAGGAAAAGAAGAACGTTTCAGTTTGTAAACACGAGGTGGGTTGTTTTCGCTTGTGTGTGATAAGCAAGGGGAAAAGTTGGGGGGAAGTTAGTTTTGGAGGGGATGAAGGACTGGGCTTATCCGTTATCATCATTTCTGTCATGTGTGCTTTTCTGTCAATGTAATTTGGATGGAAAATTCAATACAAATTTTATATCGAGTCATTTCAATCGATTAATTTGAAATGAATTTTTAAGGTTTCTTCATAAAGTGTGTTCAAATATAAAATTTTAATAGTAGAAATACTGGAAGTTGTACAATTCAACGTTAATAAACGTACGTGAAGGAGAAGCAGCTTGTCATAGAACATAGTGACATTTTGCGTTTTACACTGTGCATTGGTCGGGTTTTGTATAAACACGAGGTGAAAGGTCATCCATTGGATGTAATTGTGATCGAGCCCACATTACACATTAGGATAAACAAATAATTATATTATAGTTTTGCTAATGAAAGACACATCATGATGGTGCATTTTAAAAATGCGTTTCATTTATCTTGCCCTCTGAACTTGGCTCCGTAATTACCTACAAATTATTATTTGGGAAAATTAATATTGGGATCCTTTGGGGATAATTAACCTGCACCTTGGATATTGACTAAAGTTAATTTTGATGCACCTAACTCCAAGTTAATCTAAGAACTTATCCCAGAAAGAGAGATATTCCACGATAAGGTTACGATCTGATTGTTTTTGGTCCACGGATTGTCTCACATTTTGTACAATTATTCATCAATTTGCCCCCATCATCTTACACGACCACGGCTGATAACAATTGTAAGCATAGGCTTTAATCATATACGTATTAAAATTCAAGCACATAGTTAGCATTTGTACGTCAGGATTTGTAACAGTGTAAACTTTATGATGAAATGAGTAAAATTGTTGAGCTGAAACCTTCTCCAAAAATTTTTGATTTTTTTTAATGTAAATTTTACACTGTGATATGAATGTCCCCTCTACACTATTTGCCCTAGTAGTGAATCAACAATTTGCTATTTTGACGACAGGATATTTAAGTTACAAACATAAACATCATGTTGATTGTGATATTGTAATTACACCATTGTTTATCAATTTAATGGTGGATTGTTATCGTCTAGAAGAATAAATCTTCCAAGAATTTACAATAATTAATTTTATAACTCATTTACTTCTTTCTATTTCAGGTCCGAAAGAAGAGAAAAATTTTCGTGTGGAGTGAGGAATTCGTAGCGAGGTCCTCTTTAAATTCAAGTGTGTGTCAAGGGACGGAGGAGGCAGCTGCGATTTTGTTCCTAACACTTGACCCCGAAAAATGAAACCAGTATGAAAATAGATCGCACGAAAGCCAAACGAGGCACGACGGAGGTGGTAAGAATTGTAAATCAACTATATCACTTATTTTCACCTAACCCCAATTTTTTTCTGACAACGTCTCCTTTAAATTGTGTTGAATAAGATCTTGTATCCTCGCGATTTAGAACAATTATGAAAGAATCACAGTATTTAATTCAATTTTGTACCAAAATTTGAAGGAACATGTTAGAAATTTGGTAAAACGTGTGACAAGTTTATCCTAATTTTTTAATCTTTTTCTGTTTGTAGCCTCCGGAGTGCAAAGGTCTCATAGAAAAGTTCAAAGCTTGCAATAATGTGGATAAGACGATTCATTGTGGCACCGAGCATGCCGTCATCCAAGTGCTCGACAGCATAAATATCTGGACGTATGGAAAATGTGAGCTCTACCACTTCATCGATGTGCTCGACCTGTTTGATTCCATCCTTCAAAAGGCCACCGTGCGCAATGGGACGAGCTGGGCGATGGCGTGTGACCTGCATGATGCGAGCGGGCCGGTGGTAAGGGCAACAATAGTTACAAGCAAAAATTAATGACTCGGACACGTCGCGATGGTAAACCTTGGAAAAACTGAAACTAATTTTTGTCTCGTCTTTTTAGTTGCAAGAATGCGTGAAAAAGATCTGTATCTTCACCTCCATCCTGATTGAGCACTCTTTTTCACGAACAGTCTACAACTCAATGGAGCACCTGGCCGCGTTGTTGAACTCGATTAACTTGTCCGTCGTACTGGAAGTGCTTCATTTACTCTACATGTTCAGTAAACGAAGCAATTTCCTCACACGGTTGTCTGAAGACAGGAGAGACGTGCTGCTGGGGAGATTGGCACTTCTCGCTGAGGTGAGTTTAATATCGATTCATGCAAATGTTTGTAACTCCGATTTACAAGGTTTGCTAAGTTACCGAAAATACCAATAATATTTAACTAATATTGTTTAATTATTGCAGAGCTGGGGTGGAAAGGAGGCTGGATTTGGTCTTGCTGTGTGCTGTCTTCAAACCCAACTCCAGGTAACTTTTGTGGCGAATTATTTAACACATTTTTAAAAATGGGATATCTAAAGGTGTATGATTATTATGTTACACCCAGGACTTTCCAACTACTGCCACCACAGTTCATTTAGAGTTTGCCAAGGTCGTTGCTGAGCCGAACGTTGCGCGCTGGAAGCAAGGTGACACCTGGCAGGTGATACATATCGAAAACGTTCACACTCTTGCTGGCACTCCAGCCGACATTTTAGACGACATCGTCGCCCAGTATCAAGTCCCTCCTGAGAAACAGGTTCGTAATTGTGGTCACAATGAAGTAAATGAGTTTTATACCGTAGCAAATCCAATTTATTTCTTATTTTTGCATCAAATTCACTTTAAGTGAACGCATGCTAACTTCTAACTTGTTACTTTCAGCTGGTCCTGTTCACTCATCTCCGCCTAGCGTATAACTTTCCTCACTGGGGGCAGAGGGTCCAGTTGATCCAGGTATTATACACGCTATATTCTTAACAATTAGATAAATAGTAATTTACATATATGCTAATTCAACAATTGCATAATTTGAAGGCACGTCTTCAAGCCTTGTCCATCCTCGTGTACGCCAACGCCATCCAGGACAACACGCAGCAACTACTGTACAACGGCCTCATGGAGGAACTGGTCGACGTCTTAGAGCTGGACAGATCCTACTTGACCGAGATCAAAGCCGCCGCGTTAAAAACTCTTACATCCATCATCCATTTAGATAGGGCTCAAAATTTTCCAAGGTATAAACTTATGTTAAATAGTCCTTGACGCAAACTTTGCGATAAATATTACAATTTAACATCAATTCCCAAAAGTTATTAAATAAAACTGTTATTAATTTTTAGGCTTCAGTTCTAAGATTAATTTTTGAAATATTGCAGTATAATTGATGCGACGGGAGCCGGTTCCTACCATGGATTCTTGCCAGTCATGGTGCGAACCTGTATAGCGTCTCTGACGTCGTGTAAACCGAACGAACTGCACACGTACCCGCTCTCATTGGCCACCTCCTTGTTCAGTTTCCTCTACCACCTGGCCAGCTACGAGCTCGGAGGGGAAGCTCTCGTCAACTGCGGAATTCTCGAGAGTCTCCTCAAAGTCGTAAACTGGAACACGGTCGATGTAGAGCAAATTACGGTGAGAGAAATAATTTTGTAATCAATGATCATATTCATAATAATGAAAGCACGTCACTTTTTGTATTCGAAAAATATAGTTACTAAAAAAAATTAGTAATTAATTTTACACGACCAAAAATTTAATTGTTGAATTTTGAGTAAATATTGTAATGATTTTGTTATAGTTTGTAACTCGAGCTGTACGAGTCATTGATCTCATTACCAATATGGACATGCAAGCATTCCAAGCACACAATGGGCTCACATCATTCGTCAACCGGTTAGAGGTAAAAGCATCATCGATGAAACATAAATGATTAAAAGTGTTCCAAAGTGAAACTAAATATTTTTTTTAATTCGTGGTTAGATGGAAGTGAACGCTTGTAGAAACGACCAGCCCTTCGAGATCGTTGCACGCCACTCGTTCTCCAACCCACAGTCTTCCTCCAGTATGTCAGAGATTGGCGGTGCTGGGCGGGAAGATAACGCAGACGTCCCCATGGACACGGACGTCAGTGGGAGTCAGACTGTAAGAAAACCTACTTCACTTATCTGTCGGTAAAAGTTTAGACACATGTTTTGACGTGTCTCAAACTGTATAAAATTACCAAGTTTCTTTTTACCAGTTTCATAGATTGGGACAGCTTTAGTTTTCAAAGACTTACTAGCCCAATGAACTTTAATTAATTAACAATACAGGGCTTTCACATGTAAAATTCAGATTTAAATGTGACCAATTTTGATTTGTTCAACATGAAAAATGACCCGTATTTTTTGATTTATTATTATTCAAAATCCTATAGCTTTTCGAAAAGCGCAATTCAAAAATTCAAATACATGTTTCGTCAGAAGGGCCTACTTGATTTATTAGAAATCCAATTTGAATTTCAGAATTGTTTGTCAGCTTTTGAAATCTATAATAAAAATAACGAACTGTAAACTCCGATTTTCAAAAAATGTTGCAATGTATGGATATGTAATAAAACTAAAGTTTGTACCCTATTGTTTCAGGATTTAAGTAGTGATCTTTTCGTTCCGAACTTTCTCTGGAGAGGGAATAGTTCAGCTAACTTTATCCCGAACGGGACGACCTGTCTCACCCAACGGGCCGCCTTGTTGAAGTCGATGTTGAACTTCTTGAAGAAAGTGATTCAGGATCCGGCCTTTTCCGACGGGATTCGCCACATTATGGAAGGCTCCCTCCCGGGGGCACTAAAGCACATTATCAGCAATGCCGAGTACTATGGGGCGTCCCTCTTCATCCTCGCCACGGACATAGTGACCGTGTACGTGTTCCAAGAGCCGTCGTTACTGTCAACACTACAAGACAGCGGGTTGACAGATATCGTGTCAGAAGCTCTGCTGGTGAAAGATGTGAGTTATTTAGCAATTCTAAGATGCCATTCTTTACCACTTTCTTAGGAAATAAATTGCAATAAATTAGTTAAGTATGCAAATAATAAAACTTGATCTCGCTCTTGTTCTCCAGGTTCCACCCACCCGCGAAGTGATAGCGACGATGCCAAACGTTTTTTCCGCCTTGTGTCTGAACAACCGGGGTTTGCATGCGTTCATCAAGTACCAACCGTTCAAGAAGCTGTTCCGTATGCTGATTTCTTCCGACTACTTGCCCGCTATGCGACGCCGCCGTACCGCCGAACCAATGGGCGACACGGCGTCAAACCTGGGCAACTCTGTCGACGAGTTAATGAGACATCAGCCTAGTCTCAGAGTGGTCGCCATGCACTCAATGGTGGAGGTACGTGCTTGAAGATATACCCAACTTTTTTGTTAGTTGATTAGTATGATAATTTGGGGTTTGTATTGATTTTGCAGCTGTTGGAAGAACTATCAAATATCGGATCTAGTCCACGTGCCCTCGCAAAAACTCACTACAAGCCGGCGACACTGCCCATTGTGAACTCGACTGCGCGGAGTGGGGCGTCGGAGGGTGGAAGTAGTGAGGATGAAGATGACGATGATGAGGAAACCTCCACCGCCTCACATTCCCAACCCGTACCTTCCACTTCCTCCAGTCGCGACGAAGTGGCGGCGGACGGGACACAGTCGTCGTCTTCCAATGCGGAAGACAAATCGCCTATTCCTTACATGGATTACGTCCTAAATGTGGTACGTATCTGGAGGAAGATTATAAAAATATTGACGATAATCACAATTGTTGTTTGCTTCAAAGCAAATCTCCAAATGTAGATTGGATAAATTTACTATTCATTATGTAAATTTTGTGTCATTGCAGATGAAGTGCTTAGATGCAATACTCAGCAATAATTCGACTGACGATCACTGCCGTGAGTTTGTACGGCAAGGGGGACTCACCGTCCTTATGTCGATCTTGTCCAAGAATACGCTCCCACTCGACTTCCCAGCCTCACCGGCCTGTCAAGCAACCGCATCCGTGTGTCGCTCTATTCTGGTGGGATTGTCATTTAGAAATTAAATGTAAAAGAAAACAATATGCCGTTTCTAACGCGAAACATTCTTGCAGACTTTGGCACACGAGGGACTTGTCCTAGACCGCGGAATTGACGCCATGTTGCCGATAATGAACCGTACGCAAAAGTTGAACGATCCGTTCCCTTATCCCGGCAGTAGTGTCCTCCTCCGCGAGCTTGCCGACTCTACAAATCCCGCGGAAGCTGTGAACGATCCATACGAGACGCCCGCACTGCATGGAATCATCTCCATCCATTCCATGATCACCATGTTCATCCATGTTTGTCGAACGGGACAGGTGCGATTGCAAAACGATTCTAATTATAAAACATTGATTTATCCAGTGTGGAAATTTGTAATTAAAATTGTACTTCTTTTACAGACTGACATTCGAACTCTAGTGGTGAAAGCGTGGGGGAACGATCAGGGAATTGATCTGCTCAAACAACTGTCCCAACTCTACTTGAACTTGGTGTGGGAAAGTACCGTGTTGTTGTCCCTCTGTGGCGGCGAATATCAACCGGGAACGGTCGATTTTGGGAAGGAAGACTTGGAGAAACTAATTCCACCTGAAGGACTGGTAAGTTTTTAGAATAACGAGTAACCTTTTATTAGGATTTAAACAGGATAAATGGAGCACAGCAATTTAGCTAAGGGAGCGTCCATAAATCACGTGATCGATTAGAGGGGGGGAGGGGGTCTGAAATTTGTCACGAATTATCACGGGGGGGGGGGGGGGGGGGGTAGATGGTCAGATGTCACGTGACATGAGTAAAGTTTTTTGCCAATAAATGTCATGAGAGTTTATATCGTGCGTGTGGTATGATACCACACGCACGTTATATAAATTTGATTTTCATTTTGCATATTTATAAACTTGCTTCGACCTAAATTCTTATGTCTGACTGGCGTATTAAATAGTTATTTACACATGTGTGTAATGTAGCTCTAATTTGATTAATGATTTAAAAAATATTGTTATTCCGGACATGATTTAATTTGAGCATCATCTCGTGTCACGTGACCGGTGGGGGGGGGTAGCGAAATTATCACCACCGGTCACCAAGGGGGGGGAGGGGGTCAAAATTGTCCAAAAATCGATCACGTGATTTATGGACGCTCCCTAAGTGGTTACCATGGTATATTTTTATCCAAAAATGTAGAAGGAGGCGGAAGTGAGTCTGACCAAGACGACGGAACAGATGGCTGTCGACCCACAAGCGGTATCGTCTTCAGATCTGACCGCGGTCACAACCCCGTCCGAATCTTCGTCCTCGACTGGGATGGAAGTCGACCCACCTGCGGCGGACGTTGCGCAACGCGTCCTCGTCAACTCATCCACGCAAACCACAATGACCTCGACGCATCTACAGATGAAAGAGATTAGCAGTGCCACTCTGCAAAACTATGCCAAACTGATCAAGCCGATATTAAGCGCGTCTTCCAGATTGGGGAGGGCTCTGACTGAATTCTTCGGACTGCTCGTCAAGGTAATTTTCTAATTTTTTGTGGTGATATATGGCACAGATTTTTAGTCTGTTCTTGCATTTAAAAAATTGATTTCTCTTTTTTAATAGTTGTGCGTGGGGTCTCCGCTGCGCCAACGACGCGGCCACCACGTTCCCCAAGTGCCTGGGGTGATCGTTCCTGGCGCCATCCCGGTGGCCACGACGCTCGCCAACCTACTAACTCTTGCCCTAAACTGGGAGCCGAAAATGAACTCGCCAGTCCCCCGAATCACATTTAGCATATGTGCCGTCGGCTTCTCAGCTCCACTTCTCTTCGACGAAAAGAAATTTCCTTACCACCTCATGCTTCGCAAGTTCATGGAAGCCGATGGGCTGGATGCCATCTTCAGGTGATACAAATTTTACCATGTTTTTAAATTCAGGCACAATTCTGCGTGGGTTGAATTTCGTTTTTTTTATAAAAAAAACGGGGGAACAATCCCTGAAAATTTCCCGTAAGCGGACCTTGCCCCCCACTTTCTCGGCTTTGCCGAACCATAAATCGAAGCCACGCATTTCTGTTTATCAAATTTAGTTTAAAAACGAAGGAAACCATGTTTAAATTGAACACAGATTTCTTGTAAAATTAAAAGAAGTAACGTACACTAATTTGTTTATTTTTTTTTATTTGTTAGGATTTTCTATAGGGCAATGATCCCTCCAATGTGGTCTTATACACCCGGCCCTCTACTCATTAATGAACATCAGTTACAATTTTTGGAATCGTGGCTCCTCCTGATTGAGAAGTTTGCCAACCCGAAAACCATTTTGGATAATCAACACCTCTTACAGACAAAGTCACTCATGCTAACTCAGTCTCCAGAGTTTGATGCGAACGCCTTCCTTGCTCATATTCACAAGGTTTGTCTTTCAAATTGCTAAAATTTACTTGGGGTTAATTTTAATTGGTTTTGTGTGTAGAAATCATTCGATGCTATCGTCCACATGTTGAAGCAGTACGGTTCAAAGAATTTGGGAGTCCGTTCGATCGAATCCCTTTTGACGATTTTGTGCTACGTGTTCCGTTTTAAGAGAGGACAGGTGGGAACAGTTTTATTTTTTTAATTAAAAATATAATTAAAAATTACCTCAATTTTTTCATACAGAATTTTCTCTATAACAAAACTTGGAATCTTGTAATTGTTGTAAATATAAATTTCACACGTGATTTTTATTTATTTCCAGACAAAACCAGGTAATCAAGCCACCTCGGAAGCTACTTCATCAACGAAAGAGTCGAAAGAAGTTCAAACCTCAGAAGCGGTTCAACCCTCCACAGCTCCGGTCGTCTTGACCATTCCTAAGGTTAACGCTCCCTCACCCGCAACAAATCAGGCTGGACCCTTACCCGGTCGACCACCCAGGCCCATCCCACCGACCGGAATTATCGACCCTGCCAATATTTCTGACAGCACCCCACAAGCGGCTTTCTACCACCACGGTTCCATCTTTCCGCTCGGCCCAGCCCTGGTGCCTATCACAGCACCTCACAGCCTCGAGCCACGCCCGTTGCCAGTACCAACTCCAGTAGTAGAATCTGAAGACGACGAACGCGTACCCGCATTACTAACGATCAACGAATTGAGGAACATGGAGGCATTGAGGGCGCTTGGTCCTTTATCGTCAACAGAGGCTTCCGTTGCCACGGCGTTGACGATACTTGCAAGGCCTCCGGAGGGTGTTCCTCCCCTACCTGGGGGACAGATCGCAGATGCAAATACTCGTAAGGATTTTACATGATTTTATTTCGATTTATAGGGCTTAATTTTTGAATTTGTCTTCATTTGTTTAGAAATAGTGGATCGAATAGATGCCGCTGAGCGCCTTGGAGTGGATTTGAACCATTTGGAACAATTGATGGAAATGGGTTTCCCACTAGAAATATGTGTTGAAGCCTTAGTCACAACTAGTAACATAATGCTGGCGACGGACTATTTGTTGAGTAATGCGAGGGCTACAGTTGGAGGTGCGAGTAGTGGAAGTGCTGGCAGCAGTAATTCCATTGCCAGAGATAATAGCACTCTACCGGTAAATTTTACACTTGCATTTTTAATAGGATAGTTTTGCACAAGCAAAAAATTTATATATATTTGCAGCCAACCGGGAGTCATGAAAGATTGACAGCTTTATTAAAACTGTTCACTGATAAGGAGAAGGCGAAAGAGGCAGCAAAAGCGGCAGAGGCTGCGGCATTTTCAAAATCCATTTTTGATGTGAGTTTATTTTTTGCAATAAATTTTAGTGATGAATTTAATCTTATAAATTGAAATTTATTATGATTATTTTCTGGGCAGAATTTGGAGTCCTTGACACCCGAAGTGATTGATGACTTTGCCACCGATGTGTTTGAGCTGTGCATGGACATTTTAGATAAAATTCCAGAGTCTGTGTTTCGAGTTTGTGAGCTCTTAATTGCTGTCGGGCAAAGGAAAGGGATGCTTTGGTTGGAAGAGACGTTGTGGAAAATTATTAAACAGGTGCATTTGACTTGGATTAAATTTTAAATTATAATTGAATCACTAGTTGCATAATTTCTAACAAAGTTTAACAGTAATTTTGAGTATGCATTCAAAATTTCGCATTTTTGATTTCAGAGTTACAACGACATTTTTCTCTACGTAAAACTTTTGGAGAAAGGAACGGACGGCTTGGCTCCGGTAACATTGGGCACGGGTCCGAAACAGTTTGGATACCGGATGCACCTCTTTTCCCTCTTGTCCGATGTAATATTTCGCATTTAAAAAAATCGTTTTTCTTTAGAGAAAAAATTACATTAAAAAAATTCGTTTAAATTTTCTAGGAAATGACATTTCTCTGCGGAATGATTTTGGAACAGAGCGACATTCCAAACTCGATAGTCCGTCTAATCAAATACTACGAACGTGCGCTCAATTCTGCCACCACGGAGCAGCTCGTAGCCTCTGGGATTATGAAGAATGGCGTTTTACAGTCTCCGCCCTGGTTGGCGCCTACGTTTTTACTCTTGGATCTTTATCAAAAAGCGGTGGCGTTGAGCAACAGGAAATACTTGTTGGAAAATGTGAGTACAAATGAGAGAATTCTGAATTCGTTGGCTTCTAACTCGTGGTATTGATACATAAGTAATATCATCTAGTAATAGCTCGGTAGTAAAGTTTTACAATATCGGTAGCAAATTTTTACGGACCGGTATAACTTTAATACCAAGCGATCGGTAGCAGCTTTAATACTGATGCGTGACTATACAAACAGAACTAGATTTTACCAGATATCTAATAGTGTAATTTTCCAGTTTTTTTTACATATTGTGAACTTTTATTCATTTATTTTTTGAAATTGGTGAAATTTTGGCCTGTTTATGTGGAATCATTTTAAGATTTATTAGATTCTGATCTGATTTCTGAAAATTTCAAACTACAAGTTTGTGAAAATTAACATGATTCGATAGATGTAAATAATTTAAAAATAATGAAAAATGTGGGGTATCGAAATTGCAAAATTACGAACTACGATTTATACGTTAAATCTGCCAAGTTGCGAGTAGATTTATTATATTGGACTTTAAATTCCAACACGAATTTTTTCCCAACCTTCAAGGATACGGACTACCGCTGGAAATGGTTTGACATCAATTCTGGCAAGTGGTGCCCCTACTCTTCCACGAACAATACTGTAATCAACAAGGCCTTCTGGGATGGGGACAGCACCGTCCGCATAACTGCCGGGCGACGCCGCTATGTTATCAACTTCAACGCAATGATTCAGCTCAACGAGGAGACTTCGAACCGCCGTCCCATCACGCTCTGGCTAGCGGATCCGGCCCCCGTCCTACCATCTCTTCAATACTTACCAACTACCAACAGACGTGTCGGCTATTCTGAAAAGATGACGGGGATCGGTCCTCATCCACTCGTTGAATCAGAAGACGTTCGACCAAAAGATCCAGATCGTCACACTTTTCTAGGACAAGGACGAGGGACGACAAATTCTACAGAGAAGCAAATGCGTTATACCCGAGAAAAGTTAGAGTTTTTTAAGACATTGCTCCGGGACGACGTTCATGATCTTGTCAAGTAAGCTTGGAATTTTTGTATACTTTATAAAGTTGTAAAGTTCTAAAAATCCACATGTGTTCAATTTTGATTTTATTTTTATAGATGTTCCGTGAGCTTTATGAAACACCCCATCGAGCCAGAATTCCTCCACGCCCTGATGAGATTTTGTCTTCGAGCTACTCGTGATCACGAGGTGGCCGTGACGTTTGCAAATGCTGGCGGAATCCAGCTTGTGCTAGATTTGACGCAAAACTCCAACTTTCCTGGAGTTCTACCCCTCTCGAATCTGCTGATTAGACATGTAATCGAGGATCGAGGCTGCTTAAGATATGCAGTGGAAAAGGTGAGATCTTTAAAGGAACATCATGAGGACAATGTAATACAAAGGAGAGGCTAAAATAAGCGAGGAAAATAATCTATGCCAATTTTACTTATATTTTATAGATGATTCGAGCCAAAGTATTGAGCACAGGTGCATCGACATGCAAAGAGCTCCACTACCTGCTCCGCGTCCTCGCTCCGATCGCCTGCCGCTGTCCCGACCTCTTCGTCTCCGTGGCGAAAGAGATTCTCCAAGTCGATCTAAACTTTGTGACTCGACGAGGTACGAGACTTGATTTAAAGAATTTTGATTTTGGGCGAAATTGTAAATTTTGTCGTATTATTTGCAGAGGAAGATTTGAGACTGATCGTGAAAGCCGTCCCATGCAAGCAGGAAAGCTTAATTACCACGATGGGTGACGCCGCGAAGAATGTAATCCAACAGCTCCTGGTTACTCTCACGCTGAACAATCCAGGCGATGGGGACCAACAATCGTCTGTTAATAAGGAGGAAGAAGCTGCCGGAAAAACATCTTCTCAAGTGAAGATGATTAATACAGATGAAATGGTAATTTTAAAAAAATCTGGTTAACTATTAGTATTTCTTGTCAGTTCGAAACGTTACGATAAAGATTAAGCTGATGGAAATTTGTAAATTTAAAATTTGTGGTGATTTGGTTGATAATTAATAATATACTAATTTTGTTCGTAATTAGATGGATACGGACACAAACTCGAAGCCGGTGAAGGATTTGGGCGATGTCATGAAAAAGAGGAGACTGATTCCGAAAGATGCGATTTGTCAATTGTTAGCCGAATCTGTCCATTCCTACTCGTACTCGTGTAAGATCATAGCAGAGTACAACTTCCAAGGGGGAACTAGCATCCATGTCACAGAGGTGAGTGGAGGAATTGATCAATTTTACTCAAAGTTTTAAAACTTCACAGCTTGTGAACTGGAGATGAGTTTGCAAAATTTGATCGACCTGCATATCACATGTTCTCTTCTTGATTTGTTTTTTTTTATATTACATTTTATCTATTTCAACTCCTCATTCAAATTTTATATTCTCGTCCAAATTTCAGGACTGTACCGCTTTGGCCTTCCTCCTGGACAAGATGCTCCCTCCGGGACAGACCGTGTCAGAGAAGGACTGCTCAATCGTGGTGCGCGACCTAATTTCGGCCATGTCTGGCTGTAACCATCTCCCCGACGCGCAAGCCATCGTCGTCTCGGAAGTCAAGGCTGCCCTTCAACGAGCCCTCGCCATGAAGGAAAGTGTAGAAAAGCATAACAGAATTCAAGCCCTTGCAGGCCTTATTTGCAACATGATTGAAGGCTGTTCATCCGCCCCTGCGACACAGATGGTCACAATCGTAAAGCCGACACAATTATGGTAAACACTCGTTAATCTTATTTACTCTCAGTGTGTGCGTGTTATGTACTTATTACTTTTCTGAAATTCAGCATGAACCAAGTGGTGCGTCTGCTAATAAGGAAAAACGTGATTGTGGACTTGACCCGGATTTCCCACAGTTTGGATTTATCAAGTCCTCAGATGGCGGCGACAATCAATGCGGCGTTGAAGCCGTTGGAAGTAATTTCTCGAATTGTAAATCAACCGGCGCCATCAAATCCGCACCGTGTAAAACCAAAGGCGGAGAGCGCAGTGTTGGACTCTGTGAATAATACTCATACGGGTAAAGAATACAATTTATTCATAAAAAAGTGACAAAAATGTATGAATTTGAACCTGTTTTTCTGTCAGCGGTCATTTTAACCTTAATTTTCATTAAGGTTAAAATGATCTCTCTTAATTATTTAACCATTTTTATTCAAAAACTAATACTCGAAACTTTACTATTCTATTTTAACCTTATTTTTTGTGGCCAGGTGGCACTAGCAACTCGGAGTTAACTCATGCTCAAGGAGAGGAGACTGTGGAAGATGCCGACAATACGGAACATGACATTTCCGCTGCGGCCGAAAGTATTTTGGATGCCACGTCTGAAAGTCACACTCATCACGATCCAGCCGAAGAGAGGGAAGACGACGTCCTGGACGATATTATGGATCACTTACTAGAAAGGTAAGTTGGAATGGGGGATGCATTTTTATTAAATTCGTAGCTTAATTGTCATCATTTTAATTGCAGAGATGCCAATGCACACAGTGATGAACAACTCTTTGCCGACGCCTTGATGGCAGATGCTACTAGCAATCGTATGGAGACCGAGCAGGACGGAACTGCTCGAGAAGACCGAGAGTTTGGAGAACGCGCTGGGGTGAGTTGTTACATTGGTTAAGCTTGAAGTAAAAATGGGAGAGCAAATGTTGGTTCGAAATTCGAATAAAGCAAAACCCATTGAAATTAAGTAAAACAAATTAACTGAAATTCTAACATAAGGCAAAATTCCTCCATAGTTTAACGTAGACCACGGCGACAATGACACGTCAGACTCGGACTCTGAAGACTCAGAAGGTGACGACGATGAGGATGATGAGGACGGGAATGGGAATAACGTTGGGGAAGAAGAAGATGATGATGACGAGGAAGAAGAGGATGACGATGACGAGGAGGAGGACGCTGTGTCGACCGACGATCGTGACCACGACCACATGATGGACGAGGGCTTTATGCGCTTCCCTGGAATGGACCGGGATGAGGACTTGCTCGTCGTTCAGTACGGTCATGATGAAAACACTCCCGTTTTCTTTACTAACAATGCAAGCTACAATTTCAACGTCGGCTTGTTCGATGATCCGCTAATTAGCGAACATGCAAGTGGTAAGGATGTTAAATAAATTTATGGATTTTAGGGTTAATTTTTTATTGAAATGGGATTTTTTTTGTTTATGAAATTTTGAAATATTTTAAATTTTAAAGACAATTAGAAACCATCGGATTTTTTAAAATAATAATTACAAATTTGTCAGGTCTTCGCCTCAACCATCCGATGCTCACTCCTCCCGTCGTGGATACTCCCACCATTGGACCCATCACTGCACGAGGTCATCGTGCCGCTCGAAATAGACGCTTCCAGTACATTCATCTTCCAAGAAACCCGCCCCCATCAATTCAGAGACTTCTGGGACCATCCACTGCTCAAGACGCGATGCAGTTCACCTCAGGACAATCCTTTAATCATGGGCTAGGAGTACAAAATCCGGCCAGAGTGCTCATGTTAGATGCTGCAGTGGTAAATTAATTGTGGCTATTTTATAACATACTTTATTTTACATGATGATCCTAACTTGGGTATCTGTTTGCTTGATCAGGATCCCACCGTAGCAAGAAATGGAGGGTCCGGAAATAACAGCTACCTCTCCAACTACACCGCTTTACACTGGTGGTGCGAAGAGTCCAAGGTTTTGGATGGAGAGTCGATGCACGATTGCGTCATTGGTAAGGATTGTCTTGCTCTATTTACAATTAGTCTAGGCAGGTTTTGTACTGTTTTTTATGTCATGGCAGCTTTGAAACGACCCATCGTCGAAACCATTGAGACCGAGCGAGACAGGGCGTTTGCCGCCCGGCGTGAAAAGAAGGCTGAAGAGGCAAAGAAGAAAGGTAATACTATTTAGTCAATCTTTGCAACTGTGTACACGTTATGAAGTTGTGCAAAAGTCTGAAGGCGAGTTTAATTGTAATCCTAACATTTTAGGAGCATTCCTTGTCTCGCACATAATTCCGTCCCTTTAGTTATTAACAAATCCATCTCGCTGAATTTATACAGCTTGTAACAAAGAATTGTCACTTTTTTCTCCTTGCAGTGGAAGCCGCCGGAGTAGCAAAAAATGCTAACAACCCAGAAGTCGTTTCCATTTCAGAAAATTCTCGACCTACAAATAGCACTGCAACGACAACTACGACGACGATGGACATTTCTACCACCACAGTGGCTACAACTACTACGACGACGGCGACCACCACGACAGCAGCACCTGCAGCATCGAGTGGTGCTTCTACGAGGGTTACGCCCTTCGAAAATGGTGTGCCACACACGATCGCACTCGGTGGTCTAGAGCTAGCTCATCTACTTATGCAACCCTTTTTTCTAGATTCTGCCACCACCACAAACCCTTCGTCTTCTGACACAGCAGAAACTAGCAATGCTACCGCGTCCAACTTCAACTCAACTTTTACGCCCAACAACACTGAACAAACCTTCATGAACAACATTCCCGTAATTCGATATACTGCATCATTGAGAAATGTATCTCGGCACGTCAACGATGAGGGCGCTGCCTCGGCATCAACTCCTAATGAAGAGAAGGACGAAGATGAACACGAGTCGGACATGGATGTGGTACGTCTTTAGACCCTTTCTTGTTTGAAAGGGAGGGAACTTATTATCTCAACTTTGGGTTTTAATATTTTTAGACAACTGAGGAACCGTCCGAGCCACCACCCCCTCCTCCGACAACCTCCGCAACCACGACGCCCACCAGTGCGCCTGCAACTTCCTCATCGCCCGCTACGAGTTCGACTAATTCCACTGGACGTCCCCGTTCAGGCAGAGGTAGACGCCAGTCAGGTCAGCTTAACTGTTGTATTGACCGAGCTATTTTATTTACCAATTTAAACATTTTTAACACATCGTTTCGTGAACATTGACTAAATTTGGATTTTTTTAAAATTAGGCACTCCAGGAGAACGAAGGCAAGGACGTCGTCAAGGGCTACGCAGTTCTGCCCGACTCGCAGCTGCACGAACGTCCGAACACAATGCGATCGCTTCACCAGGCAGTGGACGCAATCCATCTAGCTTGTCGCCACAACATGGTGATGGATCATCAGACACGGGAACCGTCGTGGCTGGAGACACATCAGCAAACGACGATCAGTCCAACGAGTCGGAGGAACTGATGCCGATAAGTTCTGAGGCAGCAAGAGATTCTGATGGTCTGTCGCCTATTCCACCCCTCTATGACATGAGGAATGAGAATAATGTGGGAGAAGGAGAAGTCGCCGGACCATCGGGAACCCAATCGATTGAAGACTTTAGAAATGTTTTGGGAGATATCGTCATTCCTGATGGGGTGGATCCATCCTTCTTGGCCGCCTTGCCCGAGGAGATGAGACAGGAAGTGATTTCAGAGCATTTGAGGTGAGAGACACGCCAATAATTTGGTTTGAAGCGCGAGTTAGTTGTGAGATGAGGTTAGAGTAGTAGATTCGTGAGGCCTTGATTTCAACTCGCCATGATAGTCTAGCGGTTAGGACCCCGCGTTGTGGCCGCGGTAACCCAGGTTCGAATCCTGGTCATGGCATGTAACATTTTTGCACTTGTACCCTTTGAAATACTTAATTCTTTTGTGCAGACTTAATAATTACTTAAAACTATGTCAATTCCGAATGTTTTGGCAAACAAGTATACTGTGGGGAAGAAAAGTATGAGTGAGATTTGACGGGTGCATTGATATGGTGGTCGCGTAGTACAAAGGAGTACGTCTGGGGCTATACCGGGAAATGTTTCCTTCGATGGAGACCGGGGTCACCAAATTTTTGCACTATACCGTTATTTCTCATTCCTACAATTTCATGCAGGAAATCATAATCATGTTTTTTGTGCTGCAGTTTTTATAGTCAGATTATATTTTGTTGTCAAACTTTAAAAGCTCAAGTATGTTTTTTTTAACCGTACTTGGTAAATTTAATTCGATTTTACTTGAAAATCTTAATCCAACTTTGACAACTAAATTTGAATATCTTCCAGATTGCAAAGACTTCGTCCAGCGCGCGCTGCACCTGCCGACGTCGTAGAAGTGGTCCCCGTGACCGATGTAAGCCCCGAATTTTTGGCCGCTCTTCCTCCCTCCATTCAAGAAGAAGTTTTGGCTCAACAGCGACTCGAACAACAGCGCCGTGTCGCTACGACAAGTAACCCGAACGATCCCGTTGATACGGAAGCCTTTTTCCGCAATCTTCAACCAGCACTACGTCAAGCGGTAAGGATGAGTTTAACTTAAATAATTTCTTGAATTGTGCGTAAGAACTTTTACCATTTCGTAGATCTTGACTGACATGGATGAATCTCAAATCGCCGTACTTCCCGCCGACTTGGCGACTGAAGCGCAAGGACTTCGACGTGAATGGGAGTCGAGAAATCGGCAGCTTTTGCACGAGCGATTCTTTAGTCATGGCTACACAGCAGGGTCCGCGCTGTCATCAATTTTAAGAAACAGTGGTGAGTGATATCCCTTGGTTACACGCAAAAATGTGTCCTTCTCAAAGTGTAACGTGGGCGTTACCATTATTTTTTTCTTTCATCACAGGAATGAGGATCACTTCTCGCTACGGACTCCAAACCACAATTGCCGGACGTCCCGCTTGGGCACAACCATGGCCTCGTGGTCCCGCCGCCATCGCTGCGCAACACATGTTAATGACGAGCAAGATCAAAGGGAAGCAGCTCGTGGATAATGAGGCCTTGTCCTGTCTTTTGGTCCTCCTCTTCCTCGATGACCCTCGTCTCAACACCGGTCGCCTTCACAGGGTTCTCCGAAACCTCTGCTATCACGCCAACACGCGCCAGTGGGTCATCAGGGTGAGTTTTAACTCATTAAATCTATATTTTTTCACGTAGCTAGATCTTTTTGTACTCATAATTATAAATCCTTTGTACTTATTAGTCTCTCCTCTCCGTGATGGAGCGAGCCAACGAGTGTAGCCGACTACCCCACCAAATCCTAGCATTAGCTTCCTCATCCTCGGCTATCCAAATCAAGGAGGAGCCCAACGTCGGATCCTCTAATCCATCCATTCCAACATCCGATAAGGACAACACCACGAAACAATTGGTTCCCATCTCTGTTACCCCGTCTTGGCTTAATCTGAGTCTCGACGCGGCGCTGGGTTGCCGAGCGAGCGTGTTCGAAATTCACAAGTCCGCTATTACCACTGGGAAGAAGGGTGGAATTGAGAATCGGATAATTTCCATTCATGCTCAAGCCGTACCATCAATTTCTAAGTGAGATTAATACTTAAAAATTAAATATATGATTGGTTGAAGTCGAATTTGACTGATATTGTATTTTTTCTTTTTACAGACACACGCTCGACGTGTTGAGCAATCTCGCTAAAAGTTTCCCTACCCACTTTTTGCCAGCCAAGGCGAAACCTTCGCTCTACTGTCACGAGTCGAGTAGCAAGATTTACAATTTGATTGAGCGGAAACCACCAACACCACCGCCAGAGGCGAAAAAGGCTGGGGCGTCGCCGGGTAAAAAGTCTGACGTTCCGGAATTCTGGGAGATTTTGTTAAAACTGGATTCTGCCACGTCGTCGAGAAAGGTGGGTGCAATAATAAAAGAAATTTAGTGTGTTTTTAGGAGGAGGGGTAAATTGAAACCAATTCGACAGACGACGACAGAAGTTTCAAAGTCTAAAAACTATCCCAGTTTTGTATTAACTTATCCTAATTCTTAAATTCACTAACTAATTTTTGTTATTACAGGGAAAACATGTGGCGAAGGCGCACGCGAACCTCAACGTGACGATTGACCAAGGAAGTCCAGCCGTGTCATTTGAAGCGTCTCCCTTCGGCCAACTGATCAACATGCTGTCGTATGGCTGCATCCGACGCAGTACGCTGCTTACGGACAAACTCCTCCGGCTTCTTTCTCTGATCTCTCTCGGTATCCCCGACACGTCCGGCTTTGGGAGGAAAGTGCTTCTTGAAGAACCCGTCCATCCCCAGGACGCGTCGCTGCTCATCACAGAGTCTCACCTAAGACTGATTGTGGAAGTGATTACGTCCAAAAACTGTACGGAAGAGGGTCTCGAAGAAGCGACGTCACTATTGCTCAATTTATCCTATGGACCACCACTGGTTCGGGATAAGGTGAAAAAATACTTTAAAAATAGCTATTCATAACAAATGTTGACCGAAGTTTTAAAACTAATTTAATACTCATATTCAGTATGAAATTTTATGCATTTTCATATGTGACTTGAACTTGTACAAAGTTTATTATTTACTTGTTTAGTAACTCAAGTCGCATATGAAAATGCTCAAAATTTTGATACCCAAAAACCCGGGGTAGCATACACTTCATAAAACTAGTGACAAACTGAACAGGGTCAGTCTTTTGCGGTGAAAACGGATTTAAAATGCAGATTTATCGCATAGAAATAAATTGGTCTTTGCATTTATTTTGATGATGACTATTGAGTATTCGTAATTTCAGATCTTGAACCTCTTGATGGAGGGAGTTCGAGAACTCGGGAACGTTGTTTGTGCACACATTGCTAGTCTTCAAAATGAATTACGTTCATTGCGAAAAGAGCCACTGGTCAGTGAAGCCGCCGCCGCTGCTGCTGCTGCTGCTGCTTCTTCTTCTTCCTCCGCCGTCGCCGAGTCAGATTCACAAGCTGGCGGACACAGTAGTAATTCAACTGCAGGCAGTGATCCGGATGACAAACCATTCAAGGGGACGTTAATGGACAGGTACATTTTGATTAATTGTAATGAACTGATGGGGACAAATTAATTATTAAATTGTCACATTACTAGATTCACTAAGGACACCGTAGTGATTCAGCCCAGTTCTAAGAACAAGGCAGCCTATGAACTGCAACTACCCTCGATGACTGCGCTGACTTCGAAAACTTCGTCTCAATCCTTTTTCCTCCGATTGTTGAAGGTCATCATCTCTTTGCGGGAATCGATCGAGACGGCAATCAAGAAATACAAAATGATGTGTAAGTAAAGTATCAATAAGTACACTGTTAAAAATCTGGTTGAATCACATATATATCCCGTACTGGTACTGATTTGGCAATTGCATCCTGCCGGATTGGTTGATGTTTGTTTCTGAGTTGTAAATTTTTCTAAACGGTAATGTCCGTTATTACCGTGCCGGTGAAGTTACATGCGGTCAGTAATGATTGAATACCAGTTTCCTAAGAGTGTAATAAATTCATAACAAATCTAAGGGGATCAAGTATTCCATTGGTTCGTTGATGACTGGATATTATTTAATCAACTCATTTTCCTGTAGCCGGCCCCAGTGCGACGTCTTCTTCGCTGAGTGGACCCCTCATGTCGAGCACGATTATGGCCGGAGACCGCTCTCTGCTTCAAGCCGTGACCGCTGGGATGCCAGAATCTGCCTCGCGCGACTTTCAGGCCGCCTTTGAACGCGTCGTTAACTCGTCGCGAATCCGTCTCAGTGAAGAACAGCCAATGGATGTAGACCAAGATCCATCAGATGCTGGCGAAGCGGCGCCCCCGGCGGCGGCAGAGCCAGTACGAACCACGACCGGAACGAACCGAGGTCTTGAAGCAATGGTCGATATTGACGAGAGTAGCGATGAGGATGATGATGACGTCGTCCTGCCGGGAGATGAAGATGTACCCCCGCTCGCCCCAAGCAACCACCCCCGTGGAAATGTCGACGTCAGCAAGTTGCTCCCGAGGTTGAGCTCGCTCTTGGACTTGGAGAAATTGTGGGAGACGTTGAGTGAGTGTCTGTTGGAGTTGGGACATACGCCAGATCATCATGCAGTGTTGGTGTTGCAGGTTGGTTGGTTTGGTTTCTTGTGATATAATATGAAGTAAATATGTGGAATATGTGCGAGGTGATCACTAACAATGGAGGTCGCCCAGCATATATATGGTCTCTGATTTTGACCAAATAATTAGTGTCAATCGATTATTAATTTAATTAATATGGCATTTGCAAATGGCGCCATCTCCCAATGGTCACGGTTAGCAGAGATTTTTGTATCCGAAGAGGAGAAGACGCGCAGTAAAGTTGGAGAGTGTACAATTTAAGTTTTAGGGCGCATTTTTTCCTCTTCGGATGCAAATATCTCTGCCAAACGTGACCATTGGGAGATCGTGTAGTGTGGTTTGCAACTTTTATACTATACTTTTATACTTTTATATTTGGGATCGTTGAGACTAATTTTGGTAAAAATCTGAGAACATACGCTGGGAGACCTCCATTATATGAAGAATTATTTGGTCTGTCCGATTTTGTAAATGTGGTCGTCATCGATTTAACCGATTCTGGTCAATTGTATATGTAGCCTGCAGTGGAAGCCTTCTTCCTCGTCCATGCCTCATCTGTGGATAAGGAGGAGAAAAACTCGACGGCGGAATCAAGGGAAGCGCAGCTGGCCCATCTGCAGCAAGACCTTCCCCCCGTATCCCCCATTGAGGCCACGTCGGAAAATCGGAACCTGGTCGACACTGAGATGACAGAGGCTAGCGGTTTCGGAATGTTGGATGTCACTCAGCAAAACTCGACCATAGTTAGTCTCGATACACAAAAGTTTTTGAAGTTTGCGGGTAAGTTCGATTTAATTGTTTAATTTTTCTGGTTGTATGTCGTTTCTGTCCCTTGTTACATCAGTTGACTCAGTTTTCGTAAACTAACATAGCGTATAGAATGTGAAATTAGTGAAATTTCAAAAACTGAAGCTTTCGTAAAAATATATCAGCAACTCATTCAAAATGAACATATTTTGCTAGCATTTAAACTTAAAATTGACCTATTTTGTTAAAGAGGTTCATACATATACCCATCTTTTTAACAACTTGTGTTTACTAGTTCCTCTTGATTTACAGAAACTCATCGCACCGTGCTGAACCAAATTCTGCGCCAGTCTTCCTCCAATTTAGCGGAGGGGCCGTTCTGTGTCCTGGTCGATCACACACGGGTGTTGGACTTTGACGTGAAGCGGCGCTACTTCCGGAACGAATTGGAACGCCTGGACGAAGGAGTGCGACGCGAAGATCTGGCGGTGCATGTAACAAGATCACATGTTTTTGAGGACTCTTTCCGTGAACTGCACCGAAAACCATCAGAAGAGTGGAAGAATCGCTTCTATATCGTCTTTGAAGGTGAGTTGTTGTGAAACCATGATTTCTTTTTGCATTACAATTTAGCATCATATCTTTATGTGTGTAGCATACTTTTGGTAATTGCTCGCAGTTTGTAACGGTTGTTGTAGTTTGCAAGTTAGTTCAAACTTTATTAACTTTATTTTTTGACAAATATTTCAGCGGAGGAAGGTCAGGATGCGGGTGGACTGTTGCGAGAGTGGTATGTGATCATATCCCGAGAAATCTTCAACCCGATGTACGCCCTCTTCACCATCTCTCCCGGCGACCGTGTCACTTACATGATCAATCAACTTTCCCACTGCAACTCGAACCATTTGTTCTACTTTAAGTTCGTGGGGCGCGTCATTGGTACGTACACATCTTCAAATTCTTATTTCGCATTTCATTCTTACGCCCACTTCTTCTTCCTTGTAGCGAAAGCCATCTACGACAATAAGCTGCTCGAATGCTACTTTACGCGCTCCTTCTACAAACACATTCTTGGTAAGCCTGTGCGCTACACGGACATGGAGAGTGAGGACTACAGCTTCTACCAGGGGCTCGCCTTCCTCATGGAGAACACGGTGGATGAACTTGGATACGAGCTCACTTTCAGCACAGAGGTTCAAGAATTTGGAGTTACCGAGATTCGGGACTTGATCCCCAACGGACGGAATATCCCTGTCACTGAGGTTAACAAAATGGAATATATCCGCCTTGTCTGCCAGATGAAGATGACGGGCGCGATACGAAAGCAGTGAGTCAGATCATATACTTTGCATTAATATCGGCTACCAGTTTTGACAGTGGTGGTTGATACCAAGGCTTTCATAATTCTTTTTTAGGCTGGTAGTTAATGGTAGCGATGATTTTACTGTTTTTTGTTTTAAATACTTGTATGTTTTTGCAGGTTGAACGCATTTTTGGAAGGTTTTTACGACATAATTCCGAAACGACTGATTTCGATATTCAACGAGCAAGAGTTGGAACTGCTCGTCTCCGGCTTACCTAATATTGACATTGAAGACTTGAAAGCAAACACCGAGTATCACAAGTACCAAGTGAACTCTCTACAAGTAAGGAGCTTGAGTTTGTATAATCACGAGGGGAATGTGACATTAATTGAGTTCCTATTGTTTTGTTCCTTTCTCTCTCTATAGATTCAGTGGTTTTGGAGAGCTTTAAGGTCCTTTGACCAAGCGGACAGAGCGAAATTCCTCCAGTTTGTGACTGGAACGTCCAAAGTGCCTCTTCAAGGATTTGGTGCCCTTGAAGGAATGAACGGTGTGCAGAAATTTCAAATTCATCGCGACGACCGGTCCACGGATCGTCTTCCTAGTGCACACACCTGGTATAGAACCAATACAGTTTAAGAAATAATTATGTCAAAAATTATTTTCAAATGTGGCGTGAATAGTCTTAATTCGAGACAATTTACTCCCCACTATTCATTACTTACAAAACATACTTTACACAAAATTCTGACAAATTTTTTCCTCCTTTACAGTTTCAATCAATTGGATCTGCCTGGATATGAGACTTACGACAAGCTGCGGAGTTACCTTTTGAAAGCCATTCACGAATGTTCTGAGGGATTTGGTTTTGCTTAAGAAAATAAGAAATTGATATCCCCATGCAAAGTGAAACTAAATTATGCGTGATACTACTAAATACATACATAAAAATACTACTACTAAATTACTTTTTACAAAAAAAGTCCGTACCTTTTTCAGTATCTCTATACAAAAAGTCGACACGTATGTAATGCTAAAATTATAAGTGATAAAATACGTTAAATTATTAAATTTTGTGTGGTTGTTTGTCATGATATGATGTCTGAAAAATATAATAAATTGAGAAAAATCTTGGATTAAAAAAACACAGTTTTTCTCCGCTTACAACAAATGGACTATTCAAATAAATAATTAAGCAACACTTTTTTTAAGTACTCATGAATATGATAAGCGATGCGTCGATTTGTTTGTGTAATAATAATGATACCTCCTTCAGCAATTGTAATAATAATAATAATAATAAATACTATTGTATGACATGATGATTGCAGTAAATAATTAATTAAGACACAAAATTGAACGAAATTAATAAACTATAAATAGTTAAGTACATAAATATCTATAAGATGATATATAACGAAAAGTGGTGATGGTTTTCAGTTTGGTGTCGTATTTTGGTCACCAGCAGTGATATTTATTTAGGAGATAAGATTCATGTTGTGTATCGTCATGGTTTATTATCTGTCTGGTGACTGAGAGAAGAGGGGGATTTATATATAACTTTAGTTTAATTAATGATTATTTAATAATTAACTATTATATGATCAAAATATAACTACAATTTTTTTGAACGTCATGTTTTTTGAAAATGAAATGAAATAAAAAAGTGAGGAACATAAATAAATTCAAGAATTTTGCATATAAGTTAATATAAGATTTTGCACGAATTTAGCATATAATTTGCATATAGTTAGCGACCAGAGAGATTGGGAAAGGTTTTTGGCGGTGGTGGCTCAGTCAGTCGATCAGAGGCCGGTATTATTATTTCGATTTGTTACCACCCACGGCGCCAACGGCGTGAGGGCCATTCATTCCGTATGTGACCTTTTGACCCCTGCGATCAACCCAAATATATCCCATCACGTCTTAACATAACCAAGCAAGCAACTCATATTAAACGGATCATATAAGTCGACATACTCAACGCAGGTCTCCCTGTAAAGCAGCCCAACAAGTGGTTAGTCCAGCGAGTGGTGGTGGTGGGACATAGATGGGCAGCCTCCTATGAGTCAAAATTTCAGAAAGATGGTATAATAAACAATTCCAATATAGTACGACAATTTTGACTTGAGACCTTGAGGGGGAAACTGTATTTATGAATTTATATCAGTAAAATTGGCCTTCTCGTAGTGAACGACGCAGTTTCATTTCATTTTCATTTCAACCATTATTCAAGTGTTAGCATAAATATATATCACGATATGAACGGAGAATGGCTCATTTTTGTAGTACTTCGTCCAAAAGTCCGAAGGGCGTTTTGTAAATAGATACCAGTTAACAAAACCGGTTTGAAATTTATCATAAATTATCTATGATACAATTAGCTTTAACTATAATAAGCAATAACGAAATAATTAGTGCTAAATAATCCTACATTATAAATTATAGTAGATGCAATACTCGGAAATAACGAAGTGCATGCAATATAATTGACGTTATGACGGAGGTCGGACAGCTCGCCCAGCCATGGTCGAGATTGAGAGGCACGAGTTGAATCTGGTGGTGGCAACTTTTTTCCAGAACTCTCGTGTGCTCTTCTCCGTCCTAGTCGCGTGCAACTGAGCTCTTCTAGTCCACTGTTCGAACTTATCAAATTAATTCGTGATTATCGATCAAGCAGGATTTGGTCCCTGTTCTGATTTGAGAATCGCAACTGGGTAAGGCTCGAGTTCACCTTGTCCCCGGAAATCCATCCAGCCTTCGTCTAATATCGATCAAACTATAGTTAGTTCTACATCATTTTTTGTCCGTTTTTGTTTTAGTCTATGATAAGTCTGCGTTACTTCTATCGTCGCGTAGCTAGCAGAACTGCCATATTGAAAATGGAAGCCGCCGCGATGCTTAACCTTCGCCAGAATTTAACTCCGTGGTATCCCTTTGGCGGACCTCATCGGTTCTCACCTATCCCGATGGATCAAGTCTCTTGGGATGTTGAATGGACATCATACAAGCCGCCGGTGAGTATAGATCTCAAAACGTGAATCTTATCTTATCTAATCTTATCCACCTTATCAGTATTCATGTCCAAGAATAAATAAATAATTTCAAAAAGATATCGTACTGTAAGTCCCCCTCTTATCTACCACCCCATTTCCCTCATAATCACATAACTAACCAATAGTTGATCTTACCACTGATTTAATTACTTATTTAATTGCTTGCTATTTGCAGGGCTTCACTATCCCTGCCATTCTGGCGGGCGATAAGGAATGGGCAGACGAGGAATTTGGTGAAGGATTCGATCCTCAATTCAACTGGGAAGATGCTAAAGTTAACCGAAAAAGTTATACAGGAATGTATAAGTTGGATAAAGACGGATATCCGCTGAATCCAATGGGCCGCACAGGGCTGTCAGGGCGGGGAAGTTTGGGTCGTTGGGGTCCCAACCACGCGGCGGACTGTGTCATGACACGGTGAGCTAGTACTTAATAGTTAACGATCGTTAGTTCTCTTCTCAAATGTAATAATCCTCAATTTCAGGTGGAAATTGGATGACAAGAAGGAAGTCTTCATCAGTCCTGACGACAATCTTCCGAAATTGGAGTTCATTGCCATTGTACGATTGGACACGGGAGAGGTTGCGCTTCCGGGAGGTACTTTACAATAATGAATTATCTATTTTGGCCCATCCTGTAATAAATATATTGTTCATTAATAATTTAATCAGGGATGGTGGATCAGGGTGAGGACCCCGTGACGGCTGCAAAAAGGGAGTTTGTTGAGGAAGTGCTAGGCCTTGAATACGCTGATCTTTGGAGGGATAGTCCACTAAATGAAGATATGACTGAAGTTTTCTCGAACGAAAAGATCGTTGACAGGTGCTACGGTGAGTGTGTAAATTTACATATGATTATCAAGTTAAAGTTGGGAATGTAGTTTTGATATCGCGAAGGCTTGTAAAAGATCTAGGTCGTTATATTATTCTAAGAACGTTGCTATTTTCCCTCAATTAAATGATGGCCAAATTAAGTCAAAAAGTCGAGTCGAAATAACAGATTTTTACACCTTATTCAGCACGACAGGAAAATGTAGAATCGCAATCATTTCATGTTGTTCCAGCTTTTAACGCGATCAAATTAGTATTTCTAGTAATTTCCCCGTAAATAATTTGCATAATAATTGTTTCATACTAAATACACTCATTCATTACTTCTCTCCTCTGCAGTGGATGACCGCCGTAACACTGACAACGCCTGGATTGAGACATGTGCCGTCAATTTCCACATTTCATCGAAGACTTTACAGATTCTGCACAAGATGAAGTTTCGGAGTGGGAGTGATGCAAAATCGGCTTGCTGGCTTGACTTCAACTCAAAGTTGAAGTTGTACGCTAGTCATAGCTTGATACTCAATAAAACCGTTACCCTACTTTACGACGAGTGGAAGAAAGAAAACCCGTCAAAGTAAAGAACCCTGTACCTAATATTTTGCAAAAATGCAATAAACTTTTTTTACTTTTTGTACTCAAATTTCCAACAGCAACATTTTCTAAAATTTATTTCTTTAAGGTAAAAAAAGCTTTAGTTGAGTTTCATCCCCTCGATAATCGGCACCACCAGTGTTTCGTTTCTTGCGCGTTTGTTACACTGCATTTCTTGCACTGCACAGCAAGGAATGTGCGCTGTATGAAGTATCGCGGCGGGGCGTAGTTTCTTGCCCCTTGCATTTCTTGCAGGTCAAAATATGTACCTGCAAGGAACCAAATTTTTACCATTATTTCTTGCAAGTGGTTACTTTCACCCGAAACACTGGGCATGCCCCCTGCTAAAGTTCATCACACAACGTTCCATAAGTACATACCCGGACGCAGATGTGCATGTCGGTCGGTTAATAAGAGGGTAGATATTATCTCACGATTAATGCCATGCATATAGATAGATATACCGATATTTTTATGCAAATGAGCCTCTCATGCAAATGAGCTTCTCATGCAAATTCAATAGCCAGTTGCATAATAACTAATAATACTTAGCTATCTATCAACTGTGCACAATGACCGAAGGGGAGGCGGATTATCGACGCGATATCTTCTTATCTGATAACGAAATGATGGCATTGTTCTGTCAGAGCACGTATTTAATGGAATAAAACGTTACAGAACGAACCATTGTCGACTTGGACTTGGTCACTCCTGAACTTGAATTCGTATTATCGTCATCATGGCAAAAATTGCACTCTTATTTAGCGTAATTATTTTCCTCGTCGGTTCCACCACGGTCCAGGCCGCCCCGTCGATCGATGAATATATGGCCTTAAGGAATCAGGTCCTCCAGGTGAGGAAAAATATACAATTCGTAAACTTCTGAGTATTACTGAACTGATTTCTGGGGTAGACGGAGGACAGTATTTTCCTCGGGGGGAGTGCCACCCTTGACGGGAGGGAAACTCTGGTCAACGAAATTCTCATGGGGTTCAAAACCAAGGAGTACACGTTGGGAATGGAGACCAACAATGGGGAATGGTTCGCCGGCACGAAGCACATTTTCCACGCGATGGAGGCCATCGAGGCGTCCAACGTGTTCAAAATTATTCGCATCATGCCAAAAGGTACCCATTGATAAGGAGTTTAATTAGTTAAACAATTAAAGAAATGTTGCGGTGGTTGAATTTGTACTCACGCTCTCATTTACGCCACGTGTTAAAGCGAGAATCTCGTTACAAATTCACACAATTTAACTTGTGTGCAGTGCCCGCGGAGCGTGAGGACAATGTCCCTAAGATTTGTCGACGTCCCCATCATCTGCCCATCTTATGTAAACCCCTCCCTCCCTCCTCTATCCTACAATGTTAACGTCCCCACGGACACTGTGTCCCCTGAGCGGTAAATACTAATGAACCATACGATGCGACATAATTTTAGGAGCTGCCCTTCACATGCACGACGTCACTGTGGCGCCGACCTCCTCCTTCATGAACATTTCGACCTGGGCGAACCTCTACTACTGCGAGGGGGACAATAACCACCTTCTGTTTCGCTTCTACCCTTCCCCACCGCCGTTCGGGTGCAGGGAGGGGACGATCTGGAAGTCGGTGGCGAGCTTGAGGGAAAACGCGCCGAGTGCCGGCTGGGTCGAGGAATACTTTCAGAGGAGCATGAACATGTACACGCCAACGCCAGATGGTGAGTGACATATTGTTTGACCTCATCAAGTCAGAAAAAAAACACAATAAATATGCAAATTTCCACATAATGTTGATATCAATTTGCATACTGATTTACATATTGTTTTCTCCTCCCCCACAGTCGAGTACCCAAACACGAACGTCGCGTGGAACTTGTTTGAGAAGAAGATTACGACGGCTGCCGGGATGGGGGACTATCTCCCAGCTTATCTTCAATATTACTACGACACGCTCAAGTACCACCTCGACGACAACGTCATGTACATCGAAATGAGAGGCTTGCTCAACTCGGTAAATTCAATTATAATTATTGTGTAACAACACCCTTTGTCATGTAATCAATCAACGTCGTCGTCACCACCACCACTGCATAATCCAATTGGGTTTTTATCTATATAGGTGTACCACTTGAACCAGACGGAGTTGGGGGCTCGCGAAATTTTGAGAGGCTTAAAGGAAACTACCGACCAGTTTCTTATCGATTATCCAGACTTTTTTGGAGCCAAGGTGACCAAACGTTCATGCTCTTGTGATCAAATATCCAAAGTGATGATGATAATGACGCGTTTTAATTGTTACAGTATATCTATGCACCGCACAGGTTCAACACACCTGTAGACATAGGAGCCATGTTCGTGTCCAACTAATTATACGTTTTGCAAATATTTCGCAACTTTACAAATTGTTTTCTCCACAGGATTGACGACTCTGTCCTCATGAAGACAGAATTTCCCCAGTACTTTGCTGGCTTCGATCTAGTCGGGCAGGAAGATAAGGGGTGAGCAAGCAGGATAACTAGTAAATATGAACTGTTCTTCTTATCTTGCATTTTTAAGGTCACCGCTCCTCTTCTTCCTCCCCCAACTCCTCAACGCGACGGACAAAGGGGTCAAATTTTTCTTTCATGCTGGAGAAACTGGTAAAATATCTGCAAAACTCTGACACATACATGTTTCTAAAACTGTACCTAAAACTTTTAGACTGGAGAGGAACCAAAATTGATGAAAACTTGATTGACGCCGTCCTCCTAAATACCACCCGAATTGGCCACGGCTACGCCCTTTATTCCCACCCCTACTTGTACGAGAAGGCCAAAGAACAACAAATTGCGGTGGAAGTTTGCCCTATTTCTAACCAGGTCCATTTACTATATAAGATGCATAAATACTCCATATACACTTTTAGAAATCCAGTATTAAAATAATACCAGGCGGTATTCATATATGACTCTATCGGAGTAGTCTTTATAAGCAATACCATGCAGTAACAGCTCGGTACTAAAGTTTTACAACATCGATAGAAAATTTTTATGGACTGGTATAATTTTAATACAAAGCGGTAGCAACTTTAATACCGAGAAATCAATACCTGCCCGACCATACCAGATTTCTAACAGTGTAACCACTATTTACTTCAATACTAATAATTCTGTCTCATTTTTACTAGATTCTCGGCCTTGTCAAAGACTTTCGCAACCATCCAGCCTTCAACTATATGAGGGACGACTTTCCCGTCGTAATAGCCGCTGACGGACCAGGAATTTACGGCATGTCTGCACTCTCACATGACTACTATGTCGCCTTCATGGTTATGGGTGGAGAGCACGCGGATCTCCGATTTCTTAAGAAACTTGCTCAGAATTCTATCCAGTACGATAAGATAAATAAGATAACCGCCTTAAACTGAAAGCATCGATGACCCATCAACAATAATTAACTTACATTATTCCAGATACTCCGCCATGGAAGCCGGCGAAAAAGTCGTGGCGCAGGCACTTTGGGAAGCCAAATGGTCCACATTCCTGGACGAGGTTATCCGTCAATATGGCAATTCAACTGAGCAGGACGTAATGGATAACTCGATCCCCATGTCAGCCGTCGTGTTGTGAATTTACATAGTATTCCACTCCTACATCGTCCTCGGTGGAATGCAAAATATATGAAACGCTGCCGTAAACAATGAAAAACATGGGAATAAAAACATTTTCAAAAAACCTTCCAAATTTCTCTTTGTACCATCAATTTATTTGGGCGGAAATAATATTTCATGTCGAAATCGAGAATGTAAATATATAATTTGTACTAAATAGCCACTCACACATAAATATTTCTCTACTATTTGTATAAACATTCATCAATAAAACCTCGACTCACATGAAACAAGTACATTGTCGCTGTAACCTTAATTTATCAATATTTTTAAAAACTATTACTCTGTAAATTGTATTATCATTTCCGTTTCTCGACTAAGAACTGTGATGCGCTGATTCTACGAACTAACTGGATTTGGTAATTTTTTATTACTTCTTTACAACAACGAGCCAATTCACGTAGTCATTCGTAACTTTGTAAAATCCGTGCGTTTTGTGAAATATTAATTGAAATGCTAATGAAATGGTAATTGTAAAAACTTGTACAAAATAAAGAGACGCCCGTGATCTGCGCAAGTTCACAAAGCTAATTTTCCTTCGAAATATTTGTTTTCACGGATTTTACAATGTTACCAAGGCCTGTGTGAATTGCCTCAAAAGGGCCTCATTTAATGGGCCAGACTTTTAATTGAAATCACATAACTAAATATATTGAACTTCCATAACTTGAATTTCCAGTACTTTATATACCTTAAAACAACCCCTATAACGGAATCCATCAGACAAGGATTTCCATAACTTAACTTGCATTGTTATATTGTTAAATTTTAATATTGATCATTTTAAATACCATACTTATTTACTGACCGGCAGCTAATTTTCTATTGAACCTGTTTTGCCGTTCTCCTGAATTTAGCATTTAAAAAATCCTCCCGAATCTAAGCAACTCATATGTTAAAAGTTTCCGGATTTAGAACTTGTGAGATTTTAATTATTTTTCGGCTTCCCGAATGATAACTATTGTGGTCAACGAAACGCCACGCAACAACGCCAAACATATAGTTATCGTTTTTCCTCGGCTAAGGGTTAAGATAGTGACTTTTCAGGTAAATAACACCATCTCTTGCTTTTCTAACTAATAATAAACCACAACATAAGAGTGCAAAGTAGTGGAAAATCAGAGACACTAAGGAATTTTGCAACTATTTTACTGTAAGAGATCTGGAATAATAAGGTATGATTGATTTCTTGGTATTAAAGTTATATCTTCCCGTAAAAATTTCCTATTAATATGGTAAACTTTAATACCGAGCTATTACACCATATCAGTACCACTTTCATAGAGTCACATCGTAATACCGCTTGGTATTAATTGGATACTGGATTTCTGGAAGTGTTTGACACAGAATGTATTCCTTAACAGAATGGTTAGTTTGTAAAATATGCTAATATACTGACGTATGACCTTAAGTTTCTAATGGTCAATTTTGTAACTTGAATAAAATGCACAATTTTAAAAAGTCTGGCAGATTTCAATTTTACAGTTTTTAAATCGAATTAAAGCACTGGAAATTCAAGTTATGCGATTTCAATATATTTCGCAATGTGATTTCAATTAAAAGTCTGGTGGATTAAAAATAACCCAAAATATATAATCCAACCGATTAGCATCAAAGATTGACTGGGGTTACGAAAAATACAAATTATGTGATATCAAATTGCACTTTCCCACTCAATGTATGCCTTTAAACAATTTTACAAAGTTATCAGAATTAACAAAGAAAACAAGTAAATAAAGATAAAAGTAACAAGTAAAAAGAGTATCAAAAATATATAAAAATTATTGCCACATCAAGATATGTTTCTGAAACAATATAATGTACATAAGTGCATAACACAATGCACACTTTACTTATTAAGAGCGTGAAAACCATAATTTGTACGAAATTTGGTGGAAACGTTGGTCTTCTTAAGCACGAGAAAATATTGGCAAGCCAAATTGGCTAAATTCTTCGCAAGCTAATTAACTAACACACCCCTCTAAAAGTAACAGCATTGTATTAAGCACACTAAAAATAATTTTCATTTGAACCAGAACTACTACAAAAATCTCAATAACTTCGAGTAGTCGTGTATGAACAATGATGTCCAGTGAGTAGATTGACATCGAAAAATGGATATAAAAATGTGGTAGTTCCAGTACACAAAAATATATACCTTCATAAATTTCTAACTATTAGCAACCTTTCAAGAGTTTAAATATTTTTTCAAAATTTCAGGTCCACTCATCTAAAAAAGTAGGCTTGTGGGTTCATAATAAAGTTCTAAACGATTATTCAACTTTGGTTGAGAACGATAAGGGCTGTGCGGGAGGGGCCTATTAGTGAGAACCAGTACCATCGCATCAGTTTTTCCAGAGGCGATGGTCCTAGTTTCTCACTAACAGGCCCCTCCCGCACAGCCCCTATCGTTCTCAACCAAAGTGTAGTATTAAATTCTATATAGCAAGTAAAATAATGAGTTATGGGTAACCTGAATTCAACCTGAATAGCGAGAGAGACTGTTCATGATATTGGGAACTTCGTAAAGCTGACACTAATAATAAAACGCGTGAACTGCGTCAGTGATGTTGACAATTAAATAATTAAAGCCTCTGAATAATACTTCGGACGTGGTCGCCTATCTAGCCTATCTACGAGTAAATGTAAAAAGGATTAAAAATATTAGTAAATATATACTTTCTCACAGCTCGAGAACAAATTGTACACACGATTTGATATTTGTAAACGTTACATTTGTAGCTTAATTTCTGGACAAACAACAAGATAAATATTTATGTAGATGCTCAACATCCGAGAAAGGTAATAATTTTTGTTTCCTACTTGTTGGCAGGGTTTGTTGACGTGGTAGTCGTGGTGTTGGGGGTGGTGGTAGCGCTGCAACTTGGCATCGTGGTGCTCTCACTTGCTACGACTGTCGCCTTCCTTTTCCGCTGTCTGGCAAACAATCGACCAGTGAACACGGTGCTGTCTTCTTCAACAAAGTCCGCCATGGCTTCTCGGATCCCCGCGTCGATCCTTCCTTCGTTGTACTTTAGTGATGCGGCAGCAGCGAGGGCAGCGGCGGAAGTTCCTTTCTTCTTACCACGGGAGGAGGAGGAGGAGGAGGAGGAGGACGCGGCATCTTCAATGTTGCGCGCTTCCTCGTTGAGGAGGTGGCGGAATGTTTCGTCGCGCGACTCGGACGTCAGTGCGGCGAGAAATACTTCTTCCTTGTCGGCGTCGGGACATCGGGACGTGCATATTTTAACTCCGCGGGGAAACTTGGAGTCTATTTCGTCCTCTTTTGAGACACCGGAGAGGACGGCGGACTCGTGCGAGTACAGCTGGTCGTAGTTGATGTCCAGGTTTTGGTAGGAGAGCTGAAACAGAAGGGAGAAGAAATATGTAAGAAATGGTTACAAGAAAACATTTAAATAGTTGTTGATATTGATTGGTTACTACAATTGAGAAAAATGTAGTTACAATAATCGGTCTACGATCTAAATTTAAACTAAATTGTGGACATTACGTTCAATTTTGTCTTGGAATTTAACATAACATGTGTGGCCAATCAGGACCATTTTAAATCAAAATTTCGTCACAAACTATACTACTACTCACCAGGGCCAGCACTGCATAGATCGACCTCGCCGTCTCTGTGCGATCAAAACTCTTCATATGATTGAAAATGTGTTTGAGAGGGACCCAACTGCTTCCTACGAGGCTGGAGATTTGACTTCCGTCGAAGCTGGAGCGGGTGGATTGAGAGGCGAAGAGGACCGGGTCGAAACCAACCTCGTCAATACTTTGCTGCCTCATCAGCGGAGACGTTGGCACCAAAAAATCGTCAAATCGCTCTCCTGCTACACCGGTACTGTTCACTACAAGTTCAGAACTTTCCTTCGCCGTCACCTCCAATACGTCTCGCTCGTACTTCCTGACATCAAACTCATCCTTTTTCGCCTCCTCTTCCAATATCTTTTTCATCTTTTTCTCAAAGTTTGTGACATGTTGAAAAAATTCGGGTGTGTTTTCAGCCATCTAAAGTTTAGTAATAATATTATGATTAGTTGTTACTTTTGCTTGTCGTAATAATTTTGAGAATTTTTGAACATTTTGAACATAAGCAAAATTTTAAGGAATTTTGTTCGAATATTTGCATCCAATTTTAATCAAATTGACGAATTTTAGCAATTATTAAGCATAATTAGAATAACAAAACATTTAGCTAATTGCGAACACACTTTTGCAAAAACACGTTAAAATCGGAAATTTGCGTCCCAATAATTGTGTCAATTTTACAACACTTTTTTAAATTTGCAAATATGCATGACAAAAACATGTAAATTACAAAGCTTTTTTAAACCTTACCAAAGGTACTCGTGCAAACTTGGGGACAATGTTCCTCTGCAGTTCTGAGATCATGGATCTTATATTTGCTCTACTCTCCGCAAAAGTTTTCTCTTTGGACCGCTCCATGATGGACATGGACGTGTTGTGGATAAACGTTTCGCACTCCTTTCGACACGTGTTTACAAATGTGTTGTAGATGTCGCCCAAACTGTGAGCAACCGGATGAATTAAGCCGTTCGTCTTTTCCTTCTCCGGACTCGTTTTTTTGGCTATCACAGAGGCTTCTGCAAAGAACAAAATTAATACTTTAGTCAACTATATGACCAGGGATCTTTTTAGGTACTCACCTTTGACCATGTGTCTAGTCACAGGTACATTATTCTTCTTGAAGACATCCGACATTCTGGCAACGGTGCGAGAGAATGCAGAGGATAGGTCCGTTTTAGAAAGGCCGAAGGTGAAAGGGAGGTAGTGAAGCTCATGTATACAATCTTGTATGATGGCTTGGTCCTCGGGGGAGAAGGAGGCGGCCGCCGCGGATGGAAATTCTTGCGACAGGAGGAAACCCGGCATGGGAGGAAGGGTTGAAAGGTCCGGCTTCTCGTCTTTTTCCTCTATATCGGCATCTACAGCACCGTTTACAGGCAAATCTTCAGACATGACGACCCCACTATCTTCAGAGTAATCATTCTCCCCTCTGGCCTTCTTCGCGGTGGGGATGTTGTCTTCCGCGTACATTTTCCGCTTTGCGAGACGGATGGCTTTGTCGAGCAAAGGAGGGTCCAAGCGGTTCGGGTCGAGCAGCCCAGAATCGACAAGATTGTCCCACTCGTCGAAGCAGGAAGTGAGCGGAGGGGGAAGCAATCCGTTGCGGGGCTTCTTCGCCTTAGGTCGGATCTGTGAGAGAGGTCAATTTTATATATGTTCGACTTTACAACTTGTGTTTATTGAATAAAAATATGATATGTGACGGCGACTTATTGTCATAACTTATTCGTCCCCATACTAATTAGTTATATCACCTATTTTTAAAAATATTACAAACATTTGTATCTAGTAGTTCTCGTTGTCAATATTTCACACTAATTATCATACACTACTTTTCAATAGTCGTCATATTAAATATCATATTAAATACTTTAAATATTTAGCTAAAACTAATCATTTATTCAAACCAACCTCTTCTCCTTCCTTGGATGGGGGGTTCAACTCCTCGGTTTCCGCATTCGCTAAGACCGTGTCTTCTCCTCCCGCTTCTCCTGCATAAGAAGAAAGTTGTATAAATTTATAAAGCTCGCTTTCACAATTAAATCCACCAAAATATTATTATTAATTCTTTCTCACCGCTTTCCGCTGGCAGGACTGCCTGGTTTTCGTCATCACCATCCAGTGTAATGGTGTCAATATCAACGATATTTATAACACCATCACCGTTATCACCAACTTCGGGGGCGAGAAGGTCCCCACTATTTTCTGTAATTTCTGATTCGGGTGAATTATCTGCAGATCCTATCCCAGAATCGGACATGTCGACGTCATCATCCAGCGGTTGACGAGCAGTTTCTTCAACGCCAATTTCTCCGATATAAGACCGATCCAAGTCGTCTAACTCTTTTGCTTTTTCTGTGCTGGATTCTCCATCTGGAGCATCCTCTTCCATCTCCGAGACAACCTTTTTCGCTTTCTTTTTCTCAAACGAGGCCGTTTTACTGGTGAAAAAATATGTTAACATATTGATATTGTTAATATATTGATGGTTAATTAATTGGCGAAAATTACTCACGTTCGAGTGCAGACGCGTAAAAGTTCTTCCACATCTTTCACTACGCTGTCGACCTGCGCCGAATAAATTTTCGACGCTCCACGAAGCAACAGACTCACTTCGGGAAGATCAACTTCATGTTCATTAAGGTTTCCGACGTGATTAACAAATTTTTTGAAAGCCTGGAGATTCACAATTAAAGCGAAATTTAATTACTTTTGAAGTCTATTTATAAAATACACTATTAATCAGGACTTCAAATTATAAAATACTCACATCTTGAAGGTCAGGATCGAACGGATTTTTTATCCTGTTGGTTTGAAGGACAATGTCCCGAGTGGGCTTCGGGAGCGTGAAAGAGCTCCGAGAACCGTTCTTGTTATGAATCATTATTAATTTAGGTCGCAGGACTAATGTCCTTAAAGCAACCAACGTTAACCAGGGATCACTTTTCTATTAAATTTACTAAATCGTGAAGCAGCTTAATTACGATGTGAAGCTTATTCTCGTGATGGTAATAATATGTATTCTCTATTCTTCACGGTCGTCAATCAGGTCGACGAGGACGACACCAGGGAGGGCGAATTCGTATAAAAATTGACATTCTTGCCGACTACAAATAAAAATACAACCACAATTTATTCACTCTGCACAAACATCACACAATTTAATATGTACAAAACTTTAAAATCACGACTCTCACCTGAATTAACTAACCAACTATTAAACCAATATTTCCTTCTTTTTGCTGACAATGCCTTGCTGAACCCACTTCCTCCCTTTTCCGTGTCTAGGCACAAACCGATACCTCCAACTAATCAATCCACAAATTTAACTGGGCAAAAATTGGGCAGTTAAATAGTCGCTAAGGAAAAAAAGCAAATTCCACGAATCGCTTCACTCAGAAAATCGGGGTGTTTTCTTTCTCACTTCCTACAGCACGCACACGACAGAGAAATGTAATTATTATTATTTACCAATTAATTAATTGGGCTTTTAATTGTTACATTAACTCCTCGACCGAGCCGTGAGTTTGTTTTTGCCCTGCTGTGCTGTAGATGGACTAATATATAGAGCGGAGCGTGTGCCTACTTATTCACTGGTGGTGGATGCTTGGGGGCCCTACGTTATGGATGGGGCCCTTTTTTAGGGAAGATTTGACCCTAAACGACCCCCTGATAAGGTCAAATGAAACACTTGACCTTGATATATTACCTTATCATGGGGGATAAGTAATCAATCACATCCTTCACGTATCCCTTCCCCATTTGCAGCCTGGCGGAGGGATTATGCCCACTTTTTTTGGCTACTACACCGAATATGATTTCACTGTAGTATGCAAATTGGATGAAAAATACGTGTGCAAATCAGCTTTCTCTGGGTAAATCTCTTTTTAAAGGTGAAACCCCCACTTTTTCCTAAACTGGATGGAAAGGTGGTGTCACGCCAAATCCTGGAAAACATTTCCAGTGTAGTTTTCATACAGTTGGAAAATTCCGTTGTTTTTAGAAAATCAGGCATTGTTTCTGTCGAGTAGAAATTAAACGATGCTTCAATAGGAAAAATTATTACAAATCTGGCCTCATAACTAAATGAGAGAGATTTTGCACGCATATTTCTTCCAGTTTTTTTTTGGCTACTGCTTTCTCTCACAGAGAGAACGAGTATGATTTCCTCTGTATGCAAGCAAACTGGATTAAAAATGGGTGTGTAAATAAGCTTTCTCTGTACGTTGGCAAACTTGCCTTTTAAAGATGACAACCACGCTGTTTAATTGAGAAGTGTAAACTTGAAGGAAATGTGATTTGAAGTTAAATGCTGTAGAAAATTGGTATAAGTTGATAATTTTCCATTAATTTAATGAACTAATAGTTTCTGAGAGGAAGTAATTTTTAGGAAAATGATGAAAAACCTGGGATTTCTTGTCGTTTTTGGATGATGAAATATGTGCATATTTTTCGGCATGTTTGTGCAACAAAATATTGTATTAATATAATATGTTAAGTCTCCAGCTGATAAGCGAGACTCAAGAAGTCGTGTCAAATTCGAGATCAAAATTGGACAAAATTTGCATTTTCGATAATACCGTCATTTTCGGTTCCTTCAGTAATACTTCAGCAATATATTCATAATAATAAATCAAGAATTGAGCATTACATTGAGCATGACAAGTTGACAACAAATATGCTAAATTTGCGAGATTCTGCATCCATATTTCATACACAAGTTTGCAATTTACATCGCATGAGTAATTAATGATTGATCAAGGTGCTCATTTCCATTGCATTGAATTTGCATGCGTCACGCTTTATGAGAAAATTAAGAAATCCAAACTCAATGTGCAATTCAGTTTGTCGAGCTTTCCTTCATATTCCGTTTCAATGGTTTATGTCAATGAAAGTGCCACAAAATTCTAATACGAATGTCAAGGTAAGAAGATAGTACTAACTGGCGATAGGAACGAAATTCTGATTCATAACCAAATTTCAGAGATTGTGGATTGTGGACGCACACATACATATTTCTCCCAGACGTGGACAAACTTCTCAATTTGCATTGAATAATTATTGAATGATCAATAAGCATCATTCGTCTTATTGCTTGTCCCATGATTTCCTTGCGTCTGACTATACGAGATTCGGTCAAAGACTTATCTTTTTGTGGAGATAAGCGAAGCCATCTCTCATTCTGACGGAGACGGAGACCAGCAAGCTCCTCGTCAAAAAAGTGTTCCTTAAATTTCACAAATTCGAAATATTTCCACCGAGTTTGCATTGAGAAAGAGAGCAGAATGACGCAAGTGAAGAAAGCTGGAAAAGTTGAACCACGGTTGAAAATTGTAGAGGAGCATAAAACGCAGGATTTGACGAGTGAATGATTTTTTACTTCTGGACACACCCCCTCGCCCAAATTTTAAGAACCAGTCACAGGTAAGATTGCATTATTATTAATTTTCATCGCAGTTGGAGAGGATGGAGGTCAACCACACGCACCAAACGTTGCTCGGAGGACAGAAAGCTCTCGTCCCCACGACAGATAAAGTACACACAGGAGAAAGTTTTCAGAAAAACGGACGACTTCCTCCTCAGCAGATTCACTCCGTTAAACCACAGCTGAAAGAAGTTTGCTAACAATTTTCGTTATCATTTTAATCACGAACATTTTTATTTACTAAAGTCATTGTGTTTTATGTAAAACTCTACTCGCTCATATTTTTTCATGTGCCAATATAAATGCGACTCTGTATAAGGGCAAATATCGCTAAGACCTCACCAAGAGATGTACGCATTTTTATTACTAATTTAATTTAATCTCTTTAGAGAGTCACGGATTAATCTGACTAAATTTAATTATATTTTTGGTAAGAATGCATCCAAACTATTCGAACACGTAGATACAATTCATGCAAAATCCATGAGCACAAATTCATGGAACTAAAACCACAATGCAATTGAACAAAGTCCAAAGTGGGGGCGCCGGGTGGACGGACTGAGAACCAATCGAGAGCACGTTTCCACATTTCCACGTTTCCACAATGCACGAAAAAATACTGAAAAATCCAACAAGAAATGATTAAGCACGAGATAACCAATTAAATAACTATCCAAATAAATACATATTGAAGACTATTTTATATTTTACGTTACACCGTAAAATTTACTAAAGTTAAAAACTCGCAGTTATTAACTCCAAAAGTTCTGCAAGTTTGGTTTAGGTAAATAGAAATTTATCAGCATTATTAAATATTTTTTTAATTAAGAATGAGGTGTTGTGTTAATTTCATGTTATTATTAGTTATAGGAACAGAAGGTGAGGACAAATATGGCGAAAGTTGTGGATTTGACTAGTAAAAATCGGCACCCCATGACGTTGCGGTCAGCTTCTTCACGAGAGGGTAAGAGTTTTCAAAATTTTAGTAAATGCTGCAATCTATATTTTTGTCGTAAAAATTAGAGCTTTCTTTATTATTAACGAGAGATATTCATTTTTGTATTCACTCCATTAAATTCCAGACTCGAAAGAAGTGCCTGTTGACCTCAACACTGCCATGTCTAAAGCCCTGCAGAATCCTTTGGTTAGTTAACTGCTTTTCAAATATCTAATAATTCATTGGCCCGCTTAATCCAATTTTGAATTTGCACCAGGTACTCGACCTTATCTTCTCCAATCTCGGCCTCCCCGACCTGAAAACTTCTCGTCTAGTGTGTCCTGAGTGGGCCGACGTCGGCACCACTTTCTTAGGAAGAAGGGCTCTTCTCCATCTCAACAAGCTTTTTTCCTATGAGGGGTCCGAACCAGCCAAGATGACCCCTGTTAACGACAAGCTGATGAGGCGCCTCCTCATCTCCGACAAGTTCGACTCGTCAATTCCGACAAATAAGAAGGCTGACGTCATTACAAGAGCTCTCGCCCAAGTAGATGGTGTGTCCGAACTAACTAGAGAAATTACATTCCTAGTCGGCCAAAAGGAATTAGTCCTCGCTTTCCTTAAAGGAATAAGGATGTTGGGGTCCACAAACATCCAACACGTTGCAATCATCAGGGCCTGGAAAGCCGATAGCGTCGACTCAATTCCACCACAAGCTATCCAACTGCTCCCCCCTCAACCTAACTTGACCTCGCTCAAGTTCCAGATTCATTCTGACTTTCAATATGACCGCACCACCGGCTGCAAAGAATTTCAACCCCTTCTGCAAATCTGGCTCAATTCTGCGCCCAATTTGACCAGTTTGGACGTCGCGACGTCTTTCTATCCAAACTTGGAGGCCTGCACAAGTCTTATAGTGCTGAAATTTAAATTCCTTAAGTGTTGCGATGAGCATTACCGTCACCTCAATGTGACCAAGATGCTGACACAAGTTAAGGATTCCTTAATCGAGCTGGAATTGTGCCATTATGTGACTGACTATGTTTCCTTGCAGCAGGTAAAGATTTAATATGAGCATTTTACCATGGGCGTACTCACGACAACGTCTTCTCAGCGTCGCAAGAAAGCAACTCATGTGAAATTTACCAAGCTCAAAAAATGTACGTTGTGAGGGGCTTCTCTACAAGATACGATTTTGCAAATCTATAGATTTGCGAAATCATAGCTGCAAACTGATGTGCTATCCTGTTTATCTTTAGTTTTCAAGGATTTCTATCATTTCTATCGTTTTTGATGTAGGTGATGAGTTTCGTAAGTAATTTTTTAATAGAATAAAACAACAGGTCCAAAGTAATGCTGCTGTAAAGGAAGCTGTGTAAAGTTTTGACAAATTTCGCAACATTTGCGAGATGGGAAGGTTGTCGTGAGTCGGCCCAATACTCGACGTCGCTGATCAGTACTAAATATATTTTGTATGCATCGCAGATCCAACCTGCTGAGGAGGTTCCCGTGATGTCGAGACTTACCTCGCTCACCATCCATGCCGAAAAGGTTTACGAAATTCACGACTTTTACAATGAGAAGCGCTTTCCAAAATTAAGATCCATCTCTCTCCGAACCGGATTCCAGCCGTCATCGTTGTTAAAGCATCTAAATTTGTGGATCCCACACAGAGGAGTGAAATCTGTCACGTTGATCCTGGATTACTACTCTTGGGAGGTGCAAGAATTCGGGGGGAAAATGATCAATTTGTTTCCCTCTGTTAAGGAATTCGATTTGAGGATGGGTCTGACATGTTTTGCTTTCCCTTTGCACCTACCGGAGATGTTTCTTGAGGGCGAACCAGTTTGGAGGTCTACCGCCATCCAGAGGTTTATGGAACCGTTCCAAATGTGGGATTTGAAGCGGGTCAACGTTTCTTTGAGATTGCCGGAATCCGCCTTGTTGATTAATGCCCTCCAAGCTATCTCCGTTTTGAAAGGTAGGAGTTAAGTTAAAATCATAAATAATTATTTTCCATTCTACTAATTAATTATATTAATAATGGGTCGTAATAATTTCAGGAGTTAAAAGAGTCCAGTTCTTCTTCCGTTGCATCTACAACACGAGGGTTAATTTTTCTGCCAGTCTTGTGCAAGATGTCATCTTGCACAGTGGAGCATTCAAAAGCGTAGAAATTACGATACATGAGATGGTAATTCGCTCAATAAAATAATTTACAAGCACAAATTTTTCCATATTCAATTTTCTAATAATTCAGGCACCGGAAATCGTAGAACAACTACAACTCATCGTTGAAGCCAGTGGTGCGCCCATCCGTTTTATCGGAAGGAGTGAATGAGAATTAAATGGGATATATTAGTACATAATAATTACTGCCTAATTTAATGAGCCTAATGAGCTTCTGATTTATAAAATAACTTATAGTAGTACCATACTTAGATTATTAAGTTGTAAGCATGAATTAATAATACTCTAAACTATATAAAGCAGGCGAGTGTATCGCTGCTGGCTGGGTCGGTGGCTTAGCTGAGAAGTTAGCCTCTCCTTTTCTCTCCACTCTGCAGAGAGAACAGGAGAGGCTAACTTCACTAATGTTGGGGTAACGGGCTTATCGACGGGCCTATTTTGCACGTCGATTGAACGGCTTCTACAGTAGTACAACATTAATACAAAAAAACCTAGTTGTTTGTACCGTTTTTACCACGACGATTTATTATTCGATTCTACTAGTTAGATTAGATTAGATGCTTTAAAAAATATATAATGCTATTTGTGTCAGTGTTAACCAAGGTGTGTAACGAATTGATCTCTGTTGCCAGGTAAATAAAGTCTTAACAACAACAACGATTAATTGTTATTTAATAAAGTCATTATGGTTGACTCTGCTCGCTTTACTTTCATATTTCTCTGTGTGCCAGCATAAATACAATGCTTGAACGGTGACGACTTTTGCATCATGACGAGGAGAAAGGTAAATTTGTGCATGACATTAAAATTGTTCAGGGCTCATATTACAGGTTGCATATCCAAACGGACCAAGGTGCATAAATAATTTGCATATTATTATGATTCGCAGATATCAATAACTTATGACGGTCGTTCTAAAAATAAGGGAAATAAAGAAATCGTCACAAATGAGGAAGGAATATTATTGACTTTTATTATTTTTCTTAAACATGAGACGAGTATTATTAAATCTTAACCATTAAATTGTATGTATTTGATTGAAAGTACATTGTAAATTAATTTAAATAGCAGGGTGAGAAGAAGGGTCAGCTTATGGAGTACAGGGTTATCAAGTATTAGATCAATATGGAACACACCGTCAGTCCACCATAAGTAAAACTTTGCTCTGGTCGACCAACGACTGGACTGACTAGTGTGTAATCATCACTTATCACCATTACTTTATAAATAGCTATGTATGCATTACATATCTTGAGGATATTGTTAAAGCCACGAGCTTCGTAACCGTGCAAATTTTTAGGATTACTTTTTTCTTTACAAAGTTTACACGGTTACAAAACTTGGCATGAATTGGGTCATAAAATTCTTAAAGGAGAACAAGTTTTGACTTTTATTTATTGTTTGGGTCGTTCCTTCCGGTCATTTAGCTCGCTTTTTTAATCCGCAAATCCTTCAAAGGACATTCCCAACTCTTCCAGAAGCATGCCCATCGGCGTCTGTTTCAAGTGCAGCTTCTCCTTCAGGTTGGACAACTTGTTCTTTGTGTCTCGTAGGCGAAGAGATGCATGGATGAAGACAACTGAAAAGGAGAGTACATTTCTTCATAAATTTGACTGATATATGGAAATTTAAATTTAAAAAAACGTGGAAATTTATAATTTCTTAATCAAACTTGCCAAAATTCGATAATACTTACCCACAATTGGCAACAGGATTCCAAAGGAAAATACGAGCACGGACGAGATCAAGGACGTGACCATGTATCCCAATCCGCACACTCCGACCAATGTCACGACGGGGTGATTCTTCTTGAAGTCGGTGATAATCGCTTGGTTTTTGAGAACGTAGTTGCAACCAAGATAAGCTCCGGCGAAGGCTAGAATTCCCACGAGCATGTCGGCCGGGTGCATCACTCTAAAATATACAGTTAGCATATTTATTTTTTATAAATTCCGTCCTATGTCATGGGGGAAAGAAGTATTAATCTGTTGGATTTAGGGGAAAGGAACCCCATGATTAAATTAACTTTAATTGATCGAGACGTCATAAAAAATGAGAGGTTCGGTTTAATCTCCAGATTTGAACGTTATTAACGAGTTCATTCTGTATATAGATTAATCATTTTTTAAGTCTTGCTCACCCCACAATGAGAAAAATGATGGTAGCAGCAAGCAAATAATTTGTCTGGTAATAGATGAGATTTTCTTGGACACGTTTATTCCATCTGTCCAAATCCCCCACGGTCGGGACCTGGAATCTGGCACTCGTCAAGAGAAAGTCATCCAACGATCGGAGCGGTTCCAGCGACATTTTGCTCGTCATTTTCAATTTCCAACTTCAATAATTTCACCAAATCAAAATTGTCTTTATCAATTCCTTAAAAATATAAAAAAAATCGGATATTTTAGTTATTTGTACCCAAAACTTATTGAACCATAAAATGAAATGAGATGAAATACAAACCTCTTTACTATCCTGTCTTTCAATGTGGGTGTTTTTTACTCAAACTGTTTACGTCTTTTACTTACTTTTACGTTAATCGTGTTTATTTTGGACACTGACACATCGTTGTCAACCTGGTTGGGGGTAAATATTAGGCTGCAGTGTTTTTCGTCAACACAAAATTCATCGTCATCATGGATGAGATCCGTGTCATCGAGACGAGGACGAGGGCACGGCAAATCTCATCCTGACAAAATACTTACTCGAGTACTTTTTGTAGGTAGTAGATTTAGATGGAAAATTTCCATTGGAAATTTATTCTCAAATTTTTATAACAATTAAATAGTCAGTTTTGTCAGTAAGCAAACTACGGAGTTCAGAGAAAAATGCAGCTTGTTCGAAATTTTCGGTGAGTTTGGTGCTGATTTGCGTGTTTAAAAATTGGCTAAACTTCAGTTATTTTGATCTATTTCATTTTTCTCTCGTAGGTTGGGATCTTATCATGATGTCGGCCTTATCGGGTCCATATCCCACCGCAAGTTTAGTTGCGCGAGACATTCCCTATCCCAGAAACGGATCGAGGCAGTCATAATCGGGTAAGAAACTTGGATAAAGTGTTGATTTAGGGATAAATTGCTTATCAAGCGTATCCTCCAGTCCACCAGGTTCAGGAAAGGGGACGATTTCATCTCGAATTGTGAAAGATTTCCAATTGGATCATCTCTCCAGTGGGGACATACTCAGGTCGCACATACAAAAGAAGACCGGTTGGTAGATCAATATCAAGAATCGATTAATAACATAAGTCACCTTTTGGTTAGTTTAAATGTTTGATGAATTAATTAATTATTCTAGATTTTGGCAACAAAATCGCCCCCATAGTCACTTCTGGTCAGTTGGTCCCGTTCGAATTGTTAGCTCCGCTGATGGAACATGAGACAAAATCGAGTAAATCACCTTCCGGCTGGTTGCTTGATGGTAATAGACATTTTTTTAATTTTGCATAACACCGAACTAACTAATTATTGTGATTATTCAGGTTATCCTCGCAGGTGAGAGAAGGCAGACGACATATATTTCACGCCTAGCTTTGTAATAACTTTGTCAATAGGTTTACTAAAAATCTGTAACGCAACCTCACCCCATAAACAGAATATATTTTATTCAGCTCTGTTTATTTCTTAATTTGTAAACTTCATTCCCCAAAACTTGCATAGTTTAAAAATTAGCGTAAACACTCGTAACGGGTAATTTGTACAGTAAAAAAGAGTATCTTCTTCCACTTTACAGTTTACAACAAACCGAACGACTGCATAAAACATCAGCCCCAAACGTAACGATTTATCTTAACGTCCCCTTCGCCACGATAATCGACCGTATCAAGTCCCGATGGGTGCACATTGCAAGCGGTAGGGTGTACAACTTGGATTTTAATCCTCCTAAAGTCCCGGTAATTTAGTTTGTTAGTTTCCTCTGAATTTGCTTGATTACTCATTAAATTCGTTCCCCTTCCAGTTTAAGGACGACGTGACCAACGAACCTCTCGACCAGAGAGACGACGATAAACCAGAATCTGTCAGGAAACGATTAGAAGTTTACCAATCGATGGTAGACCCTGTCCTAAAATTTTACCGGGACAAGAAATTGCTCATCGAATTCTCTGGAACAGAGTCAAACGTCATTTGGCCCGAAGTGAAAAAGTTTTTAGCCCAGTTTCAAAAAGTTTAAGAACGCTTCATTCATTCATGACTCGATGACATGGTGCTGTCTAGTTTTATTTATTTCCTGGAAATATTGAGCTTGCCATTTAATTATGTGTGAACAATTTATTACATTCCCTGACAAATTGTGAAGGCCTAATTTAATATTTTGTGATGCTCGGAACTGTATTTAATTAATATTTGTGCCAGGTAAATTTAGGATTTAGTTAGAATTCTTTAAATTGACATTGTTAATGATTTAAGTATGAAATTTATCCTTGAATTATTGATATTGACTTGAAAATACCGTGTGCTCTCTGTCTCTCTCTTTGGACCTTGCCACGACAATAAATATTCTTAAATGGAGACTAACTTTACATGTTTGGAAGCAGAATACTTTTTGCACATATTTGTTCCCAATGAATTAAATTACATTGTTAGTCATGAAAAATTACACATTTGTGTGTACCCCTTGAATTTCTGCGTCATTTTATTACATTTATTACCTTGATGGAATATGTAAAGTGGGAATTTACAAACTACATGAAAAAATTATCCAAACATTACGAATTTTGTTTTCATGTTAAACTTACAATTAGTGATTTATAATATTTACAGCTAAAATTAATTTTATTTTCTTGCCAAATGATGGGATGTTTTTCATGCTACTAATCCTAGCATTTATAAACTTGCTAAATGCCTATATACATAAAAATGTAAAGCAAAAGAATTTTGCTGATTAAATTTTCAAAAAATGGTAAGTGACTTATTTATTTTGCGTATAATTTATGTTGTTGTTGGATGATGGTAGGCCTTGTTGAGGGTCATCATAGTTGGGAGAGAAGGACCCCTAGACCTACAGATCCTTGATTGAAAGCAGACAAATATTGAGATTTGAGACCGTCGAAACGAGGAGATAAAAGAAAATGTATAATTATGTGCTTTACCGTAGAGAAATCCAGGCCTTGCAAACTGTAAAATAATTAAAGTATGCGTTTATAAATAGGTATACAACAATTGAGACATACAGCTTATCATCAAAAAAAGTAAATAGCGGGTTTAATTACCCGAGTAGAAATCACTCTGTCATCTGTCGAATTTTGCAGTATTGACAAAAGCTCGGTGCGTATTATATATTGCATTTTTTTTTACATAATCCTGGAGAAAATTGCTATTCTTTTATTCTGCAGAACCGTTGGTGCATAATTCTAGTTTATAATTTTCTACACAAATCGTTACGACAAACTTTTTCTGGAGAAAATTGGGCCAAATTCCTACAGAAAAGCCGTTCAAATTTGTCCTCGGGACTAGACATGATTCAAGTCCGCACTAATTTCTAATTTAGCGACACATTTTACGTATATAAGATTAAACCAAGACTGAATAGATACATGCAAAGATAACTTTCTCTAAGATAACTATTCGACATCTAATAAAAATACGTCTCACTACGTTGGGCATGCGAAACAATTATTGAAATCGACGCAATGTCATTGAATAAAAACTTACAGATCATTTGTGTCAACGATGAGGGCTATGCTTGCCCTGCCCTGCGGAAGTGTAGACAAGAACAAGAAGTAACGTTGCGCCACGTGGTAAAAAATGGTAAAAAATGCTTACACCGATGTCGCTGGAAACACGACCTTGTGCTGCGTTTCTCCTGTCAAAATTAAATTAGTTTCAGGAATTTAAAAATATTAAATCGATTGCTAATTATACAATGCACAACTTATCCCTTCAGGTTTGTTTCTCCTTAACGCAATGGAATATTTTGCTACATTTCCCAATTTTATAATCGTGCATACCCAAGAAGGTCCCTCGTGATATCGCCGAATTTGTCGACCTTGATCCGATCAGCTTCCCCCTGGGTTACATATCCCCCGGCTTTCTACGGACAAAATTGACACGCTGGACTAAAGTTTCTTACCAAAATATGTATACATTTGCATAAATAGACTTACAAGCGAATCAATAATGCTCTGTTTACCAGCTCGCCCACTGTCATGAAATAGGTAAAGTTAGGCTATAAATGTTAACCCAATGGAATATTTCGGCGTGTTATTGCAGAGGGCGGACATGCATTTATGTTCAATTTTTCCTTTGATACCGATCAACGGTCAAACTTTGTGTCTTTCCTGACACTCTTATAGAGCACACAAATTTCAAAATATTCTTACATATTGTCAGCCACTTGTAGGTTTTCAGACATTTCAATATTTAAGCTATTTTTTGAAAAATATGTAAATGTTTTAAATATTTTTCAAAAATACATACTTTGTACATATTTCTACGGTGTGAGACGAATTTTCATTTGCGCAAAGGAATTGGGTCACAAAAAAATCTTGGCCATTAAATATATTCAAAATACAATCTAAAAAAATTATTTTATCGTTTTTTTCGTAAATATTAAGTACGTATTTCAGCTATTTTTCGTAAATCTATATCCGCCCTCTGGTTTTTATAATTGTTCATACCCAAATTCAATCGGGTCGATGATACGACTAGGACTAGCATGTGGCAGCATGAACCCAGCTTCTATTAAGTTTCTCAGTTCGTCCTGCCAAGGAGACAAAATTGACACGTTGGACAAGCATTTCTTATCGAAATTATGTAATAAATTATACGCTTATAGCGGCATCACGAGCTCCACTTCGTCCCCTGTTAAATAAGTAAAGTTACGCTATAAATGTTAACCCTATCGAATATTTGGAGGTTTCTTTAATTTTATAATTGTGCATACACTAGCTGATTATCATTATGCATAACCAAAATGCCCTTCGACTCCTCAGCGGCAGCTAATACGGCCTTCACGCGCTCTTCATCCCTATTTTTCCTGTATGTAAATATTTGAAAACTTGTAACATAAAAACGGTGTGACAATTACAAAGCCAATTTTTTAAATCTCAAATGCATTACTAATTAGTCTTTCAATCATTCATGTAACTTTTTTTGGCTTACAATTGGGGCACAAACCATATTCAACCCAGATTATTTTTGGGCCATATTAGTTTGAAAGACAAACTCTTTAGAAGCAACATTTAGTGCGACACTTGCGCAGATGCGGAAAAATTCAGAGCGTTATGGACGCCAGAAGTTGGCGAAAGCGCTCGGTTTACAAGAGGAACCGAGCGTTTTTGCGAACTTGTAACGCGTACATGTGACATGAGGCGATGCAGCGGGAAAATTAGTGAGTCATGTTAACGTAGGACTAAACGGCTTATCGTCAAAATCAGCACATTTTTAATCATTTCTCGGCTCTGAGAATTTATTTTAAAATTCTGGACGACAAATTTGTGGAACAGGTCGTTGCCAATTGAAAAACATATAAACTCCACACTTTTCCAGTTTTTGAAGGAGATCTCAATTTTAAGAATTCTTCAGAAAAATTGGAACCCATCGAAACTGACTGAAAAAACTCACGACCATTCCGTTAATTTACTTACTGACTACAAATTGGTTGTCCAGAATTTTAAAATAAATTTCCAGAGTCGAGAAATGATTAAAAATGTGCTAATTTTGACGATTTTGGCGACGAGTCATGGAGTCCTACGTTAATAAAAGGTGACAAAAATTCAGATTTACTTATGAGTTAAAAGAACTTACTTCATTTGATCCATTGTCTGTCCAGCACGACTTTTCACCTTATCAGAAACAGCATTTTTATACTCACCACTTCGTATTTGGTCAAGTTTTTCAACTTTTTTGCTCTGAATACATACATACAAAACGAAATCAAAAGAGGGGAAATTGAGACATCTATCGTAAAGTGAGACTAAACCACTTACCAAAGTGGGGGTGGCATACGTAGCAAGTTTTCCATTATTTAATCTACGATAACCAAAAAATCTTTCAAATATCTCAGTAAAAAGTCGATCGATAAATTTTAAGCTTACTCAGATTCCTGGTAACCTCCAGTCTTTGCAAATGTCTCAAATTGGTCGACAGCCTGCAATTTAATCAAGACAAATAACTTACATGGTGTCGAATTTGCATGATTTTTTTCTTCCATAACTTACCCCAAGTTGAAGTTTATGTAAACAGTCAGCACTGCATGAAATTGAGTAAAAGTTATAAAAAATCAAGTGAAACGTGAGTAAAAATCTGGAAATATTTTCTATAAATCTTATCATAGCAGTGAAAAAATTACATGGTTTTGTAAACAGCAGTCTCACTGGAGTGGTCGGTCACGTATGGAGATTTTAGATAAGGGCTGTCGTAATGATAATCGTTGAAAGGTTGTTGATTGTGGAAAAATTCGGGAAGTTGAGACAAGTAATTTGTCGGGTACAAGTCCTTCGGCAGGATTGAGGGGGCAGATTGAGACGCATAATTCTGGCTGAAATCCACTCCTTTTGGGGAAGATGAGACGGCCAAATACGACAACCACTCTGGATACGAGAGAACAGTTTCCTATTGAAGAAATACACAATTATTATCAGAAATTCCTGCATTTTTCTACACAAAAAGTGTCACGTTTAATGTTGTGCTTCACGTTACGTTTCTAAAATGATGGGAAGATTTTCAGAAATTTTTAACATGTTAGGAAATATACAAAGAAAGTGAAGTAGATATCTACGAGAAAAATTATTGCTATTTTTCTGTATAGTTTAAACTAATTGTAAAAAATGATGGGAAAATTTCCAGAAATCGTAAAAAAATATAAGGAAATGTACAACTGATTTAGAAACTTACGAGAAAAATTATTTCTATTTTTCTGTACAGTTTTAACTAACTATAAAACATTTTAACTAACAAAGCTTAAAAAAGTTGTAATTTGAATTTTTACCCCAATTTTTCACCATTTCTTGTTTCACTTACCCGTGGATTTCTGGGGACAAAGTGTTCACTTCTTCTGCCGTGATGAACAACAGCAGCCTGACACGCCGACAGTCCAAGCAGGGCCGTTACACCCACCACCATTAAACCGAACCACGTCATATCACCACTCAGAAACAAAACTGGACAAAATCTCAAGTTAGAATTAATCAAAGTTTAAAGATTGGACTTTGCAGTGCAGAAGTGAAATGAGATCACGGTGCCGAAATGCCTCCCATTTTATTGACTTTTTTCCTCCTAAAAGAAGTACCTCGTAAACGTCATCATGTTTTAGTCCAAGATGGTATATCAATAATGCCTAAAAAATTGTTGGCCAAGTAAAAACAGACCTTGACAACGACTCTCCCAGTGTTTCGGGTGTAAGTGACCACTTGTAAGAAATAACGGCAAGAAAGTGGTTCCTTGCAATTATTTTGACCTGCAAGAAATGCAAAGCGCAAGAAACTACGCCCCCAACGCTTCATACGGCGGGTGTCTAGATGCAGAGGCTAAGCTAGCCAGGCCCGGCCCTGGGCATAAAAAAATTCCGATCAGAGCTCCACGCCGCCAATTTTCGCTAGTGGGCCAAAGACGCCGACCAGATTTTTGGTGCGGCCACCACCGGGAAAAATCGTTGGCGCGGCCCCGGCGCAAATTTCTCGGCACGCTGCCGGGGAAAATTTATTTCATATAAACGATGCGGATTGGATTTGTACCCTCGATTTCGATGGTTTGTGTGAATTTTACTCTCGAGTCGAAGTAAAATATATCATTAAATATTTTTAAAGCAACGCCATCTTGATTAGATCAAATGATAATAGTACTTTCTAAATAATAATAAATAATAAATGGCAATAGATAATTTTACTGCACAGAACAGCGATTTCGTTTCGTTTAGAAATTATCCTCTGATGAGATGAAATTATGCGTTCGTCCTTAAATTGTGCCGAGACAAATTACGCAGACAAATGTCAAAAATGCTAAAATTTGAAGTTTGACGGTTTACGTATTTATTTGTGGTTGAGAGCAAGAATATTTTTCGCTGTGGCGTATCCTAATCAAAACAATTTTGGTGTATACATTTGCTCAGCATACCGTCGCGAAGTAAAAATGTAGGGGTTGTATTCCTCGCAGATTTTAATCGGAACGATTTTATATTACATACCACATGAAAATCAGCAAATCCGTTAATTTTTTTTACAACCGAAGTTCACCGTGCAGAGTAATTTTTAAATCATTCAAACCTCCAGACAAATTTTCGGCTTTCCTAAATTCTTTTCGAAGCTTGATGAGATTAAAAAGACAGTTTCGTACAAACCTCAAATTGCATACCTGATGGTCGAAGGAATTTATATGTTGCACTTTGTTTGGGAATTGAAAATAAGGCTAATCCTCAGTCTTGGGATGTTTCTAAACTCAGAAACATGTAAAAACAAAAAACAATTTTGAAAGTGCATATCGAAAAAATTTAGCCTGGAAATTTCTACTTAGCTTGAAAAATTCAACTTCGTAATTTTTGAAGTTGCTCCAACATTCGAAAATCCGAATGGTTTTGGTGGAGAAATGTTTTTAAAATTCTGTGACGCAGCACAACTCTCCCATTGTCACCAGTTAAAAATATGGGGCTGCTTATCAGAGCTCCACGCCGTTGAAAAATCCTCGGCGGCGGCGTGCGTTGTGAAAACCGTCGGCTGCGGCGGCGCGCCGTGTGGAACCCAGCTGCGGCGCGCTACGGCGAGCCGCTATTTTTGCATCTGTTTATCAGTCAGTAATCATAACTGACCTCTTTATTTAGGTTTCTATGACATAGTAATGTATTTCGCGTACTAATTTTAATTAATTTAACGAAAAAATAAGCCGATCCATTTTTTTAATTTGTGTTAATTCGAGTTTCCTGCTTTACAGAATTTCAAATATATTTCTCAACTAAACCCATTGGCCTTAATAGCCATGTAACTGCGGAACTTCAAAAATTTAAAGGTTTGGTTAATTTTTCATAAAATGGAATTTTTGAAATTTTTCCAGCTTTAAAAAAGCGCATGACTTAAATGTAAGATTAATGTAAGAAATGTAAATGTAAACAAAATACCTAGGTATAAGATTCTCAAAGAATCAGTATTTTCGAAGCGTGAGGTATTTATGTACTCAATTTGTATATACCTAAAATATCAGAATTTAAATATACATATACGTTATATACCGATTCTTTAAGTGGCATCAAAATTTGAACTGCTCGAAAACATCTCTAATTAAGAATGCGTATTGGAAAAAAACTATTCATTTTCTCAATGTCAATCACAATTGAAACCGTTAAAACCAAAATTTCGACCTCTTTGATCGTTTTAACTTGTTTTAATTGTATGGAATATCTTTTTCTCGGCGGGGCGCCGGCACTTATGCGGCGGCGGCGCGCCGGCGAAAAATCGGCGGCGTGGAGCTCAATTGCTTATTGTGGTCATTGAACAAATTAAAAATGATCCGTTCAATATTTGAGTAACGGCTTGATATTTCATATCGAAAAGTTAATAAATATATTTGTTACAATCATTGACTGAGAATTAAGAGTAAAAATTTCGGCTGCGGCCGATATTTCACCGACGTGGAGCTCTGATTCCGATTCACGTACTGTACATGCACTTTAACAAGCGTCAAGAATAATAAATAAACACGACAATTGCTAAATAAGTAAGAATGCCAAAATTGAGAAGTGGGCTGTTTCCCGAAAACTTCGTTGTTCGTGGAACTTGTAACCTAACAGGAATTCGCTAAAACTAGATGTGGCCAAGCTATTAAAACAAATTATAATTTTTTTATGCAAATTTTTAAGTAAGCCCGAATGGCCCGGCCCCTTCGGGGCCCGGCCCTGGGGAAAGTACCCATCCCGCAGCTACTCACTTAGGCTCTGTCTAGATGGCCCATGTTTCGTGCACACTTTCTTGCAGTTTCTTGCACCTCGTATTTCAAGCTTTGCAATGCAAGGAATTTAGAAAATCCCAAGAAACGAAACACAGGACTCTTCCATGTATGCAAATTCCTTTCTTTATTGGTTATTTAAGGACTTGCCAAACATTTTAAATGTTGATCGTGGTTATGGATCGTGATTAGGAGAGGTCAGTTATTTATAATGTGTTATTTTTTAATTATTTAAATATCCGTTCCATTATTTTATTATTTATATGTACACTCGGTCATATTATATAACAAATACATGGATGTAGACATATGTAGCATACTTTAATTACAATTAAGAAAAATTATATTCTGTTCGTTAATAAGCACAAAAATTAAGATTGCCCTCCATTTATTGATAGTACATAATTAAACTAGATATGCTGACGATGGTGTCAATAGATCATAAATTAAATTAATATGACATTAGGAAATGATACGATCTCCCAATCCCAATGCGGACGTTAAATGATAATCATACATAAATTCATATGAAATATGTGTGTGGATTAAGCAACTAACTTGTTGCTAAGATCTACGCTACATTCAATGAACACGGTTTAAAAGTTGTTAAATAAATAACTGCGGATAAAATCGGATTCAACAACAGCACAACATGATGAGATGATAAAAGTCTGAGTGTTTGTTTATGTGACGAATTTAATTCTTATTCGTTACTCAAGTGATGCAAAACAAGCTCAAATCTTACTTTACATGACCAAGTCAATAATTTTTGTAAATACCAAAAGTAATAATTGAAAACTCTCCTTTTACTTTTCATGTTCTTTATTCAGTATTACCACCATTTTTATTCGTTCAGCAACCACATTTTTGTATTAGAAAGAGAACAATCGTATAATTATTTGAAAACTAAACGTCAATAATTTACTATCTAATTAGTCTTTTTCTCAACGTCAATCCACTCCCATTTTGGTCAACTGCATACGCGGAATGATGTTCATAGACTGCAATTCTTGAAAGAGAAGTTTGCACGCGTACGGAATCTTTATCGTGTACACGTCAAGAGAAGATTTGCATCCGTGACACCTAAAAAAATCAAATAATATTAAACCATGAAATTATTTAATTTGATGTCTCAAAAACCTTACCATCCCGAGTAGCCCATAATCCCGCACTTATTGCAAACATCCACCTCGAAGACATCACTGGACAGCATGAGCCGTTCGAGAAGGAGCATCGACGCCCCGTAACCGATCAGACAATCGCGCTCCATCTCGCCCAGACGGAGGCCTCCCTCCCTCGAACGACCCTCTGTTGGTTGACGGGTAAGTACCGCGCGGGGACCACGGGCACGCGCGTGCATCTTGTCCAGCACCATGTGCTTCAGTTTTTGATAGTAGACCTAAACAGAGGATGATCAGTTTTGGGATAACCCGATTTATGATCAATGGTCTTACAGGTCCCGAGTAAATGTAGCCGACGAGTGGTTCGCCTGTGATACCGGAGTAGAAAAAGTCCTTCCCTTGATAGTTGTACCCGTGACGGACCAAGTCTTCACACACGTCGGTCACTTTAGATCCGCCGAATGCTAAAAATAACATACAAAATGCGTCTCAATTTCAAAAATTAACTTTAAAAGCCTGTCAACTCATACCTGTCCCATAGTGAAAACAGCCATCCAACAAGCCAGCCTTTCCTGCCAGTAGCTCGATCAATTTTCCAACCGTCATACGAGACGGGAAACCGTGCGGGTTCATGATCACGTCGGGACAAATTCCTCTATCGTTGAAAGGCATGTCTTCCTGTTGCACGATGAGACCTGAACATGCCACACGTTTTTAAACAATCATCCCACCACAATCAATTTAATATCCACCCACCTGTCACACCCTTCTGACCGTGCCGACTGCTAAATTTATCCCCCAACTCGGGCCGTCTGGTTTGACGGAGGAGCAATTTGAAGATGTGGGCGTCCTCATTGTTCGAGGAAATCATGACCTTTTCCACGTAGGAGGGGACGGAACCTTTATACGTGATGGGCACTTCTTTATACTCTTCGCCATGACTGCGTGGGTCTTCGTTCGAGACGGGCGTTTGCGTCACGGTCGGCATCGATTTGTTGATCATCACCTGCAAACAAAATCTCAATCAGTTGATAAGCACCACAAAGTTTGATAGTTAACTACTTATTCATTTTCTGTCGGTGCATCGGATTCTCATAATTAGCACAACTTTGCTTAAAATGACAGCACTTCTGCACCTTGAAATTACTATTCGGACCCACTTAAATCATACGATTCAATCTTTTACAACGCATGACTCTGATATGGGTCAGGTTTCGGGATCAGTTTAAATTCAGCCGGTGGCCGCGGAAGTCGTGGGGACATCTGGAGACATTAACACTGTAGGATAGGGGAGGGAGGGGTTAGTATAATATGGGCAGATGATCCGAACATTGCTCCTCTACCCCCACACTTCCGCCGCCACCCACTGAATTCAACCCTTGACTCTCACTCACCTGCTTATTCTGGATGTGCGACCCTGGGAGCGCAATCCCATCCCCGTCGAGCCACTCGTGCCGCCAGATCGGTTTTTTCGACGTGGCATCAACCACGGGCCCCATGACGCGATCAAAACTTTGATTCGCGTACCGCTTCAGGGTACACTTTGCATTTCGATAGACTGTAAATTAACAATGTACAATTGTCGTTGAAATAATGGTGACCTTTAACCTCCTAACTAGTTTTCAGTCTCACCCAAACAACGCCCATAACCTCGATCGAGAGACGACCGGTTGAGAATGAGGGCGTCCTCGATGTCATATCCGGAGTAGCTCATAACACAAATGATGGCATTCTGACCGGCCGGAAGCTGTTCGAAATTTATCAGTTCGATCGTTCTCGACTTTACCATGGGTTTCTGCGGGTAGACCAGGTTGTACATCAGCGTGTCAATCCGGTTCTTCTGGTTCAGACCGATCGTTCCTGAACAAACAAATATGAGAACTCTGTTACTCAGTATTTCTTAAAATAAAAAGAAAAGGGGGGATTTAAAGGACATTTTTCAGGAGAAAACCCTAGATAGGAAAATTTGGAGGACATTTCGTAGGCAAAACCCTGAGATAATAAAATTTGGAGGACATTTTTTCATAAAAAAACAGAAATAAAAATTCCGTTTTCCAATAAAAATCCATGACGGAGTTTAAACTCACCCATCGCCTGTTTTCCCATAGCACACTGATAAGTGTTTCGAGGACTCTGGTTATGATGCGGATACGGGACGAGGCCTGCACAAGCGCCGAGCAGGGTGAAGGGTTCGATCTCCAAATGAGTCGTGTCCTTTTGAATTAAATGTTCGTACATGGCGATGAAGGAGTCGTTCTCCTCGTTCACGTCCAAGTATTCGACGATCCCCTCGGTCAGGAAGTCATCAAAGGAGCGGAGTCCTTTCTTCAACTCGGCAATGTGTTTCTTCGTCAGCAGCGGTTTTCCAGCAAGCACGATGACGTACGGTCTGCAGAGAGAAGTCAATTAAACAGATTGACTAATTAACTAATTAATTATTTAGATGTCTAGTTATCCAACCTGCACAACCTCCCCATGTCGGAACTTATGTAGATTGCTCTTTGTTTCAGGTCGGGGTAGATGCTGACAAAACCGGAAATATAGCCGAGTCTTCGCAAATTTCGAAACGTGTAGATAAAGCGAGTATGGTTTTGAACGATTCCGACAATCCCTCCATTTAAAAAGACGACGAAACAGGATGGGTCGTGACATTCCTCGCCCGACATGAGCATCACATCCTCCACGCCAAGGTTAAAGATGAGGCGAACTATCGGCTCCTCCTCCACTTCCGTAGTAATGTGGGTCATCAGAGATAGATTTTTTACCAGGCCGCACGCCTAAAGTGATAATTACGATTTACTTATCAAAGTTAAGGAGGAATTAAGTCTGCAATTTCGTATTAATTGAATTTCGTAAAATAAATCCAGATAAATTTCAGATTTGCTAATATCGTTGTACGTTAACGTAGGACTTGATGACTCATCACCAAAATTGTTAAAATCAGAGCGTTTTAATCATTCTCTGCTCTTGGAATTTACTTTAAAATTCTGGACAAGTTTGTAGAGCAGGGAGGTGGCAATTTTTCTAAAGATATACACTCCAGATTTTTACAGTTTTTGGAGGAGGTGATCTAAAGTTTAGGAAAATTGGAACTCATCGAAGCTGGCTTAAAAAACTCAACTTACTGAGTATAAATTTGTCATCCAGAATTTTAAAATAAATTCCCAGAGCCGAGAAATGATAAAAAATGTGCTGCTTTTAACGATTTTGGTGATTTTGGCGACTCATCGAGATCGAGTCCTACGCTAAACTTGCAGAATTCAGTGCAAAATTGGTACCTCGCCTTCCGGGGTGTCCGCGGGACACATCATTCCCCACTGCGAAGCTTGCAGGGATCTTGGTCCAGACACTTTCCGCGTCTTTTCAAACTGCGAATTGACCCGGGTCATCATTCCCAAGCAGGAAATGTACGAGAGGCGAGAAAGGACTTGCGTCACACCCATCCGCTCCATCCTGAAACGTTTGATAGTCCAGTTTCCCTAATAAACGATGGAAATAGTTGTAAAAATGGGCAGATTTTTATCAAGATTCACACCGTCATTGATAACTTGAAAAATCGGTGCGTTTTGTAAAACAAATTTACAAACTTTTACAAAATAAGGAGACACACTTGACCTAAGCAAGTTTAGAACAATTTGGAGTCTAATTTTCCTTCGAAATATGAGTAAAATTTGTGTAAAAGTTTACAGAATGTTTGGATTTTACAATGCTACCAAGACCATTGTCTAATTGTATTTTATTTAAAAATTAATTACGGTAGAAATCGCGTTCTCCAGTCCATTCGTGATCTGGTCTTGTCGCATGTGTGTCACCACGTCGAACACGGCAGCCTTCACTTTTGGGATGTTCTTTTCCGCTATGGTTTTCAGCTAAGGGTCAACCAGATTACAAATTTAAACCACACAATTATTGAAACGTGTCAAAATTTCCACAAATTTCTTCTCACCTCCCAATTGAACTTTTTGAACAGATCTTCAAAGAGGAGGGCGAGAAGGGAGCCGGCCAACTCCATCCTTTTATTTCCATAATAATCCCTGTCGTCAATCATTGAGGGGTCGGACTGAGCTTGGATCACCCTTCGAACCATCATCGCTGTGTACATGGCTTTCAACTTGAAGTTGAACTCCACCACGGGAACGTTCGGTAGAATTGTGGTCGCCAACAAGTCTTTCACTTCGTCCTCCACGGACTTCTTTTTCGCTACGAATCCTGAAAATGTAAAAACTGTTTAAACAAAAATTGAGGCAACCCATTTCAATCAATGACGACCGTAGCAAATTGAGCGTAACAACGTAGCTTGCCAAGTTTTGCAAAATTTCCAAGATTTCGCAAAACTTTTGCTGGAAAACTATCGGATTTCTATTTCCAAATTTACCCAGCAGCTAACTTGACATGATTTAATTTCCTAAAATTATTTCGTTAACACATCCCCGCCATAGAAATTACAGAAATCCATGAAAACTATATCACAATACGGCTGTTTTACAGCTTTGTGAAATCACCTTCTGTGAGTCCCATTGTTTTTGCAAATTTGCTAAATGAGTTACTATATTAAATAAGAGGTTGTCCTGAGTACGCCTAACTATGCAAACGTTGTAAAGTTGTGTTTGTGAGGTGTCGAAAGGCATTTCCCAAAATTGACATAGTTTATAATCCTCAAAGCTCAATTAGTTATTAATTATTTTTCCCCTCACCGAGCGGAGGGCCGAACCGTCTCTGTCTCAATTTTGTCCCCAAATATTTCACGGCCTGTTCCTGCGTGTGAATGTTCAGCTTTTGCGTCTCCTCAATCGTGGCGACGAGTGACTCAATGATATAGTCTTCAGGACCGATAAGCTGTACGATCTCTTGGTCTGACTCGATCCCCATGGCGCGTAAAATCACGGTCACGGGAATGTCCTCCTGCAATGTGTTGTGACGGAGGTAGAATCGCCCATGTTTTATGGCGATGTTCGTCCTCGATTTCTTCTCATGCGTGCTACTCGTCACCTACAAGAGAGCGAGAGAGGTCAATACACTATTAGAAAACTGGTATACATCATTACTGACCCGAGTACATAGTCCTAAGTGTACTGGTAATAACGGGCATTACGGTTTAGTAATGAAAAATTACCACTCACAAACAAACTACTACCCATCCGATAGAGAGTTATTACCAAATCAATACCAGTACGGAGTATATATGTGACTCTGCCAGATTTTAACGGTGTATCGAGCTTGAGGTCATATTTTGCTATATACGTACCTGCGCCGTGACCTCGCCTTTTCTATCCTCCTCGACAATTATCCTATTTTTGGATAACTGCTCCTGAATCAGGATTACTTTTTCCGTTCCTCGCACAACAAAATAACCGCCCGGGTCGTACGGACATTCGTTTAATTTCGACAATTCCGCATTAGATTTCTCATTTAGGATGCAATTCGAGGAACGCAGCATGATCGGCATCCTAATAAATAATTATATTAGAGACAATGTTAACGTACGACTTGATAACTACTGAAATTTTGTTCTCAATCTCACCTCCCAATCGGCAAACCGCTCCGAAGGACTCTCTGCGTTCCGCGGATGTACTCAATATCGACCGTGATGGGGGCGGAGTAGGTGATGTCACGAAGTCGGCATTCGTGAGGTGTCGTTGGTTTGGATATGTTGAAACCCTCCTCAACATCGGGCAGACCGATGTACACGTTCAAGTATTTCAGGTAAAAGGACGGATCCACGTCACAAACGACGCGAGCATTCGACATGATGATCTTCTTGATGTCAACGTTGATAAAATAGTTGAAAGAGTCGATGTGCTGTTTTACCAGGCCTTTCGCTTCGAGAAAGGCGGGGACGAGTTTCCATTTTTCCTGGAAAAATTGTAACATAAATGAAATATAGAGTAATTTTATAAATAGTGTAGATTTTATGAGGTTGACTGAAACATTTGAAATAGAGATGCTAAACTTTTATAAAATTTATGAAATTTACAACGTGACTAGCAATGGAAGTATCTCAGCGCAAATTTACTGCGTGTTTTCTCCTCTTTGCTACTTTTGTACCTGTATAGTTTTTATTGGAAGAGCAACGAACGCATCGTATGAAGCTTTGACTGGATCTTGCACAATTTTTGGTTTGACGTCGACACTACTGCTGGTGGCAGCTTCTTCTTCATCCTCATCAGGGGGAAGGGGTAGGGTGGGGCGTTTCTTTTTGACTCTGTCTTTTGCTACCATCTAATAAATGACAAAATTATTAATTTTAGTGTTAAACCATCTCCACTTTAAAAGTATATGCACTCACCGTGACTTTGTTATCTTAACTTGAGGACTATTTTAGGCTGAGAGGAAAAATCAGTGTACTTCGTCGTCGTGTAGGTCCAGTCTGGCCTGGAATTTCTCCACCGCCGAGGAAAATGAGGATCCTTGTAACTCGGGCCAACTACTGAACTCCAAATAAAGATCGAGCACCTGATCGGGAGTGAGTTGGCCGAACTGTGTGTAAATCGTGAATCCTTGCCGGATCAACCTGCCAAAGAAGACAGCATTTTTAATTAGTCAACTAATTAATTATTTGCTGGCTAATTAATTATGAATTTACCTTGCCCCGCAGCCAGGCACCCACTTTTCCAATTCAGGAATGACGCTCTTCTTCCTGGAGAAGAAGTGTTGTCTCACAAAGTACCAGAGGTGGACGAGGTGGTCCCGCCCCACACGGTTAACAACGTCCTGATTAGTCTGGATTTTAACAAGATGACAAATATTCGGATCGTAGGCGTTGCGAAGCTTAAACTTATTGCTTTTCCCTTCCACTGACTCGTTCGACCAGGGGATCCAAGCTGAGCGAGGGAATTCTCCGAGAACCTAAAGTCAATTAATTAATTAACTAATAATCTTTATCCATAAGTAATTTACGGTCCAAGTAAATTCATAAAATAATTAATTAGTAAACCAATTAACTTTACAAAATGTACCACCTTAAATTTGAAGAGAAGTTGGAAGATAACGGACGACGGACGATACGCGACGAGGCCGGAGGACGGATCGGAAGTCAGAACCCAATGCGCTTTCGATCCCAGAGTCACGTAGTAGGTGGGGTCAGACCAGTCAAATTCTTCGTCATAAAAAACACGCCCTGTCGCGCAGGACCGGATGATAAAGTGAATTAAGGACACGTGTGGGACAGCTCCAAAAACGAGGAGGTTTTTCTGCGTGGAATTATTTTCTTGGTTCTGTAAGACATAATTAAAAATAGAACTGGTGGTTCCTGGAACCCACTTGTTTGTTGTCTTGAATCATGCGGTGGATTAGTGTAATCCACCAACAATTTGAGTTTTCAGCTTGGGAAATATTATTTTTAGGTTACAAATCCACCAACAATTTGGACCATTCTAAAAATAAAATTAACTCGTAGCTCTTCTGGCCTTTCCAAAAGTTATTCAAGGTCAAACTCTCCCAAATTCAAATTTGATCAAACTTTGACCTTTTACGAACTGGCCAAGCTATACCGAGTTAATTTTATTCTTGGAATAATCCCAATTTTCGGGTGGACCTAGCCTTTAGGTAACCAAAAAATCTCGGGCGGCCCTTTTCCCCCACCGATAACACAAGTTATCTATTTTTACTATTATACGAATACCTTAACATTCATCCCATTTAATTAAAACCTACCTTAATCTGCGCCAGGAGGTTTGCTATCCTTCTTCCGCCGTCAATCTTATCAGCGTATTGGAGCTTAGGAAATTCGGGAAATCCTTTTTCCAGCAGGACCGTCTCCTTTCCCTCACTGTTAAATCTTTTCTGTAACTTTAGATACTTTACAAACTTGCCACTCTCCTCTAATCCGGTGATTCGTTTGAATCCGAACGTGGCGAATAGTTGGGTCGTGAGGATGCCAAGACCGGGACTAAATTCGACTACAGGGCCGCCCTTCCAATCAATGAGAGTATCAGTCGCGACGTCTTCCTGGACCTGAAAGAAATTTTAAATAAATTACAAATATCTGAATATTTAGAGTTAATTTTCTCCCATAATTAAACCCACTCACCAACTGGACAATCTTCTCCGCGACCGTTTGATCAATGAGATACGTCGACGTGGGAATGTTCGCCGTCACTTTGCGACACTGATGGGGCACGAGTTCATCCACCAGTGCGGTCGTGGCCACACCCTCGATGGGGAAAGGGGTCGACTTATCCAAAAGCGGATAACTCGTCGCGACCAAGGTGCGCGCAATGAAGGCGACAAGATTCGCGCTGGAGGTGGGACGACTCTTTTTCTTCTTCTTTTTCACCACGCGCTTCTTCTCCTTATCGGAAACTTTGTCCTCAACCTTTTCCCCTTCGGGTGCAGGAGTAGATGCAGATTTCACTTCTTGTGAAGGTAACACACTTAAATAACGTAAGTTTATAAATCTGGGGGTTGTCTTAACGATTTCGTCATGTGCCGCTAATCGGAAAATTGTCCTTGACAAACGCCCCAGCATTTTCACAAATCCTTATCTGGGAAGAGATCATGGTTTCTTGTCAAAATCCACATATTTTAATTAGTGTCAAAATAATAATTAATTGTGGAGAATTAAAATTAGTTAACTTTTCACTTGCAACCAAACAAGCAACATGTGCCATGTGCTGGAGTTTGTCATACTTGCGGCTGATTTCTCATTGGTCGCATTTTTCCCACTTTCTTCATCTCCCATGAATTTCTCATCTCTGGAATTTCATAATTTTTTAATATTTTTTCCATTTCCTAATTTCAAAAATTGAATTATTTTATAACACTGAATGTAGGTTTTGCATTTAGAAGGATTTTCATCATATGTGAAAACTGATGTGTAATGAAGAGTCCATTTTGATAAAAAGCCATTGCATTGCATCACGAGGAGGAGGGCCCATGCAAATATGATTTTTTGAAGTATTTCTTATATAGATTTCTAATGCATGTATAAATGTATATAACCATTTCATTTCAAAATACGTTAACCATGTTGGTTAAAATACAACAAAGCTTACAGTGCAAACATGAAAAAAAACTTAGAAGAACTCTATGCTACTAAATTACCTGAATTGATCACGAATAGCATTTGTTAACTAATAAAATAACTATTTCAAAAATTTGTGGCTCGGAGCCAGACTTCCGACTAAACGATGGACTTTTATATGTATGAATTGCTACCTGCATGAAGTATGATCACCACCAAGGAATTCTATTGAATAAATAGTTGTGGATGAAATGCTCACGATAAGAAAATGATCATTCATAAATTATTTAGGTCTGTGTATCATAATAATATGCAAATTAAGACTTGCTGCAGAATTATTTATGTACCTTGGTCGGTTTTGATATGCAATATGAGCCCACAAAAATTTTAATGGCATGCACAAATTGACCTTTCTTCTCGTCATGATGCAAAAGTCGTCACTGTTCAAGCGTTGTGTTTATGTCGGCACACGGAGAAATATGAGAGCGAAGCGAGTAGAGTCAACCATAATGACTTTATTAAATAACAATCGTCGTGGTAAAAACGGTACAAAAATTGTGTAATGCTTATATTAAACCTAATAATCTAAGTATGGCATTATTACCAGTTATTTTATCAGTTAGAATCTCACTATGATCCAACTAGGAACCAAGAAGCTGTCTCATTGTTTTCAGGCGATAGAAACATTGTTGCATATTGTGATAATTGAAAAATGATAATTTTAGTAATGACTCTGTTAATTAGTTAGTAATCGTTATGTACTAATATATCTCATTAATTCTCATTCCCTCCTTCCGATAAAATGGATGGGAGCACCACTGGCTTCAACGATGAGTTGCAGTCGTTCCATGATTTCCGGTTCCTAAATTATTAGAAAATTGAATATGGAAAAAATTATGATTGGAAATCATTTTATTGAGCGAGTTACCATCTCATTTATCCTAATTTCTACGCTTTTGAATGGTCCACTGTGCAAGATGACATCTTGCACAAAGCTGGTAGAAAAATTATCCTTCTTGTCGTAGATGCAAGGGAAGATGAACAGGACTCTTTTAACTCCTGAAATTATTACGACACATTAATAATGGGTCATTATTAATATAATTAATTAGTAGAATTGAAAATAATTATTTAAGATTTTAACTTAACTCCTACCTTTCAAAACGGAAATACCCTTAAGGGCATCAATCAACCAGGCGGATTTGTTCACTTTCAAACAAATGTTGACCCGCTTCAAATCCCACATTTGGAATGGTATCATAAAAAGATAAATGGCGGCAGACGTCGAAACTGATTCCCCCTGATGAAACGTCGCCGATATGTCGCCAGTGAAGGCACAAAATGTCGGATCCAGCCTTAAATCTAATACCTTCACGGCGGGAAATAAGTCGATCATTTTTCTCCCAAATTCCTGCACCTCCCTCGAACCGAAATCCATGTCCAACGTGACAGAGTGAACTCCTCTGTGTCTGCTCCAAAAACTTAGATGTGAGAACAACGACGCCGCCTTTAATCCACTTCGGACAGAGAAGGATCTTAATTTTGGGAAATGTTCCTCATTGTAAAAGTCCTGAATTTCGAAAATCTCTCCGGCATGGATGGCGAGCGAGGTTACTTTCGACATTACGGGAACCTCTTCGGCACTTTGGATCTGCAATGCATACAAAAAATATTTAGTACTGACATGAGTGATTCGCAATATCAAGTATTGGGCCGACTCACGACAACCTTTGCAAGTATCTTGCAAATTGTTGCTAAATTTTTCAAAACTTTACCCAGCTTACTTTACAGTAGCTTTACTTTGGACCTGTTTTTTATTTTATAAAAAAAATACTTCCGAAACTCATGGTCTACATCATAAACGATAGAAATTATAGAAATCCTTGGAAACTAAATTAAAACAAGCTAGACCCCCTCACAACGCAAATTTTTTGAGCTTAGTAAATTTCACATGAGTTGCTTGCGACGCTAAAGAAAACGTTGTAGTGAGCACGCCCATTGTAAAATGCTTATTTATCTTAAATCTGTACCAGCTGCATGAAAGAATAATAATACATATCATGACACAATTCCAGCTTGACTAAAGAATCCTTAACTTGTGCCAACATCTTGGTCACATTGGACACATTGAGATTAGGATGATGCTCATCGCAACACCTAATGAACTTAAATTTTAAAACTCTGAGATTTGTGCAATCCGCCAAATTTGGATAGAAAGACGTCGTGACGTCCAGACTGGTCAAATTTGGGGCAGAATCTAGCCAAAGTTGGATCAGGGGTCGAAATTCGTTGCAGTTGCAGAAGTCTTGTTCAACGTCTGTGAGAGCTTCGAACTTGAGGGAGGTGAGGCTAGGTTGAGGAGGGAGGTTTTGATATGCCTCGGCTGGAATTGTGTCGACGCTATTGTCTCCCCAGGCGCGGAAGATCCCAACGTGTTCGATTTTGGTGGACCCCAACATCCTTATTCCTTCAAGGAAAGCGGGGACAAATTCCTTCCGGCTGACGAGGAATTTTATTTCTCGAGTTAATTGCGATACATTATCCACTTGGGTGAGAGCTCTTGTAATAACATCAGCCTTCCTATTTGTCGGAATGGACGAATCGAACTTGTTCGAGATGAGGAGGCGCCTCATCAGCTTGTCGTTGACAGAGGCCATCTTGGCTGGTTCGGACCCCTCATAGGAAAGCAGCTTGTTGACCCGCAGAAGAGCCCTTCTTCCTAAGAAAGTGGCGCCGACGTCGGCCCACTCTTTACACACTAGACGAGAAGTTTTCAGGTCGGGGAGGCCGAGATTGGCGAAGATAACGTCTAGTACCTGGTCCAAATTCAAAATTGGATTAAGCGAGCCAATGAATTATTAGATATTTGAAAAGCAGTTAACTAACCAAAGGATTCTGCAGGGCTTTAGACATGGCAGTGTTGAGGTCAACAGGCACTTCTTTCGAGTCTGGAATTTAACGGAGTGAATACAAAAATGAATATCTCTCGTTAATAATAAAGAAAGCTAATTTTTACGACAAAAATATAGATTGCAGCATTTACTAAAATTTTGACCAACTCTTACCCTTTCGTGAAGAAGCTGACCGCAACGTCATGGGGTGCCGATTTTTAACAGTAAGATCTACAACTTTCGCCATATTTGTCCTCACTTTCTGTTCCTATAATTAACAATAACATGACATTAACACAACACCTCATTCTTAATTAAAAAATATGAAACGGTAAAAAAAATTATTTAATAATGCTGATAAATATTTATTTACCTAAACCAAACCAAACTTGCAGAACTTTTGAAGATAACAACTACGAGTTTTTAACTTTAGTTGATTTTACGGTGTAGCGTAACATATAAAATATTATTAAATATATGATATTTAATATTTAATAATAAATTTTATGATTTATTTGGATAGTTATATAATTAATTGCTTATCCAGTGTTCAATTATTTCTTTTTGGATTTTCATTTTACTTCATTTTACGCATTTTTTCGTGGAACTGGAAACGTGCTCTCCATCGGTTCTCCGTCCGTCCGCCGGCGTCCCCACTTTGGACTTTGTTCAGTGCATTGTGATTTTAGTTCCATGAATTTGTGTTCAATGATTTTGCATGGACTGCAAGTGTTCGATTCCGATGCATTCTGCAAAACATTTAATTAAGTAATATAAATGTGCACATATCTTGGTGAGGTTTTAGCGATATTTTCGCTTATATATTTATTTTACCAATATGAGTCCTGTACGATTTAAATGTGATGGACAAAAAATTGACATTTCTTCTCGTCATGATGAAATATTTAGTCGTCACTGTTCGAGCTTCACATTTATGTTGGCAAAAGGAAAAATAGGAGACAGACGAGAGTAGAGTTTTATTCCAAACAGAATGAGTTTACTAAATACAAATCGTCATGGTCAAAATTGTGACAAAAATTTGCGTCATGTTGAAAACTTAATAATTCAATTATACCTAGGGTGCCGGATTTTGAGGTGGACATCGTTCAAATGTGGCACCATGTCATCCTTCCTGCCGAACTTCTTGGGGCACCGGGATCGGGGGCACGCGAAGTCTTTCAGTTTTCGGTGAACAATCTTCTTGTGTCTGGTCAGAGATTGTTTATGAGTGAATGCTTGGTCACATTCGCAGCAATTAAATGATTTGGAACTATAAATGCGCTGATGCGATTTTAATGCACCTGAAGAAATCATAAGGCATTAGTATATACGTATTCTTTATTCGCCCCTATAATTTGAGTGTCCCTCGTCTTTGTGAAGGCGAGGTATTTTCGTGCTTTCGGGCACTGTTCTTTTGTCTGTGAAGCAGTGTAGTTGTGAGTTTTCTTGTCTCTTCCAACAAGTTTGTAAAATTGGTCGAGTTTTTAATAAATACAAGTAAACTTAATTGACGACGAGTGTTAGTTCGTCACTTATTCCCTCAGCCCTTCTCAGGAGAGATTTGGAGAAACCGACTGCGACGGGTCGTTGCGGAGGACGGTCTCAAAACCGTTGAGTATCATTTTATAGTCGATCTCAACAGCACCGTTACGACCAAACAGCTTTTGGTCACAACGAAACGGTTTTTCCTCCGTGTAGGTGACCAGGTGACGCTGATAAGGTCGGTTATCGGGAAATGTCTTCTGGCAGAATAAACAGACTCGGCTCGAACCCTGCTTGACGAGTCCGGCTTTCTCGTCTTCGGTGAGGTGGATGAACCGATGATGGGTCAGCAATTGTTTGGAGAAAGTTTTTCCACAAACGTGACACTTCTCGCACAACTTTTCCTTCGTGTGGGTCAGAAGATGACCAGTGAGACCAGATGGAAATTTGAAACGTTTGCTGCAGAAGTAGCAGTCGTATTGCCATCCCTGCTGCACCTCCGCTAACTCCTCTGGGCTCAAGTGGACGAAGAGATGACGATTCAAAGATACTTTCTGGGTGAACTTCTTTTCGCACACAGGGCTGCCGTGGCCCTTCCGACCGTCGTGGGTAAAGTTTCGACGATGAAAGAACACCTTTTGGCAGTGGGGACACTTCCCATGAAAAACTGAACTCTACTCCAGCTCGTCGCAGTTGAGGTGGGTTTGAGCGTGGTAGTGCGCACTGGTTCTGCTGGTGAAGGGACGAAGACATATTTTGCAGGCGAAGATTTTCTCGACTCGGCGACCACACTCTGCGCCCTTTCCGCCAACTTGCGATAATTTATTGGCTTTTGACGACCTCCTGTTGGATGAAGGAGACTGTGCGTGGTTATCGTCAGCAGGTGTTGGCTGGGGTTGGATGGAGTGAGTCTGCTTAGAAGGAAGTCGTCCGTTCTCTTCAAACCTTTCCCCATTGTCCATTTTCTCTGTTGTGGGGACGATTGCTTCCTGTCTTCGGAACACTTGCTGCTGCGTGTGGTTGACCTTCCTTATGTAACCTTGCGTTCTGCTCGTCAGTTCCCCCGCTAGCAAACAATGGTCCCTTTCTCTACATACGCTGCACAGTTTACAATATTATTAGGTGAGCATCTGGGGTTGAACAACAGCTTTTATATGAACATTAAAAATGCAATCTTACCAACGGATCGTCCTTAAAATCACGGCGTGAGGGCATGTGTTCGAGAGTAAAAAAAACTTTCCTTCGTCAAGCCCAGCGTTTCAGGCTTCTCCAAATTTTCAATAGACGTCGAGGCTGGACGGTCGAGCCTTCTTTACTTTGTGGCGTTCTGCTCTCTTTTTCTCAATGCAAACTCGGTGGAATTGTTTAAAATTAAAACTGGTGAAATTTTTGGATGAAGTGAGCTCTTGTTTGACGGGGAGAAGACCTACCAAACATGCAACAAAATGCACACAGAATAATTTCTGTGTGGAGAATTCAACAAGAAAATCGTGGAAAAAGGAATATCTGTAAGACGGTGGTGATGATGCTTATTGGCCATTCATTAATTATTCCATGCAAATTGAGTCGGTTGTCCACCTCTGGAAGAAATATGCCTACTGCGTATCTCTCAAATCTCTCAATTTGGTTATGAATCAGGATTCCTTTCCTCCGTTCCTCTGTCACTGTTATCTTTTTGACTTTACATTCCGATTAAGATTTTGTGGCACTTTCATCGAAATGAAATATTGAAACGGAAAATGGAGGAGAGCTCAACGAAAGGAATTCTGGATACGATTGAGTCTGGATTTCTTGATTTTTCTCATGCAATGTGACGCGTGTGTATTTAATTTAATGGAAAGAGCACCTCGATCATTTAATTACTTATGCGAAGTAAATTTACCACTACTGGACGAAATATGCATGCAGAATCTCGTAAATTAAGTGTTTTTATGGTCTGCTTTTCATCCTTGCATATGCTCAATTCTTGACTTTTTATTATATGTCACTATTACTGAAGGAAATACAAAAATGCATGCACCATCTGTGATAGTTTTGACCTCTTGTAGGGAGATACCTTGTGAAGCCGGAGAAAGTTAATTTTTTCTACGAAAGTGGCACCGACGTAGTTCCACTCTTTACACACGAGCCGACATGACGTCAGGTCGGGGAGGCTGAGATTGGCGAAGATAGCGTCGAGAATCTGGTGCAAATTAAAAATTGTTGGATTAAGAGGGGCAATGCAATGAATTATTAGAGATTTGAAAAGCAATTGACTAACCAACGGATTCTGCAGGGCCTGAGACATAGCGTAGTTGGGGTCAACAGGCAGTTCGTTCGAGTCTGTAATTAGACGGAGTGAATACAAAGAATGAATATCTCTAGTCAATAGTAAAGAAAACTTTAATTGTTACGACAAAAATATAGATTGCAGCATTTACCATAATTTTGATAGCTCTTATCCTTTCGTGAAGAAGCTGACCGCAAAGTCATGGGGTGCCGATTTTTACGAGTAAAATCCGCAACGTTCGCCATCTTGTCGAGTGAGTGCGTCGTCCTCACCTTCTGCTCCTATAATTAACAATGATAAGCACAAAATATGACATGAACACAACACCTCATTGTTAATTAAAAAATATGAAACGGTAAAAAAAATATTTAATAATGCTGATAAATATTTATTTACCTAAACCAAACTTGCACAACTTTTGAAGATAATAACTGCGAGTTTTTAACTTTAGTTGATTTTACGGTGTAACGTAAAATATAAAATAGTATTTATGATTTATTTGGATAGTTATTTAATTAATTGCTTGTCCCGTGTTAAATTATTTCTTTTTGGATTTTCATTTACTTCATTTTATGTATTTTTTCGTGGAAACATGCTCTCGATTGGTTCTCCGTCTGTCCACCCGGCGTCCCCACTTTGGACTTTGTTCAATTGCGTTGTGATTTTCATAGCTGTTCATTTCATCTCACCACAATCCACAAAACCACAATCCACAAACCAATCCACCAACTACAATCCACAAATCCACAAACCACAAACCTTTCCACAAACTACAATCCACAATTCCACAAACCACAAACCCTTCCACAAACTACAATCCACAATTCCACAAACCACAAACCCTTCCACAAACTACAATCCACAATTCCACAAACCACAAACCTGTCCACAAACTACAATCCACAATTCCACAAACCACAAAAAAATCTTGTCCACTTTCCACACCACAGTCCACTTTGTGGATCCACACTTTGGTTTGAACAGCTACATATGCTAATTACTAGTAATTACATACATAATTAAACACGTGTTTCAGAATTTTTCATAATGCTCAGTTGCAACGAAGTTATAACGTTATACGTGAGCGACAATTCGCATTGTTTACAGCGAAATTTTAAGATCCAAATTCCCGCTTACGGATTATAACATGGTTTTCAGTGTGCATTTTGAAAAATCATGAAACGTGTGTTTAACTATTTATCTAAGGCTATATCATTCACAGGAATGCCTCAAAACTTAACCATAACTATAAACTACAGACCTACCCACATTGTGGACCAGTCTGTGGTTTTGTGGATTGTAGTTGTGGACTCCACAACTACAAACCACAAACTTTTCCACAAACTACAATCCACAAATCCACAAACCACAAACCCTTCCACAAACTACAATCCACAATTCCACAAACCACAAACCCTTCCACAAACTACAATCCACAATTCCACAAACCACAAAAATATCGTGTCCACTTTCCACACCACAGTCCACTTTGTGGATCCACACTGTGGTTTGAACAGCTATGAGTGATTTTAGTTCCATGAATTTGTGCTCATGGATTTTGCATGGATTGTAAGTGTTGAATAGTTTGGATGCATTCTTACTAAACCGTCATATAATTACAGGATGTAATTACTTAAGTAATGAAAATGTGCGCATTTCTTGGTGAGGTTTTAGCGATATTTGCGCTTATTAAAAACGTCATAAAAAAACTTCATAATTAAAAACTTCGCCACTTCATAAAATTATTTTACCAATATGAGCCCTGTACGATTTAAATGTGATATGGAAAAAAAATTGACCGTTCTTCTCCTCATGATGAAATAGTCGTCACTGTTCGAGCGTCGCATTTATGTTGGCAAAAGGAAAAATAGGAGACAGACGAGAGTAGAGTTTTATCCCAAACAGAATGAGTTTACTAAATACAAATCGTCATGGTCAAAATTGTAACAAAACTTACGTCATGTTGAAAACTTAATAATTCAAGTATGCCATTTTTATCAGTTGTGTGAGAATAAATATTTTTTCATAAATCAGAAAATATTGATGTAAAGAATTAACAACATTTCATCAGTTGTTGAGACGTGGTTTGGCAGGAAAAGGACGAGATTCTGATGGATGAGCCCTCTTGACATGTTTCCGAGCGCCTGATTTGTTCGAAAATGTCTGACTGCAGTGGGGACAAGGGTGCCGGATTTTGAGGTGGACATCGTTCAGGTGTGCCATCATGTCATCCTTCCTGCCGAATTTCTTGGGACACCGGAGGCACGCGATATCCTTCAGTTTTTGGTGAACAGTCTTCTTATGTCTGGTCAGAGATTGAGTGAATGCTTGGTCACATTGGCAATAATTGAATGATTTGGAACTATTAATGCGCTGATGCGATTTTAATGCACCGTTACGAGCAAACAGCTTTCCACACTGGTCGCAGCGAAACGGTTTTTCCTCCGTGTGGGTGACCAGGTGAAGCTGATAAGTTCGCTTATCGGGAAATGTCTTCTGACAGAATAAACAGACTCGGCTCGACCCTGCTTCACAAGTGCGGTTTTCTCGTCTTGGCTTAGGTGGGTGAAACGATGATGGGTCAGGAATTGTTTGGAGAAAGTTTTTCCTCAAACGTGACACTTCTCGCACAACTTTTCCTTCGTGTGGGTCAGAAGATCACCAGTGAGACCAGATGGAATTTTGAAACGTTTCCTGCAGAAGTAGCAGTTCCTGCTGCACCTCCGCTAACTCCTCTGGGCTCAAGTGGACGAAGGCATGAAATGTGCTTTCTGGGTGAACTTCTTTTTGCACACAGGGCAGCCGTGGTTCTTCCGACCTTCGTGCGCATTGACGTGGTGCGTAAAGTTTCGACGATGAAAGAACACTTTTTGGCAGTGGGGATATTTCACATGAAAAATTGAACTCTACTCCAGCTCGTCGCAGTTGAGGTGGGTGCGAGCGTGGTAGTGCGCACTGGTTCTGCTGGTGAAGGGACGAAGACATATTTTGCAAGGGAAGATTTTCTCGACTCGGCGACCAGGCTCCGCGCCGTTTCTGCCAACTTGCGGTAATTTCTTGGCTTTTGATGACCTCCTGTTGGATGAAGGAGACTGCGCGTGGTTATCGTCAGCAGGTGTGGGCTGTGGCTGGACGGAGTGAGGGGGTCGTCCGTTCTCTTGAAAACCTTGTCCTTTGTCCATTTTCTCTGTTGTGGGGACGATCGCTTCCTGTCTTCGGAACACTTGCTGCTGCGTGTGGTTGACCTCCATGTCATGCGTTCTGCTCGTCCGTTTCCCCGCTAGCAATAGTCTCTTTCCCTACTTATACTACGCAGTTTACAATATTATTAGGTCAGCATCTGGGCTTGAACAACAGGTTTTACATGAAAATTAAGAATGGAATCGTACCAACGACTGGTTCTTAAACTTGTGGCGTGAGGGCATGCGTTCGAGAGTAAAAAATAATCCCTCGTCAAGACAGCATTTTAGGCTCTCAAAATCCAGCTTTCTTTACTTTGCGGCGTTCTGCTCTCTTTTTCACAGTGCAAACTGGTGGAATTGTTTAAAATAATTAAAACTCGTGAAATTTTATTTGACGGGGAGAAGACCTACCGAACAGGCAACAAAATAAATGCACACAGAATAATTTGTATGTGGAGAATTCAACAAGAAAATTGTGACAGAAGGAATAAGAAGGTGGTGATGATGCTTATTGGTCATTCATTACTTGTTCCATGCAAATTGAGACGGTTGTCCACCTCTGGAAGAAATATGCAGGCGTCCACAATCTAATCTCTCAATTTGATTATGAATCAGGATTCCTTTCCTCCGTTCTTCTGTCACTGCTATCTTTGTGCCTTTACATTCATACATTCTGATTAGAATTGTGTGTCACTTCATCAAAACGAATGATTGAAACGGAATGTGAAAGAAGGCCCAAGGAAAGAAATTCTAGATATGATTGAGTCTGAATTTCTTAATTTTCTCGTAAAATGTGATAAATGCATATTCAATTTAATGGAAAGAGCACCTCGATCAATTATTTAATTACTTGTGCGAAGCAAATTTACCATAACGAAATATGCATGCAGAATCTCGTAACTTTGGTGCATTTATTGTCAGCTTACTTATCATCCTTATGCTCAATTCTTGAATTTTTATTATATATATCACTATTACTGAAGGAAATATGCATACAAAGTCGGTCTTACATGTGACGCCAGATTGTCCTCATCTTCCTCCTGCAGTCTGGTTTTATTTCCATTGGACAGAAACAATGTCTGATTTTCTCAAATAAAATGGAATTTTCCAACTGTATCAAAATTATGCTGGAAATTTAGAGTTTCATCTAATCATTCTAAAATTGTTTGACAGTCATCACCGCATTTGTCCTTCTGTCCTCCGTCTGTATTGTGGAGTGTTAATGCCCCCGGAAAATAAATTTTGCATGACATTTTGCATGTAGAAAATTATTTTATATAAAATCTTATTAGGTAAAACCAAATCCCAATTTTTAACCTAGTTTGCAATGCCAGTTTCCCGAAATTTTTCATGAAAATTTTCATACAGAAATTGTTCCATGCAAAAGTCTGTGTACATGAACCCCAATTTTGAAATAAATTGAACAGAACCTTACCATCATTTCTGACAAAAAGAATTCTATATTTTATTGAGTCTTGATTTCTTAATTTTCTCACAATGTTAAGTATGCAGATTTACGTATCTCGTCCTCTTCCTCCTCCTCCGCCCACTTCATAAAATTCTCACCTATTTCTAATTGAATTATTGCATTGCTTCTTCGACAAATGTATTTTTAATACAAAGTATTTAATTAAACATCTTTTTTCTTCTCTCGAGGTTTAAATAAGGTTCAAAATGGCACATAATTGTTCAAAAGATTACACACGCAACAACGCAACAGTGACGACAAATATGATCATCTTCTCGTAATCATGATAACCTCGTCAAGCAATAACATCAAACAATTATTGTCCGATTTTCACTAATTATTTTTAATTAGGTGGCGAACTAATTAACTCTCCGCCTCACAAAAAAATAATTAACGTAACAAAGTTTAAAATCGAAATGTGAAGATTCGCTGAATTTTTTTGCGAACAAATAAGACTAATAATAATTGGTGATTATTATTATTTGCACAAAGTGTCTCCCACTGCATTTCTTATTTTTCTATACATTTTTATACCCTCTAAATAATAATTAACTTAATTATTAATTTTAAACTTACTTCTGTACAAAAAAAGACTAATTTAATTATTTATTTATATTTGTCCCTTGTTCGTTTCGTATGAATTAATTGCATCGTTCCGTGAACCATTAAAAAGCCTCAAATTGATTCAGAAAGAGTTACATTTGCTTGATTTGTGAAAAAATTGTATACATTTTTATGATTAGATTCAATTTTAAGTAAATATAATTAATTAATATTATTATTATTAAATGTGTTGTGTAAGGAGAAAAATTGCGAATTTTGGGACGCACTGCAAGAAAAAAATCAGCCCGGCCTTTGGATAAGCAGTGAAGGGTATGAATTTTCCTCTACATGTATTTCTAAGAACTAGGTAAATATTTTCGACAGGGTTTGAATACAACTACGTGAGCAAGTTACCAGAATCAGTCTAATTTAGAATATTTTCTCCTCCAAAGTACTTTTAAAAAATTGGAGGAATATTTAATCATCAAACGCACGTTAACGGGTCATGAATATTAATTGTCGCATATTTAGCACGTTCGATATTATCAAGGGAGCGTCCATAAATCACGTGATCGATTTTTGGACAATTTTGACCTCCTCCCCCCCCTTGGTGACCAATGGTGATAAATCCATTACCCCCCCCCCCCCGTGGTCACGTGACAGGTTACACATTAAACCTAACTTACTGTAAAACGCATGAAACCTATTTTTCGCCAAGTGTGATTTTTTGTGGCGGATTTTTTTCGCAAAAAGTTTTTTCGCCAAACTGACCTATTTCCGACATGACAACCCATAGCACAAATTAGTCCAATAATAATATTCCTGTGTTTTTTTTAATCCAGTTAAATTAAATTTTAAAATTATCGAAAGAATTATTTAATACTAATGAGTAAGTATACAAAGTAATTTAACATTCATGACATCTTAAGGACAACTGCATAAACTTTATTTCTGAAAGAATAATGAGAGTTCTATTAATGTTTACTAAAATTTGGAAGAGTGGTACATATATGCAAACCAGACCCAAGATTGTCAAGTAAAAATTTAAAAATACGCCGCATAACGAATTTTAGATAAAAGAGTTTCACTATTAAGTAAATACATATTATTAAATTTATTTAAGGCGCGTGATAGTATGCGAAGAGACTTTATTGTTACTCTCTTCACATTTACTGACCTCAGAAATTAAAAGAAAAACTTTTCGTGGCATGTCACGTGACTGCCGACCATTACCCCCCCCCCTTGGTGATAATTGGTGACAAATTTCAGACCCCTCCCCCCCCTATGATCTATCACGTGATTTATGGACACTCCCCAAGGGAAAAATTCTACATGTTTTAATTTCAATTAACTAAGCAGGTTTCGAATATTTTTTCAAGAACTAACGAAAAAATCAGTATTTTTTACAGACCCGTGTGTTTCAAGCCCAATTTGCTAATTAACTACGAATTTTTTTGGAATTATAGAGCACAAATTCTAAATTTTACAACCAGATCTCCAACGAAATTCATGAATGTCGACACATATTACAAAATACACGATAATTTCTCGTCAAATTTTACTAGAAAAAATTTCGGCAAACAAAAAAAGTTTAATTTAAACTCGAACTTTTTAACCAGGTCATACAAATCAAGATCGAATGTATTTGATCCCTTTTTAATTAAGTTTTATTAATTTTTTTCAATTTATTATCGCAATGGGGCGCCCTCACATAATCTTTTCACCTTCTTTGCCTACTCGAAAAAAAATCTGGATAGTGATGATGATGATGGTTTTTAATTAATTTATTAAAAACCTTGTTGATTTTTCCCCCTTAGAAATGCTACGTCTTGCGACACGCCGTTAACTCGTGGTATTAAAAAACCTCGTATCATTTGTTAAACAGTGTTTCGGGTGCAAGAAAGTGGTTTCTTGCAGCTAAATCTTTTGACCTGCAAGAAATGCAAGGCGCAAAAAACTACGCCCTGCCGCGCTTCATAGCGCGCGTGGCTGGATAGCGCATATTTCTCGCACTTTCTCCCAGTTTCTTGCACCTCGAATTTCTTGCATTTCTTGCTTTCCAGTTCAAGAAATGTGGCAAATCCGCCAGAAACGAAACACTATTTGTAAAGTAAATATTGCAACAATGTTGGAAAATAGTCTTTCTTTTCGGGATCTAAATAGGGATCGATATCTGATTGATTGATTGGTTATTCTTACGGTTTAATCTACTTAAATATAAATAAACAACTCGTCCGTGAATTCAAAGTATTCAAAACTAAAAAAAGAGGAAGAATTATCTATTATCGGTTTTTCATCGTAATAAATCAACTATGCAATGATGAGCCGTGCGGGATAGAGTTTGACCCCCGTAACAAAATAGAGGTCATTCTTCCACCCTTTCTGCACGGCCGATTAACATTAAAGTATTCTGTCAAATCCTTATATTTTTTGTACAGATTTTATATATTCCTTTTCCCCAGAAATATTGCATTGGCAATCTTAAATTTCCTAAAACTAGCGGAGCAGCAGTTCTGTTGTTTTTTGTAATATTCTCAGACAGGCACGGATTTCACTAATTAATTAGTAACATAATTAAAATAATTAATTAGCATACTCGAGATATTTAACAGTAAAATTGTTACATATTTCTCGATCCTAAATTATACATTTATTTTGCATCATTATTACTTTTTCTTGCATACATAAACAGAATTATATAACTGAACTGGCGAATTGGCGAACATTTTTTGCAATGCATGCGAATATAAATAATTTAATTTGATACGTAATTAACTAATTATTCTGACTGTATGCTAAAAATATGTATAAATTATTGTCTTGCAAATATAATAAGATTGTCTTCTTCGTCATCGTCACCTTTATCAATTGGCATTATTGTTATCATTGTCGTGATGAGGGTGGCGTTGTGTTGTGTGATTGTCTTCGGGGGGAGGGGACGATTGATATGTAAATATCAATTTGTTTAACGTCCCGAAACGTATGAATTATTTGACAAATCCGGATTTTTCTTGATAAGAAGTGATCCCTCAGAGGTGAAATGGCATATCTGTAAAAGACAAGGAAAGTGATTAGTATTCAGATAATTAATTGGGTCACAATTATTATAAGTGCATATTTACTAATTACGATAAGTTGTTATCAAACGGACAATATTTATGAAACAGAGGCAATAAAAAAATAACAAGCCTATTAGTTTCAAGAAATTAAATATTTTGTGTTTCTGGAGTTTTCTTAATCACTTTAAAGCTGTATTTTTTAAAAATTAAGCGCATTTCGCGATTTTTTATAGTTTTGTCTTCAAGTTTGTTCATGCATTTTAGAGCTGTCATCAGTTTTTTTGTATGACATTAATTTGTAATCAGTTCCCACGATGTGACATATTAATCAAATATTGAATATATGCAGCAAAATAAGTGGAGCAGGGATACGAGTAAATTTCCTACATTTTGCATAACGACGATATGCATCTCTTATGCAATTTAGTCATTTAAAAAATTCCATACTGCAACAACAGAGAGAAAAAAACACTTGTTTCTCATATCTTGTTCCCATGTTAAAAAAAGAGTGCACGGAAATTTTCAGTTTCATTTTTCTCACATCCACACTTTCCGCAATTAAATATAGTGCTCGCCACAGGATTAAAAATCTAATTATGCATCGCACTTTGACCCCACAATTTCCGGTCAAGGGTGATCCCCTCAAAAAACATGTTACACATCCTCCCTTAACTTATCCTTAGATTCATAAATATCACCCCTTTCACTCCCATATTTACCTAAATCTACAGAATAGAATTGATCCTTATCAAGATAAGTACCCATCTTCTCGGAAGTGTGAGAGACAAATCGTTCCCATTATTATTTATTTACAAAAAAATTGGAATGCACCAGAAAATAAGAACCAAGTCCCTTTTTTCCTTGATTCGTCACACACCACACATTAAATTGCAATATGACGTCGTGCATATAAAATACCGAATCTCAACAGTTACCAGCTCCACGACCCATTATTAATCACATTCAACCTGCAACTCCCCCCAGTCAAAAGATTAATATCTTTTCGTTTCGACCAGGGTCACCACCATCACGCCGAGTGAATTCAATTCTATTCACTTCAATCTCCGTGGAAATTGGAGTATAACATAGTTACGATTTTGGTGGTGGTGGTGTCATTAGTATGATAAATAGGACGGGATTTGGTTTTGTGAATGAAGAAAAATTGTAAGAAAAAAAGAAGAAATGGGAGCATGTAGTTCTTTTTGTTATATTTTTTCTCTCTTGCTATGTACCACCACACGCTCTAATTTATTATGACACCCGCACCCACGCCACGCCAGGCATCAGGGACATTAGCAACTTTTTTGTACAAATATTATTACTTACAGCAGGGTTCATTTTACGAGAGAAGGAAAAACAAGAATTGGTAAGTTTTTCGTTAAAGCAAACTTTATTTCGGGTGGCTTTTTTGCAGTGTTTCGTTTCTTGCGGGTTTTGCTACATTTCTTGCACTTCGCAGCAAGAAACGCAAGAAAGTGCACGAAAATGCAAGAAATTTGCGCCATCCAGCCACGTGCCGTAGTTTCTTGCGCCTGGCATTTCTTGCAGGTCAAAATATTTGGCTGCAAGAAACCACTTTCTTGTCTTTATTTCTTGCAAGTGGTTATTTTCACCCGAAACATTAGATCTGATAGGTAGGAAATTGAATTTTAAAGCTGTTTTTTAGGGGAAATTGCACAGACTCAAAATTTTGAACCGAATGTTATGCTAGGTTAACTAATTCTTACCAAAATTTGACATACGAATTGATCCGATCGGATTTATGTGAAAAAATGGACCGTATTCTAGCCCAAATTTTATGAAATTAACCACCTGAGTTTGTTCACGTTATCATGCAGGAAATAATAAAAAATGTTAACTTATTTATTCCCTCGTACATAGGTAAATGAGTGGCCAGAAGGTAAATAAATAAATAAAATACGAGGGCACGGACAAAACTAGTAAGTTTTATGAGAAATACCGTAATCGTAATTGTGCGTCTTGTGCAAAATCCATGGCCGAGGGTGAAGTCTGTACATGACTTTCGACACCTCTCACTGCGCCTCACCTCCATTTTACGAGACAAATTATGCATGCTTCAAACTCAAAATATGACGACGACTCTTTGTCTCTTTCTTTCTTTGTGGGCAAGAAATCAAATTCTTTATTATTTCACTTAAGGTGGAACAACTAATAAGAACAATATGTCTGTCCAAAGGAGAGAAAACCCATAATTTTCATTTCGTCAAGTTTGCATGCGTAAAATTTTGGATTAAATTTGCATATTGCGTAGAAGAAATTATGTAAAATTGCATCCATTTTAAAAACAATTAAAGATATCCGGCATTATGAATCAATTATGATATGAATGACTTGACAAATTTCTTAAATTTCTTAAAAAATCGACCATATTCTACATTTTTAAATCAAAAGGTACTCATAAAACGTTATTTTTCTGTTAATTTTTCTATTACAAATTTGCAACAATTTCCCCCTGGAAAAAATTTACACAAAAAATTCCCGAAATCTCATAAAAATTTCTCTCCCTTAATTATTTAATCATCTCCTTAAGTAACGCTTTTTTCTTAATAACAAACCACCAAATTCTATACTTTGTTTTTACAAGTTTATACTTTCTTCTATTACTTTTCTATCACAACATTTACAAAAATTGAAAAAAACATCCCACCCAAAAAAACCTATCTTCACCAAATTTCGCATTTAATTACATATTTTATCGTCTCGCCCATATCCAAGTAATTTTTGTCTTAACGTCTTCACACCACGACGTAATGAAACTGCATTCTTCTTCACCAGAAGTCGTCGTGGAAAGGAAGAAATTAGATAAAACTCAATCAAAACAGCGGGTTTAATCGCATCGCATCCTCGTCGGAGGAGCAAATATCGCGTCGTAATTAGCATTGACTTTATACGTACTGGTTGGTCAAGCTGTGAAGAGAAGAAAAAGGTCATTCCATTCCATTATTCAATTCGGCAACATTATTTCGTATCATACAGCCAGCCAAAAGTGCAACAACTTGTTCTTCTGCTTCTTCTTCTTCTTCTCGTGGGGAGAAATCGCGTCACTGCTGCTTGGTCATTTTTTCCTCTGCCCCCGAGGAGCAGTTCCTACACCACTACTGCCTGCCTGCATATTCGAATAGTTGGTACTCGACAGGTGGTGGTGGTGGTACTACTACCATCACCACCACGTTATTATCAGAATGTCTTACATACTGTTTTATTTAGCAGGTCAATAACATTCCTGCCGTAAGAGAGAGAGAGAGAGAGAGAGACGGGTATGAAATGAAATGTAAATGAAAATCTGTGCGAATCTTCGTAACGTAATGTGTGCCATTTTGTTATGTTAACGGGGAATGGAATAATGGAGAAGGTGGTGAAAAGATGGTGCAAGTTTAGTTTTAAAATGGGGACTGATTTTTCGTTTCGGAAAGTTTCTTTCCAATATGTTGATAAATTGGGAAAATTATGTATGCATTTAATACTGATGTTCTTTCTGTCCATGTATAACTCTAGGCAAGGAAACCGTTATATTTCCGTGCCAATATTTTTCCAATTTTTCCATAAAATTTATACGAATAAAACGCAATAAAATTGACTCATTAAATCGACAAAGTGAAATACATTAAGCAAATTTAAGATCCTAATAACTCTGTAACGCTATAAATTGGCGAAAATCTTGCAAAAAACCTTCCGCTAGAATTGGCACCCTTAATTAATACCCATGATCTCTTAATTCTAAGCTTGTACCACAGTTTGTGGTACCCAAAAGTTACACAAAGAACCAACAGGATCAACACACTCTCCTCGAAATAAATCTGGTCGATGAGTCACCGAAAAGTCCAAAGTAATTGAACTGCAGTTTGATTGTCTCTAAAACAATATGCAAATCGGAGAGGATTACAATAATATTTTGAGTACTGGTGATTCATCCCCATTAACAAAGGTGCATATGTGCAGTCCCGAGTAAAAACTTCTTGCAGAAATGTCCCCAGAGTTTCTCCAGAAAAACTTAATTTGTGCAGAAAACAATGCAGATTATGCAAATACAGTTCAGCAGAATAAAACCCGTAGAAATTTTCTGCCGGATTATGTACCAAAAATTATGTAGAAACCAAAATGCATCGAGCTTTTGCCGATTACTGCAGAATTCGACACGGTGATTTTTACTTGGGTGAAATGCATGCAGGGTGCTCTTCACCTTTAAATGGCATATCCATCCCTATTCTTAGCCAATTATTGTGAAGAACTCCTTCGCCCACAATTACTTCCAAACAGTGCAGAACTAAGTGTGTGACACTATTTATTAGCAAGAATAAGCTGACTCGACACAACACCCATCACGTCACCCGATCCGTGTCCATCCGTCTCTCGTAAATAAATACTTTACAGCGAAACGCCCTGCTGAAAGGATTTTCGACTCGTCTTAAAATTTTGGAGGAGCAGAACTTCCCTATTTTTTATTTTTACAAGTTGATATCACAAAGTTGGTATCACAAGCTTGACCTTTTTATCTAAAAATTTATACTAGCAGATTGATTTCTTGATAAAATAACACAAAATTCAATTTTGGCATTATTTTGATTGATTTTTCAATTAATTTTGGCAGGCGGTTTTATAACGAAGGTCTCCAATAATTGGATTTTATCTCCCCATTTTGTCCCCAAGCTTGTAGACAATTTTACTAATTTTTTCCAAAATCGGCGTCATTATACTCTGAAATACTATTTTTGTCTCATTTTTAGCATCATTCTGGAGAATTTTACCAATTCTTAGCAAGAGTCTTGTTGAGCATTTTTTCTGCAAAAAGCTTACCCCGTTAATTTTGTAAAATTCTCCAAAAATTTCAATTAACACACCAAATTATCCCAGCCAAGAGATCATCACACCACTTCTTGTACTTGTCTCTCCTCAGATTTATAAAAATTCTGCTCACACGTTGCCCATCAATGCGCCAAATATTTACATAATCTTCTTCCCCGACGAATCGTCCAGAATATTAAATAATTCTTTCCTCCGTCATCCGTCGCGTCTGTCAAAAGTCTTGTTAAACGAATGACATGATGCCTCTAGAGATGGATTGGATGCGGTAATATCGCGGTACAGACGCGTGGAATCAATGACCCTGTCCAAATTGTCATATGTAAATACATACAAAGTTGAATTATCAACACAATTAACTAACTAACTAACTTTAATTTCCCAAGTCGTGAAACATTTATTATCCAACGAGGAAGTTGGTCATTTTCATTTCATTTCATAAATTGACATCGTCATCATGATCACGTGTACTTAACAAGTGACTGACTGAGTGAATGGTGTGGAAAGAGAAATCTATCGCATTTTAATTTTTCTACATGCACACACACACACACTCCTCCAATTTCTACTAATTTTCAAAGCAAACAAAAACATGGGGACGACACTTGGTCATCATGATGATAAGTGAAGTCCTGCGTGAAGGGTGTCAATAAGTACAAATTCTTAGAATTGTATAACTCTGTAGAAATATTTATCATGAAAATATAGTTAATATGTCAGATAGAAAAATACTTTTTCTGAAATAGGTAACATATTGAAACAATTTTCATTCAGGTTTCGCGTGGCGCAGACTTTTACGCTATTTTTTAAACGTTATGCTTAAAAATTAATTTGATTTTCTCTTTCTACATTAAGTTAATCCCACAATTTTATTTTTGACAAGATGTTTGTATACAAAAAATATCAAATTTGAGAAAAATATATAGATTTTTCTAGATGAAACTGATTAACAAAAACTGAAACAGATTAGCGCTAATCTATTTCAGTTTCTGCGCAGATTAAACAAAATTTCCATCTATCTACATAAATCGATTAGATCACGCAATTTTACTAGTTTATCAATTTGAAAAAATAGTAAAAAGCTTTTAACAAAACGGGAAAAACTTTACTAAAAAGACAATGTGTTTATATGCAAATTAACAGAAATATGGTCACGTGGTCATACAAAATCCCTTCCGCACAGCCCCGTCTTGTATAACCCATCAAAAATGAAATTTCTAACGGCACACATTTCTAACGTGTGAAAGAAGACGATAAATACAATGTTGGACAAGTCAATATTTTCTATAGCTCTCTGTCAACGAACGATACGTACGTACGGGACAAAAAATAGTGGACGCGTCACATTAAACAACATTCACTCAATATCTATAAAGGAGAAAAAAAGAATACAAATTTATTTATTGAGCTGCATGCGCATGAAAAATTGAAAATGCAACTCATTTACTTAACTTTAAGAACTTATTTTCAGATAAAAAAGAAGAAACGATAATAATCTTGAGGTGACAATTTCTCTCTAAACAAACACGGACGGACGTGCGAATCCCCAATTGTGCTACTTTTTAATTACACAAATTTAATGACCATCATCATCTGATCGAATTTTTCCCCAATTTTTGCTACAACATCGACTTTAGATTTTTCCTGTGATCGAATTTCAGAGATTTTTTCCTTTAGAAATCACAGATAAAAAAGCTTGCCAATTACTTAAATGTGTGACGAAATATGTCACGTGTGCAAAAAACTAGGCAAGATCATCTTCTTTCTGATATAAAATAATTGCCACACTTTGAATTTCTCTCCTCCTTAATCAGTTATGTATCAATTCAAGTCGTAAGGATTGATCATTTGTTAAAAAAATCATATATAAGTGATCGACTCGAAAAAAAATTATGACGCAACCCCTGACAAACTGACATTTCTCTTTCTAATCGATGCGACATGACATCAGGGGTCGTGCGTGAGGGATGTAATGTACAGACGTTAAGTCACTCGTACATAACTTCGATGACGAAAGGGCCAAATCAAGAACAATGGCGCCCACGCATGCTTGACTTGTCATATTTTTAAAGGCGTGGTGGTTTCTTACTCCCTTCCTTTCATGTCGTCATGCTGAGTTATATATGCTAATCTGTGGTTAAATAATCCTACTTAATAATTGTCCTCACTTATCGCGGACAAAAATTCGTCATAAACTGGACAAGAATAGAGTCGATTACTTGAAACTTCATAAACACGTGGTCACAAATCCATGTGTTTATCGAATTATTTTGATAAGTTTACGTCTAACTTTTATTATTGGCAATTTTACGCGTAAATTTTATCATTGACAAATTTACGTCTAAATTTTTTTTTTCCACATGAAACAAAGCGTGTTGAATACATTTGCTCTGACAGTGATCAAGTGAAGGCTACCTAATACGTAGAACAAATAGTTGAACTCGCAGGGAGGGTGTGCCATTTTTTGTGGTACATATAGGCTTGCTCTGATCCCTCCAATATTTCGCAAGGCTTTCCCCTTTATTATGCACATAGCGCGGTGATACGTAAATCAGATCGGCATGAAATTCGCACAAAAATATATATTATTTATCCACCTCTTCATGCACGTTAGAAAAATAAATCTAGAAAAATACCACTCAATTTACGCCACATGCCGCTTTTTCGCCTAACTATGTAAGCGATGGATCAATTACTTACGTTAAACGATTTTTTCCTCCTCCAACTAACAATAAGTACCACGACCATTTTGTCGGTCGGTCGGTGTGCCTACTCATCCATCTTACGCAATAAATAGCTCATTACATTACGTACGCCTTTTGTGTGCCGAGACAAAACCGCTGTCTTACGTCGTCGTCGTCGTCGTCGACGCCGTCGCGAAGTGGTTTTCTACATAACGAGGCCCCCACAAAAAGGATGTCACCTCTTTAGCATGAGCATAAATCAGGCAAAATCTCATCTCTAACAAGGTGAATATGTACACATGTCTCGATTTGATTTATTCTCTCACCTTTAAAATTCTGCACAAAAATGAGTAAATAATGGTCCCACTTGGCCACACAATGGGACAGATAAAGATCAATCAATCACATGCGTGCACTCCACAATGCCGTGCTTTTCAACTCTAAATGGACTACAATCCGTCACCATGATGGTAATAATAAAGGCAATCGCTCGTTACTTATGTACTTGTCGTCAAACTCAGACGCCGTTTTCGCTGCGTTTGTCTTCAAAAATAAAAGTCACACGTATGTAACTGGATCAAGGGCGAGAATAAAAAAATAAATGCTAAGTCAATAAATAAAGTGGGAATTTAGTACCAAATTTTCGCTAACGCTTCCCACATGGGAAGCTTTAAGTATTGAGAAAAGCTCCATCTCAGAAATTAAATGCCTTCCATTTGTTTGCGCTATTTTTATGAATGAATTCATTAAAAGGTTTTTAACTCCAAACAGAGAGAGAGAGAGGGACGTGACACTTCACAACTAATCAACTTGGCCATTGTCTCTCTCTCTCTCGTTTGAAAATATTATTTACTGATTTGCATTTATAGACGAGATCATTCGTCTCTTGTTTGTGTGTGTTCAGGTGTTTAGGAGGGATGATGATATACTAATTGTTCATAGTTTTGGGGGCTGTGCGGAAGAAATGTGAGTTCCTAAGGGGCGAGTTCAGCACAAAATTTCGGTATAATTTAATCCCAGTGTTTTGTTTCTTGCGTCGTGCATTTCTTGCAGGTCAAAAATTTCTTATAAGCGATTACTTGCACTTGAAACTGTTAATCCCACAGAAAAATATTCTGCACGTCCCTACAGAAAAATTGTGCAAATCCTCTTTGCAGAACTGTTCCAAAAAATATGCCAATTTTCATACTGCACAAGATCCTATCACATCCATAACGCTTCCCCCCTCAGAAAATAAAACAAAATAAAAATCTTCTCCTACCTTTCAAATCTCCTAACGATGCGTTATTCTGAGTCCATGACTCCCCATCATCCCGTTGCTCATGACGGGATCGCGTTGCTGGTGGTGTCCATGTCCACGGTGGTGCGGGTGTCCATTTCCATTATTATATCCCCCACCATTCATCCCCCCACCACCACCACCACCACCACTGCCCTTATTATTACCACTACTCTTCCCTCCTCCTTCCCTGCTCGGGTACATCTCGGCCGGGACGTGACTCCGCTCAATCTCATCTCCCGATAAGTCCAGATCTCTCACCATCTGTATAATTTCTCTCTCTTTCTTCATCCCCTCCGCCGTCGGGGGTGAGCCGGACGGTCGCACGAGCTGCTGACCTCCTCCTCCCGCATCCCCATTCGCAAACTGCAAATTCGCCAACGACCCGTACGACCGAGACCGATGTTCTTGGCGGATCGAGTAGGAAAACGCGCGCTCATTGAGGTGCCCCTTCTTCCTGTAGATCCCCGTGTTAAAGGGGGACGAAGGACCGCCATTCGCCTCGTCGCCGGATTGATGATTCTGCTTTCCCCCCCTCGATTTTGTGGACGTTAAGGTGGCCGAGTCCCCATTTCGGAGGAGCATGACCGACCCCCCACCACCACCCCCGTTCATGAGACGGTTCGCGTTCTGGTGGTAGTGATAGCCCCGCTCGATCGTGGCGTACTGGGAGGGCGTCATCGTTCCCATGTTGTTGTTGTCGGGGGAGTGTTGTTGCTGCTGGTGGTGGTGTTTACTACCCCCCTTTCCTCCCATAGTGGAGGAATGATGGTCATGTTGTTGGTGGTGGTCGAGCAGCATCATTTTCGACCCGGCGTGATACATCGGGGGCGGCGTGGGACCTCCGTTCATCATGGGACCACCGTGGTGCATGTGATGCGGGTGTGGCGGAGGGACGAGGAGTGGCACTTGGGTGAGAATTTGCTGCTGCTGCTGCTTTTTCCCCTTGGACTTGGACCCCTTCACGACTTGGTGATGTCCCGGATTGAAAAGCGGGGGGGATAAGTGACCATAAATGGGTTGGCCGGGATGATGCATGATTTGATGATGGGGTGGTAGTGGGCCCATCATTGGGGGACCATACCCCCCATTTTGATGGTGATGGTACCCGTTCATATGTGGGATGGGGATGAGGTGGGGGTGCGGGTGCATATTGTACGGGCGGGGAGTCCTCGTCAAGGTGGACATTGCACTTCCGGGGCGATTGTGGAGAAGGTGATGGTGCTGCGCGGAGGAAGAGGTCGGTCCGTTCATCACGCTTCCCCGGAAGGTCGTGGACTCATACCGACCCCACCTGGCCCCCCGGACGAACTCAAATTCATCATGGATGCCGGTCTCATCAAGTATTTATTGTGGGACATCATTTGCTGCTGATAATTGTGTTGTTGTTGCAGTGACGCGGCCAATTTCATCTCCTTCTTCGTCTTCTTTTTGATCTTCTTCTTATTCGTGGAGGACGACGCGGCATCGTCATCGAGGGTCGTCTTAAGCAGGGAGAACTGTTGCGGAGGTGGAGGCGGGGGTGGGGGCGGCGGGGAAATGAACTGTCTCGGTTTCGACAAGCGGGAATTGTGAGACTTTACCGACTTGAGGGTTCCGTCCGGTTCGAGGTAGACAAGCTCGGAGGTGGAGGTCCCATTATGCATCAGACCGGAGGCTGTACTACCCCCCCAAATCTTGTGGTTTTCGTCACCCTCGTAAATCTCGTCGTCGTCAAATTCCGCACTGAATTCGTACTTGTTATTGTTACGAGGTCCGCCCCTCGGTGTGGAGGTGATGGGACCACCGTTGTCGTCATCGTCGGTGGAATTCGCCATAATATCGCCACCACCACCACGTGTCCCACCATCTCCATTCGTTTGACTAAGGGCTTGCCACCCGGTCACTTTCTCGATGGAATTCAACGGCGTGACGGAGCGCTGAATTTGACGGTCGGGATCTTTAAACAGGGTTCCGTTCGTGGACCCTCCGCCGCCATTTGGGATGCCTCCACCACCACCGTTCGAGGGTCCTCCGCCCCCATTAATCGCCAACGTTCCTCCTCCACCACCCCCGTTTTCTAACTGTTTGGCATACGTGGAATCCGCGTAGGCATGAAAGCAACAGCGGACCAGGGCATTCGCGGCCATTTCGCGTTTACAGATAAAGGCGTGACACTCTAGCACCTTGATGCCCGTGGTGCGCCGGAGGATGCAGGCGAAGAGGGGGGGATGATTTAAATTTGGCAACCTCGCGAAGGGTGAATCAAGCGGGAGGAATTTTTGAATTTTCTCACTTCCCCCGCCCCCACCCCCGGAAGAACTGTTGGACAAGCCGTTGGAATCTGAGCCCGCGGGGACTAACACGTTCCGAACGGCGGCGCAGTAATGGAGCGATTCGATGGGGAAGAACCTCGTGATTTTGGTGTTCTTCTCGTCTACGTTTTCCAAAAGGAGGCCATTCGACCAGACGGAGAGCCAGGAGTCGATGCCTTTCAGGGAGGAGAGCCCGGTGTCGGGGTAGAGCTCTTTTAAGGGCTCTTGGATCCCTTGGAGGCCGTCTTTTGTTATGTGCGGCACGGCGGAACCGAGGTAAAGGACGCGGCAACGGCAGATCGGGGTGGATTCGTCGTCCTCACTGTGGTGACCTTTCAACCGACCCCCGCGCGGTTTGCGGACGAGTGGCATCTTGCGAGAGGAGGGGGACGATTGCGAAATTGTGGTGCTTGGAGGCTGTAAATAAAAAGATGGGATTGTTACTTTTAATGACACGTGACATCATGATTATCGTCGTCACCAATATTTTTGGCGATGTCATAACACACCCATATTTGGATAAACATTAAAATTCCAGCCTACAACATGACACGACAGAATTATGCAAACAGACATTCGTATGGACACTTTTTCCAGAAAACTTTTAATTTCCACTATTTTCAGTAACTTTGTGAAACAAGATTTCTCAAATTTTCTATGGTTTTAAGAATCAAATTCCCAAAGAGAAACCATTTAAAATGTTCAGAAAACTTTTATTTCTAATTATTTTCCATAATGAAACAACATTTCTATGATTTTATGAAATAAATTGCCAATTTCCAGCAAAATGTCACCTTTGTTTTGGGACTATTACTAGGAAAAAGTTGAAGTTTGCAAGGTACTTCAATTCGTACTTTTTTAACACTGCAAATAATATGTAAATATTTGCAATGCCGTGATAAGATTTCTTCGGCGAAGAGAGATATGCATGTATATTCAAATTAGTATAATTATTAGCATATGTAGGTAATCTTCCTCCTCTCACCCATAAAACTAGCATAATTACGCAATAATTTAATCTGCAGTATGCAAAAAACTAATTGGTTATTAGACGGACGAACCTGAGCCGCATTTAGATCACACAATAAAACTGCATGCCATGAGAATTACGGGCCTATTAATTAATTTCACAAATCTTGCCCAACCATTAATACATACACAATCAACAATGTATTTAATGAATGTATGCACTTGTGTGAAATTGGTATCAATTTCATAAAAAATACTCACATTTCTTGCAACATTTTACATAGATTAAAATTGTATAAAATTTTTCATATAAAACAAATTCTTGTGTAAAAACTTTAACTTGATAGTCAAATAGAAAACTTACGCAATTTGGGAAACTTAAATCACTAAAATATTCTCTGATAGCATTTACATATAAAATGCCCCACAAATTTTCAAAATCCTAAACAATATACAAAAATTTTCCTTATAAAAACTTTTCCAAAAATTGTGTTGAATTTTCAAAACAAATATCCGTAACATATTCTCTGATAAAATTCCACCAAATAAAATTTGACATAAACATATTTTCTTCCCAAATTCTGCGATAAGCCGTTAAAATTAAGTTGACTCTTTCCTCTCCCTGTAAAACATCCTCCTCCTTTCATCCACAAACTCGACTTTAGGTTTGACCACTGGTTTGGTTTTTCGAACGAGAATCAACAAGTTGTTGGTTTGGTCAAATCGGCCAAAAAATCCGGCTCCTTCTTCGTCTTCTTCTTGTACATACGTAAATATTATGCGAGCCGAGTGCCAAGAAATTTCGACGGTGATGATCTCTCCAATCCAACCAACAACCAGCCTCTGAACAACATTTGAATGAAACCCATCCGACAACTTTTCCCATCCTCCTCCCCCCCAAAAAAATAAATCCCCCACACGTCACGTCAACCAAGAGAGACTCCAATCAACCAAAAACTCCAGTCACCAAAAATCAATTCTCATCAAAATTAATTGATTTTATTTATCCACAAAATCAATCCTCACCTTTTCCAAGTTTCCCTTTTCTCGTGTCTACACCTAAACCCGATAAGATCTTATCGCCTCGACAACTCGTGTCAACGTGGTGGTGGTAATGTTTGTACACACTTTTTTCACGGCACTACTACAACTCCTCTTCATACTGCAGAATCCTTCTTTCTGGTGAAAAAATACCCACAAATTCTCTCCGATTCCTTCTCCTCCCCCCAAAACAAACAAATTAAAATCACTGCACACGTACGAGGTCAGAGGTCAAAGGTCACACGGCACTCAGCACTATTATTACTACGACTACTACACTACGACGAGAGAAGAGTTGAGGAGCGACAGAGGTTTTTCTTTACTCGGACGACAAGGAATCTGGGGACGACTTGACGGCGACCAGAGACAGACTGATGATGATGCTTCGAGGTGTAGGTATTCTCAAAGTGGTCGACAATAATACGAGAGGGGCGAGAAGTGCCTCTTCTTCCTCGTTGGGCGGTGCACAACGTGTCCCCCAATCAGCACCAGCAACACAGGTGAGGGCCGCAATCAAGACGAGCGTCTCATAAAAGGAGAGACCCAAGAAGTACAAGAAGAAGACCAAGAAGTAGAAGTTCAGGTAATAATGAAGAGTTGGGGACCAAACGTTACTTATGGGCGGATTTTAGGGCGAAATTTTGACCGGAGGTTTTGTGCCGAAAATTGGCCAGAAATTGGGGCCAATTTTCCACAGAAATTTTGCAGGATTTTCGGCAGAAAACATTTGCGGAGCGATTTGTGCAGAAAACTTGGCAGAATTAGGCACATACAGTTCCGCCGAATTAAATATAGCAATTTTCTGCAGGATTATATCAAAAAAATTGCAGAATACTGAGCTTTTGTCGATTATTGCAGAATTTGACAGTGATTTCTACTGACACCACGCTTTTCTGGGGATAATTCGCCCACACGTAATTTTCGAACAGCCCCGAACACACTTGTTCCTCACCCACCTGCTCATCGTTGCTACAAGTTTCTTCATTGTTGCTGCTGCATAGTCAAGTTACTACATAACGGGTGGTGGAAGAGGACGAGTCTTTTTACCTGCACACTTTTTTTTCTCGAGAGAGAGTGAAGGCATGAATGGTGTGGTGGCAGAATTTTAAGAATTTTTTTACAACCAAGTCGGGTTATGATTTTCATACAAATTTTATTTCATAATGGGTCAAAATTTGGTACAATTTTTCCCAAAAATTGAATCGTTTTCGTTCCATATGCAGCCTCATCTCGTAAAAGAAGATGATCACTTCTTGTTGAGGAGCTTACCTGCTTTTTTACATGCTATTATCGCATCTCCATTATGTTCAACTCGTCTTCTTCGTTGGACGTACGGGAAGGATGGGTCCGAATTTCACCCGATTTTACCCACTCCACCGAAGATCACGAAATTAATGGAAATTTCCACTTTGTGAAATCCTCGATTTTTCGGTTATCACCTCAAAAATGTAAATTACTTCAAAAACAAAATCTCAACCCCAACGTCTTAACGGGCAAGAGGATCTAGCATCTCGACACCCTTACCGCACATCCCCCCCACAAACCAGTAGTACATACAGTACAGACATGCAATGAAATCCCGACATGGCCAAAACTCATCATCTTCTCAAAGGCATGAAGCACGACGACCAAGAAGACGACGAAGAACCCGTTGTTGGTCAGTCCGAGAGTAGAGTGGTACGTACATAAATATTTCTATAAGATCGTCATACGTACGTACCTTGAGAAGAAGAAGAAGAAGAAGGAAAGGATGAGGAGGAGAAGGCCTACTTTTTCCATCCATCGGAATCTCATCTTCTTGACCTTTTCCTACCTTCCATCCAACCAATAACGATATGCATGCATGTTAACGTGGCATTCTTCGTCTTGCCTCGAAATAATATAATAAGCTGCGAATGCATCCATACACCTTACCGACTCGTCAGGTGGACTTCCTCCTGTCGGGGGAGCTGCAGGCAGGATGGTGGTCAGCATAGCATCCCTTTGTTTACGGGGACATCCTTTACGCGCCGCACGAACAAAATTACACAGCCAAAATTCTCTCCTGGTCAGGAGGATGCATACGTGAAAAGGCAGGCATTCCGCTTAACTTACTTACTTATCTATTCTTCCCTCAATGTCAATCCCTTTTCAATAATGGAATTCTAATCCGTGCCAGCAGACGAACCAATTTTACCCTCGTTTTCATTTCCGAAAATAAGTCGAAAACAACAACAGACATATAAATGCATAACCTCGACAGAAAAAGATGGCAATGTTTCACCTTGAAAAAGAATCTAATCTTAAGGCCACTTTCTCAAGGTGCATATCAGCACTTTAAAGGGAACATTGTGTCTCATTTTCCCTGGAATTTCGTCTCCATTTAAAAGAAAGTGGTGGACAATGTTACAAGATAAGTGTCCCATGACACTCTTCTCCTTCAAATGGCACACCATATAAAAGTGGTCAAATTTGTAGCTGTGAATTGGATTCCATCATCGCACACATACATTTTTGCCCCCGTAAAATAACTCGTCGGTGGACTGGGTAGTTGGTAGTAGTAGCTGCCGAAGTGGTAGTAAAAAAACACGCTCAACTTGCTAACTGGGATAACTGTACCAGAGAAGAAGTAGACAGTCCTATAGAAAAATAATCCCAGCGTCGTCGTCGTCGTCGTCGCCGTCGTCATTAAGCCGAAGATTTGGTCGTGACGGGTCGTACGGGAGGGATGCGAGGCGTCCTTCTTCTTACGGCGAGATAAGACGGCACTTTCGCAAAATGCGGTGTGCACCGCCCCCCACAAATCATCCCCACCACAAACAAATTCTCATCTTCTTCCTCATGGAATGTACATAACACAACATTGCAATTAAAAAGAGCTTCTTTTTTCAGCTTGGCATCTCGGTCAGGAGGAAAGTTAGTTTTGTTGGAGTGCAGCATTATTTTTGCAGAGATAATCCGCGTACGTACAAACGTTGAGTTGCGAAATGAATAAATGGCCGGCCAAAGAGGAGGAATTCAATGAATGAGTTGTAACTTTACTACAGTGCATATAATCAATCAGGGAGTGGATGCGGTTTTCTTCCTCGGACGATGATGAAGAGTTGTAGGGAATTTTTGCAAATTATAATATATTGCAAATTTGGGTTTAGGGCCGGGCAGATAATGGGGTTTTGTGGGGTGATTTTTTTCCATTTAAATTCCATTGTCTCGAATGTCTCAATTTTGACGGAAAAAGCTGGAATTTTAGCATGCTTTTAGTATCAAATAGTCACTGATTTTCGTCTTTAGACGTTTTAAATTTGTCCCAATTTTCTGAATTTTGACCAACAAAGCCGGAATCTTTTTATTTTTATTTTTCTATAAAACAATCCTTAAATTTCCATCTGGTAACCCTTTAAAATTCCCTGAAATGCCTCAATTTTGAACGATAATCTTAAATTTTACCATGTTTTTTTGTATAAAATAATCCCTAATTTTCATCCTTCTCACATTTCCTGATTGAATTTTATTGCCGGTTTCGAACTGATCACGACCTCAACCCCAAAAATCGCAGCCTTTCTGCACGGTCCTGATAAATATACGGAAGGGATGACATATTTATTATGCAGTGAGCAGCACTTTACCACGAAGATCTGGTACATGCCTACTTACTGACAAAGTTGCATCAATAATTAGCAGAGCGTTCCCCCTGAATTTTGCACACACATACAGCACACACATGATCATTTCACACTACTGTTATAATAATGGGCACAATACATACATATTTATTTACTACACACATACATACGTGTACTTACCCACATCGTGCATATGCAAGGATGCAGATTTCAGCAAAAGTTTTCCTCCTCCAAAAATTCAATCCATCCATCCGTCCATTGTTTTGTGGTATCGTCATCCAAAAAACCAAAAAAATTACGTATGGCATTTCATTTCGTTTTGGTTTCTTCTCGAGAGAAGAAGAAACACAGTGGGAGGAAGCGGCGAAAAAGTGGACAAGTCTTACAAAATATGTCGGTAGAGATTTTTAGGACAAAAATTAACCCAAAAATTGGGATTATTTCAAAATTAAAAAACAAATTGGTAGATTTGCAAGTTCAAACATTAATCAAGGTCAAAGTTTGATTGAAATGGTGTACAAAAAATTAGGATTTGTGAAACTTTGACTTTCAACAACTTTTGAACGGGCAGAGCTACCGAGTAAAAATTTGAATGGTTTTCCTATATAAATTTGGCCAGATTTTCAACATGTCTTTACGAAGAATTTTATGTATTTGTGGAATCTATGCGCAGAATTATGTACATACAGATCTGCAGAATAAAACCCGTAGAAATTTTACGCAGGATTATGTCAAAAAATTATTTAGAATACAAAATGCGTCTCGCTTTTGTCGATTGCTACAGAATTCGACATATTGATATCTGCTCGGGTTTTGCATAATCCAAATTTTTCCTTGGATTTTTAGCCAAAAAATCTCAGCTTCAAAAACCTTGTCCACCTTTTGCATGATTCCTCCCAATGTGACACAAGAAGATGTGCAAGCTTTAGTTGTGGCGAAAAAAACTTGCAAAATCCACGCGGCACCCAATAATGTTTCTCTCTCGGTTTATCCAAAATTATTGTGAACTTGCACACACTTTTTTCCCACGTCGGTAAAAATTCACTCGTCGTTTCGTAACATTATTATGCATGAGTAGAATTTAGTTCAGATTGTGTTTCGAAATAATTGGGAACGAATGGGATAAAATTTATTGTTATGCGTGGACGAATTGTGGTCATGCTTCTTCTTCCTTACGCTGTTACGTACTTATTTAGTCTGCATAAGCAGCGTCCCTTGCGAGGAGGTCGGTGGGGACGGATTTCCGGAACTCTCAGTGTACACAAATTTTGCAGCTATTTTCAGCATGAAATTGGCATTAAATGAGACCCTTATCCAGGAAATCAAATTTGGGTGGGGGGACTAATATGGGTTTTCTCACCCAGTTTTTCATCAATTTCACCCATTTTATCCAGTTTTTCATAAGTTTCTTTTATTTCACCCAATTTTTCATCAATTTCGCCCATTTAACGTGTTCAAAAATGAGAATGAAACTCATTTCCTGCCTTTTCCAGAAAATTTCAAGGCAATCTTTGCCATCGCCCATGGCATAGCAGTTAATAAAATTTGACACATTTTGTCCCATTTTGTCCCAAACGGACGCCATAAAATGATTGTCCATCGATTCTCCAACTTTCCTTATTCCCCAAAATTTTACATACATATTTCTTCCCATCCAAAATTTCCTTCTTCACAAAATTCAGTTCGAAAAACTTATTTTTTTATTTCTCTCTTCTCGTGATCTCTCGGACTTTTTTGTCCAACCCCAAAACTCATCCATCCATCATTTATTATGATTTAAC